TGCGACGACGACACAGCCGGGGAACATTTTCTGGTCCCACCTGTCAAAACTTGAGACTCGGATGCTTTCATTATGAAGTCTCAAGTCAAGCTGAGCCTGGTCCACAGCTCTGATATATAATAATAGCAGAAACGAGTCACTCAACACAACACCTTCATGTTTCTTTCACCAAATGCTCTTTGAGTGGAAGGGATTCACATCTAATCTCTTTTTCTTCCACGATCATAACAAGTTCTGAAGTTATTTTCAGATTAGATCACACACAGAGTCAGAGAAAGAGTAATATTACACACAATAATGTGTCTCTTTGGAGTGTGTGTGTGTGTGTGTGTGGGGGGGGGAAAGAGACAGCACTGCAGCCTCCCTTCTGCTACGTTAGCGTGTTGTTGGGACGGCGTGGGCACAAGAGGAGCCCTGAAGGCCCTTCATAATCGCCCAATGTCTGAATCTCAGCTCTGATCTCCTCAATCATGACTAACTCCTCACATCCAACACACGCCTTGCTTTTGGAGGATTAACAGAAATAACACGCTGGCTTTTTAGACCAAGTTATTTTAATATATACATATATAAAAGTCCATATTCAAAAGCAGGTGGCTTGGTCCTCTTTCATTTATAATCTTGATTAAACTCTGGACAAATTAGGATTAAATACCTAATCTCCGCTGGTAGGATTCTTATCTTGTTCAGCCATGACGTTGCAAAACCAGACAGCAGAAGTGTGTCTGGTTTTGTGTGTGTGTGTGTGTGTGTGTCTTTTCCCTCGGGCATAGTTGTGGGGTTCTCCGCTGACTGTGTGTCCTCTCGACGCCCCAGGACTTAGAGGTCGGAGGTGGACGAGTGTCTCCAGCACAGACAGATATTAGTAGTCATGAGGAGCGAGTCACTTCTGCATCTCTACTTCCTCCTCAAACCCTTCTTCTCTGTCTTAGTCCAAAACTGCTGCGTCAGTCCTGTGACGAGGGTCATATCACTGTGAAAGCTGTTTTAAAATGTTTAATTTTTTATTTTAGTAATATTCTGTTACTAATGTCCTGTGTCTTTTTGTTTATTTGCAGATTAATGATGTTAGAACAACCGAACTTCCTTCCACTGACCCACATTCCATTCAGATTGGACTGGAACATTCTCTTTTTTTTTCGAAAGATAAAAGCTTCTGACACAAAATTGTTTGTGATCGACAGTCACTCCTTTGTCCCTTTGAGCTTAGACACATGGTAACGAATGTAAAGTTGAACCGCTAAATATATTTAAATCCAAGAAATATCGCATCGTATTGACAGAGAGACTTTGAAATATATTTTTGCACTCAATATGGGTTTTAAAAGTGAAATAGCAAGTGCATTTTTAGGCTTGATAAATAATATATTAAAATGTAATATAATTAAATGTATTTTTCTAAATATACTATGATGCATTTTATAAACCAATATCTGATTGTGGGTTTGCTTTCATGGATCCTGTTGTACTTTGCGGGAAAGTCATTGGAAATTGGGTTTTTAAGTTCTATTATTTTAAGTTACTTTAAGTCCATCGATCACCAATGTCTGGATTTCAGGGTTTAATTAATAAATTAACGCCCTGAGGTGTCATTTGTTGAAACTGTGTAAATTGTGAAAATGTGGTAAATAAAGAGAACAGCAGAGAACAGAGACTTTGACATTTTTACCTATTGAATACTTTTTGTAATTGAAAATGTATTTGACGATACTCAGATTTGTATTATTATAATTAAAAAATGAAAAATGTATTTCCTGTTTTTTGTTTTCTAGAAATGAGTTGCTTCTACTAAGACAGTTCTAGTCTGACAGAATCATTTAACGGAGGAAATATCAAACAACCAAAATAAAAACACACAATTAAGTAAATTAATATAATAAGTGAAATTTAGCCTCTTCATTTTTTACTATACCTTCTCCAATCCCAAAAATATCATTTAAATGTTTATAAGTGAGCCTGTCTTCATTCAATTAATTATTTCTTCAGATTTTGACGGAGTCACGGCACTTTTAGTGATTGGAGGTTTCATGTGTTTTCACTTTCTGTTTAATCAGCACATGAGCCCAACAGAACCAGCGAGCTGGACAGGCCACACTCCGAAAGGAATAATTAAGAAGGATAATCTGCTAACCCTATCCCTTTTTTAATATTAATTAGAATTCAGATAAAAACTGTTGTTTATAGATCTTTTTTTCTCAAAGTAAAGCCTAATTTCCTTTTTAGAGCTAATCTTGAGAAAGGCCTACAGTGCACATTTTATTCTTCGTAATTTCAATTAGTAAAAAGAAATGGTTTGATTTTTTGTGAAGGAGAAGCAATAATCTGTGCCTACATCATATAGCTTTCAAATTAAATACAAAATCTAACTAAAACTATATATTTTTCCATTAAATTTAGTTTTGTGGCTAAATCAAAAATACCATATGGATTTGTCATCACATTTCAGAGGCTAATACTCAGCTTACATTGGGTTTTGTATAAAAAGGTAAAGCAAATTGAGTTGGAATAATTCGAAATGAAAAAGGTGGGTTTTGTTGCATTTATTTTAGAGAGAGAAAGTGGGAGAGAGAGAGAGAGAGAGAGAGAGAGAGAAAGAGAGAGAGAGAGAGAAGCCATCATCTAAATAAATGCAAATTGGGGCCGCCTCCACCTGGCATCGTGCCAAGTATCTATAGCAACGCTGTCTTTCCACAGCCTCCGTCCATTCCACCCTCTCACTCTCTAATTAGTCCTCTATCTTCCCTATAGCTCTTTTCTTCTAGGGCTTTTTCACCCATTTGCCAGAATGATGATGTGCACAGATATTGTGATCCGAGCTCTCGGTCTGCTTTAAGAAGAAAACCCGCACCAAACGAAATATTACACATTTGTCATTTAAACAGACGCTTAATTAACAGAAATTACAGTACGTTCAAATAACGTAATGTATTTCCTTCTTTCTGTATGATATCAAATCATCAGAGTCGAATCTCAGACAGCATCAATATTTAATAATATCAGGCATATTTACTAATTACCGTTGTTGTCAGTTCAGTTAATTCCTCAGGTTCCTAGTTGCCGTGTTGCGTTCACGGTCAAGTTCAAAGCTTCAGCGGGGCCTCCAGCACGGGAGAAGCGCCATTTGACCCGCCTCACCTTCCCTTGGCTCCCAGCGCGGTGCTGCACCGCCACCTGCCTGCGATTTATGGAACTACGGCCAGACGAGTGCACTTATTGACGGGGAGGTGGCGCCCTCCATCGGTCAATAGGCGTCATCACATACACCGTGTGACTGGCTTCAAAACTGCTTTTTATTTCCAACCAGCGATAGATTAGATACATGCGAAAATCAGCATGAGAAATGGAGAATAAAATACAATTTTTGCTATTAATAAATTAACAAACTTACCCATTCACTGGATTTGTTTAGCCATAATATAATTCTATTATATAACATTTTGTATTCATGTGTGTTTATTTATCATTTATATATCATTTATCCCCATTCATTAGCGCCTAATTTTTTTTTCAATTATCTTTTACAAAAGATATATATAAAATAGCAAATACAATTGCAAACAAAATAATATAGTGCACGGGATCACCTTGCCTAAGAAATGAAAGGTTAGGAAAATCTAGGCAAGTGGGACCGACACAAGAGAGAGGAGAAAAATACGACTTGACTAGTCTGTGTTAGGCGTTAATGTCAAATACCACAAGACAAAGACAAAACAGTGAAATAATACCAGGAATCAATGTGTTGATAATATCCAATTTTATTTTGGGATTTGATATTTCAAACTTTCCCACAGATACAGCATCGTCAATAGAGATTAAACACAAGGTGTGGTATTAGTAGCTACGTTTACATTCAGTTGGCACAAATCACGAGGACTTATCGCACTGTACTGAAACAAAAACATTACCAGGTGATCTGTTGGAACATGCAACACAATGGCATCGCATGGCTGCATGTAGGATTACCCACAAATTGGATAAAACAAAACATGTCATCTTTTTCTAGTTGTTTTTTAGTTGTTGTTGCAGTGATTCTGCATTATTCATCATTAGGCCACTGTCAAGTACTTAACGAAACAAGATGTACTTTCCATTGAAAACTAAAACTTTTTTTTGGCATTTCATGATTGTCTGGGGTTTTCCGCGTGTGTTGTTACCCTCCCTATCAGTGCATTTCCATTATGCATTAACCTTATTCCCTTGAGCTACAGGAAGATGATGCCATTAAAATGCTCTTCTCATTGAAATCAGCACATAAATGACCATCGGCTGTAGTTTGAATTGAGTCCCTAGGCTGGTTGGAATGGATTGTTTCGGTCTGTTAGGGAGCCACGTTCATGCATCTCACCATAGACAGCAGAACATTGCAAGGCAGCATATACGTTTTTTTTTTAATTCACATACAAAAACTGGACCTTTAGTAATACATTCAGTCACAGAGGTCTAACAATCTCCAAACGTCAAACCATCTTCTGCCCCTTAAATATTTGGAATTTCACGACTGAAAGCAAAGGCTTAAAAGTGGACACGACCTTCAAAAAGGTCAGTAGAAGTAGCTCAGTCATAGTACCGTTGTTACTATTCCTCGCCAGGCACTTGAGATTCAGTAACCACCCATCGCTCCGCTTTCAGTCACTGTACACTTTCTACATTATAGCATTCTATCTTCAGCTGTCAGTCATCAAAGCTCAGATACTTTTATTTCCCACCTGCTTAACGGAGGAAAGGCAAAAACGAAAAAAACACACGGATATTAAAAGACTGCGCAGGCCTCTGTGGTGATGGGAACAATAACGCCCGCTGCGTCTGGTGTCCGTCACCGGAGCACTTCTACCAGCGGCCTGGGACCCGTTTCAGGGCGCACACACAGGAAACTGAGCCTGAAGCCCGACTCTGAGATGAGAAACAGACTCTTGGGTTCTGGAAAACATCTGATCGGAGTGCGTTCAACAACACAGAGAACCTGGAGTTTCCCTCATCTCAGGGACACTTATTCAAGAGCTTTCAGCAAACCTGCTAGTTTGAACAGCGCTCTGATTCACTGAACAATGAACAATCACTACAAGAGGACAGACGGATGAGATGATGATGGTCAGGAGAGTTGACTTTGAATGAATAAATGCATAAATGAATATGGCCGATGTCCTCACCAATGTGTAAGTGATCATGTGACTTTGTCTGGCGGCCTTTAGCGACCTTAGCTGGTGCTCGGTGCTGGTATGTAAAAAGTTGCTTTTTTTGATGAAATCCTTTCAATGACAAATTTAACTATTTTAGATAATTGGTATTAAGTGTGAATGTTCATATACTGCTTATGTTTATATACAGCTTCTTGTTTAATCGGAAAAAAAGTTTCTGTTTCACTCAGTTTCTGACTGCGGCCGAGCACAATCGCACAATATACGAAGTCTTCATTTCCCTCTGAAATTACACCAATATATTTTACAATCAACATTCACTCTATAGTTATAAAGTTAAGGCAAAACACTTGTCTATTAACACTTTAAAGTAACTAATCCAAGTGTGGATCAAATTTGATTATTGATTAACAGAGAAAACCAAACATCGGCTCCTTAAGAGATTTCAAATGCTAAACGTTGCTTTTCGATGACAGAGTTTTGGGTTGTTTGTCTGCTGCTCAGTTAAAGAACAGTAAACATTGTTAAGACAACTTAAACAATTACAGGCATCAGTTTGGTAATTATGAAAATCTATAGATTAACTAAAAATGAAAATGATTAGTCATCTGGAAAGTGAAAATAGTAAATACAATTCTACAACTTCAGAATCACAATTAATATATTCTTTTTTTTTTTTGAACTACTAAACCTAAAGTTTTTCTGGAGATCCTCACACTTGTTTTACAAGACGAAATCTTCCTGTGTTCCTCTCATGAGGACAACGCTTTGCTCCAGCTGCTCTGCACCCAGCTGTTCCCTCAGCTCGGTGTGTGTGATCCAAGTATATAAACTATTCCTCAGCGGCCGCGAGCCCATCGATACTGTCCAAACTGTCCCAGATACGGTCCATCTGAATGCAACACTACTCACTACATAAAACATTGATATGCAAGAACGTAATGAACAATCGGTGGTGTGCTGAGGTAAAGTAAAATACTGAGAAAACTAAAATACATAAAATCACGCCTGGAAGGAACTCAAATCTCTTCACCAGGCGTGTGCAACTTTCCAGTCAAACTACCTCATGAGAAAATAGCAGCACAGCTATGGACCTTGAGCTAAGTTTGAAATAATGCCCCCTGCAGCGGCCAAACCAGCAGCACGTAGACCATGACATCCAAACACACGTGCGTCTGTGTTCATCCATTACGTGACTGACTGCAGCGTACCAGAAAAAGAACAGAAGCGCCTTTCAGAATTGAAATCACAAACCAAACAGCTAAAGGATCACAAGGCGCGGCCGACAGCAGCACAAACAGTCTTCTTAAAGGTTCTTCTTTGTATTGGGCTACATAACACTGTTCCTGTTCATCTGATAAATTAGTGTATATGATCTCACATTTTGGAACATCAACTTGCTTGGAGTGCATAACAAGGGACTGTATGTCCAGAGGTTGTTTTCAACTAGTTTGTATTAACACATACAAACAACTAAACTTTCTAATGCAATGGACAATATTGTTAGAAAAAGCCCATTATATATTATCACAGGGAAAACAAACACAATAATTTGGGCACTGTTTAAACACCATATACTGCATGTTGGCACTGGCTTAAAACAGGCTCATTAGTCATTAGCGTCACTACGGCTGAACTGCAGATACAAGTCTGTGAATTCAATCTTAAGGAGGTCCACTTATAGATACTGGACTCTTTGTGATTTCAATACATTGAACTACAACAAAAGAATGCTGTTATCTCTGTGCTGGGAAAGATTTTTGCTCTAAAATTGTACTTTGAGAACTTTTGTGCTTCAATAATAGTTTATAACAAACACACACATGACAAAAAATAGTCTCAAGGGGATTATATTTTACTGTAATCAAATCAAGCGCATGTTAAAATGTTTGGCGACCTGCATTAAAGTTGTCGGTTTTAAGCAGACACACAAAGCAGCTGGGAGACGTCGGTGAGTTTCGGACTGACGCTCACAGTCAAACGGGGGCGACCACACGGAAAACCACTGAGCACATTGCACTGAGCTGTACGTGACAACATTGTGTACATGGTATTCTGTAGCATCCCCACCACACCTCAAGCCCACCGGGGTTCGGCCCCCGCTGCACGGCGACAGCGCAGGACAAAACATTAACGTCCCGCCAGCTTGAGCCGCTGTGTGTTTGCTCCTGTCCAGCAACACGCCACTGTTACTCTCTTACTTCCTTTCTCTTCTGAGGGTGCGTAGGGGACTCGTCGTCCCACTATCCCCGTCTTCCCATCTCCGTTGTCTTTCCTATCGAGCCGTGTAGCCCATCTGATGCAGTTTCTTCAAGAGAATCTGAGTGAGGTCAAAGGTGGTGAAGCTGATCCCCACCGCGATGGGCCCTTTGACCCAGTTCATGCTGAGACCTTTGTAGAGTCCGCGGATGACCCCTTCCTCGGATACGATCTCCTTCATGGTGCCCAGGATGGTGCCGTACGTGTGGCCTGTGACTCCTGCCGTCTGCATACGGCGGCGCACCACGTCTAGAGGATACGACGCCGACTGGCCAAGAAGTCCCGCACAGGCTCCAAACGCCAGACGTTCATAGGAGTAGGGATGTGGGCGCCCACTGCGCTCTACGCGGGAGAGTAGGGGGTTAAGAAGTGCCATATTAAACACTCTGCAGAGGGAGGGGGGGCGCGACTTAAACAGCGCCATCGGTTACAAAAACTCAAATCAAAGGATGCGTTCCCTGGAAGAACGAGCTGCTGTAACACCTCGCCCGAGACGAAATGTGACACTCAGAAATGTGCTGCTGTGGAAATTGCAAAAGGCTCATCAGAGCACTCGACTGCTCGACGAGACAGCGACAAGTGTCCTTGTCAAAGTACGATAGATTAGAATTGGAATTTAATAATAGCTAAATAATTCCTAAATTCCTAAATACAATTCCTTGTATGTTTGACATATTTTGGCTAATAAATGTTTCCTGTTTTCCTGTTTCCTAATTCATTTGAATAACGGACTAAATTAAAAAGTGAATTGTTAACATTAAGGGCGCAAGAAAGGTGCATAACTATGCAACGACACGTGGACACGAAAGGGGTCACCATTACCTGCGTGAGACTTCTTCAGCGTCTCGTAGGTGAAGAAGCTCAGCCCAGCATAGGGAATAACACCCAGCATGGTGGGAGCAAAGCCTCGATACAACGTCTTCAGGCCCTCTTCTCGGGATATCCGCACAAACACGTGCAGGATGTTGCTGTACCTAAACACCAGGAGGAACCCAAAACAAGAGTCTATTCGACAATAAACCTTTTATACAGAATGTGTTTGTTTCACCTAATCATGTAACATTTTAGGACAACCTATCGAGTCTTTGGTAATGAATATATACCAACAATCAACACCTAGAAGCAGTTCGAGCAACAAGAGATCAGAATCTACTGCAGTTGTTCTGTAGTTGAACCCTGAATGAGCAGAGAATGTAACGGAATCCCTGGTGTTATTTTGTGTCTTTGTGTTATATACCAGCTGTGTTTTGGTAGTTAAAGATGACCTTACATTTCCTTGGGTGTTACAGCCATCCTAGCTCGCACCATGTCCAGAGGATAAGTCACCATGGCTGCCGTGGTACCCGCCATGGACCCAGCCAGTAACCTCGGAACTGGAGGAAGGACTCTTGAAGGAACAGTCCAGATAGAAGTGATTAGATCAACAGACCAGAGCGGTCGGCTCTGACTGATTGGTCAATCAGTGTTTTGACCAATCAGTGTTAAGTGGCACTTACTTCCCCTGGAAGCCATAGTAGCCTCCTAACAGTCCCTTGTACTGCTCGTGTGCACAGAACTGGATGGCAGCGTACGGGATGACTCGCACCATGGTGGCAGAGTTGCCCCTCCAAAGACTGACGAAGCCATTCTTCAGGTAGGTGCGGTAGATCAACCTGTAGGCCTCCTGTGGGCACACGCGGAAACATACATGCTCATGATTGATCGATGATCATTTTAGGTTTAGAATGTTGTGTTTGAAACGTGTTCCTTTGAAATAACTTTGAACAACTAACAAGTAGCAAAATTCAAATGTCATGTGGCTTATTTTGACAGCAAGGGCTGTGAATAAATCGCCTGCTTTGAATGAGAATCCCAGTTTGTTAATAAATAAATTGACAATAAACTCAAACTTACCTTGGCAGAGAATCTGGCTGAAGACACTACAACAACAAAAAAGTATGTGCAATATAAATGTCAGGTAATTTTCTATAACTACATCACAAACATAACATTAGTTCCAGATCTAATTCCATGACATCCGCGTGAGTCATTTCTAATTAAAAGCACTTTCCACTTTGAGGTCAGCGGAGGATTCAACTTGCCTTGGAAGATGATTTTAGTTCTGTCCAATGGGGCCACGGCTGTCTTGGCCACGGCTCCTGCTAAAGCCCCGGAGAAGAGCGAGTTGACGACAGACCGAGCGCTCTTCCGGCCCTGCACAGTGATGGAGGAATTACATTCGGGGTCATCAACACCGACAGTGAGTGAATCCTGTAAAAACGGCCTCCTTGTTGTGTTTGCGGTGCTGTTGATCATTAACTTGGGAGTTATGTGAGGAAAATAGATCACATCTGGCGGACCAGCTCACAGAACATGACAATTAGGAGCAGATGTCCGTAAATGAACCCAAAGACCGAGAAGAAGCCATGAAGCTCCGAAACTCAGGACAACGCCCCCTTTTCCACGTGCAATACGGCAGAGCGACAACCAGACGATTTCCTTTTACTAAAGACAGTTCAGATAAATACAGACACTGAGAAAGCTTTCTGAAGCCACAATAACACTTCCATTGACGATAATCAGGTAATGACACATTTAATTTTCCTACACAATAATATAGATATTATTATTATACGAGACGGCTGATTCACAAATTTACAAAATAACCATTAACAGCAATAACTGCTGAACATTTTCCTTAATTAAAGCAGTGAAGGAAGGACCGCGTCTATAGAATGTCACCTCATAGCTCCCTTCTGACTGACGGGAGGAATCCAGCGGCAGCACTTCTCCCTGCGTGAGTGCTGCCCGTTGTTCCTGCCGGCCGGTCCCCATCCCCGAGGACTACGCACGGCTGTCTCCGAGCGGGCGCATGAATTCCACCACGGCAAGGGAGGGCCACCAGCCGTCTCTGTGCTTGGACCAACGGAGGAGGCGAAGCGATCAAGAGAGAGAAAGAGAGGTCAGTTTGAGGTGAGACTTAATATAGAAACAATTGACAAGCATGGCTAGATGCAGACATTGTCTTTAAATTCAGATTTTGCTTTCGGGAGTCGTGGCTATATGGCACGGTGGCGTGGTGGTTAGCACTGTCGCCTCACAGCAAGAAGGTCCTGGGTTTGATTCCGCCCAGTGGCCTTTCTGTGTGGAGTCTGCATGTTCTCCCCGTGTCTGCGTGGGTTCTCTCCGGGTTCTCCGGCTTCCTCCCACAGTCCAAAGACATGCTCTGGGGATCAGGTTAATTGGGGACTTTAAATTGCCCGTAGTTGTGTGAATGTGAGTGTGAATGGTTGTGTGTCTCTGTGTTGCCCTGCGATTGGCTGGCGACCAATCCAGGGTGTACCCTGTCTATCGCCCGAAGTTGGCTGGGATGGACTCCAGCCCCCCCGCGACCCTGTGTGCAGGATAAGCGGTCTGACAATGGATGGATGGATGGATGGAGTCGTGGCTATAGCTTCGTCACGCTGCAACAAAAAATCTTGCCTTGTGCAAAATGCTTTACGGTCACGACCTTTCTTTCTGCACTCCCCCTGCCGAGTGAACGAGTGTCATGTCAGCATGTGATGACTAACAGAGATGTTGGTTATTAAGAAACAGCAAAGACAACACCCGACTAGAGGACATTGTTACCTCGAGAATAATCCAGTTGCATTTAACCAACTGGCACACCTTTGAAGGCTGTAAAAAGACACTAAGCTGAGGAGAGTTGAAGTATGTGACATCCAAATATATCTGTTGAGGGTCAAAGTCGAGGACTTGTGGGGGGAAAACATGTGAACAATCCAAGAAAGGTCTTCTTTGAAGCCTCAGTAGTCAATGGAGACTTAAATCATTTGAACTTAAAGAAAGAACACTATCTGGGGCAAAGTCACAGCTATAAACAAAGACGCATGAATGTTCTACAATGAGCTAATCACTGGAGAAATCCCCTATTCATACAACCTTTGACCCCCAAAAGCTCAAGTCACACACTGCACACGTTAACCAAGCATTCACTAAACCACCACTTTGAACAATTCACAACACAAAGGTGAAATACAATATGTAGACCTAAAATGCAGAAGAATGTGTTTAAAGTCAGAGAAAATGTTGTTAATAACACCTACCATTTTTATTATTACAGAAAATATAGTGACTGATATTTATGTTCTACATTCTTTGTTATACAGGAATGTTATTTACGCTAATTAGGGTGTGGATTTGTTTCCTGGGAGATACTGTTGAGTTTATATAGTAAATACACGTTTATAAACATTTTCACACTTTTTCAGTTCTACATTATTCTATTTAACGGTACAGTTGCCAGTGGAAATTGTAATATTTGACTAAATGTAACTTGCTACAAATCGATTATTATTGGGAGAAATCCCACCAGGGATCTGGGAATCAAGCAACCATCCGGAGAATCAAGCCAAACAAGAAAAACATGTAACAAATGATTCAAAGGAGGGTTTGCTGAAAAGCTGGTTAGTCGTGGACTTCAAGTCAGATCCATTTGGGGACACAATGTGTCCCCTTTCACCTCGATCACTGCCCCCCCCCCCCCCCATAACCCCCCGACATGCAGGGCAATGGAAAGGTGGAGCTGCCCTCGAGGAGAGCGTCCATTCCAAACACACACACGAGTAACTAGACACACCGCAGCGTGTTGCTTGAGGGGCCTGTGTTGTTGTTGGGGGGTTCTGCACAACCTCCTGGCGTTAGGCAATAGTTTCATAACAGCACTGGTTCCTATATGCCACCAGTTTCCATGGCATCCTACACCATTGATTTCTAAACGAGTCGAGCAAGTATCATTTGCACAGCGAACATGAGAAGCACGGACACACTACATAACGCACACTTGCACGTCCGCGGTGCTCCAACTCGCTCCAACTTGACGACGGCGCAGCGGCCAGAGGCGGCGAGCTGTCAGCAGTGAGGTTACAGACCACGACGTGGCTCTCTTACCTCACGGAGTGGACCTCGGAGGTCCTCGCGTTGTTGTTGTTGTTGTTGTCGCTAGCTCCGCGCTCGTTGGACGGACGGTACCGTTGGGGAACGTCAACGTTAGCGGTTAGCTTAAGCGCACATCAGCGTCAATGTGACTCCCGTCGACAGTGTTTATGGGAGTATCGATAGTACGCTCTCGTCTTTAAAAATAAGTTAAAAAAACGTCTCCTCGCGTCGAAGGCGCTGCCTGTCACACAAGTCTCGTATTCATTCGCGCTGACGTGACTTTAAGCGACCAGCATCTCCCATGCTGGTTTGTTTCTGCCGTTACTGGCCGTGACAGCGTTGAGATAGAGCATTCTGACAAGGACGCGCCGCAGAGCATTGTGGGAGTTGTAGTCTGAGCGGGTGCGGCGCGGATAGGTCGGTTAGAGGGGCGTTGAGAGGAGGCACTTGGCGACCGGCTGGTTCAAAGAGCCACAGGGCACCTCCGAGGGGGCTCAACCACTTTTATCCTAATTATGCACGATATAGACTAATGTTGTCCGAGGTAGGTGTAAGTATCAGATATTTACGTTGTTTACTGTAAATAATGCATATACTAACAAACATATGTGAGAGGAACTGTTTTCATTTAGTCAAAGTATAAGGCATTAAATACATACATACATTAACATTTGGCTATGCAAACAATGAAAAGGATGTTGCACCGAGTAGTGCATTTAAAATGATTTGCATAGAAGCAAATATACTAATAACACGTATTCATAATACCCATAGCAGAAAATAAACCAATTCAACTCCTAACATCCTGAAAGCATAGCTGTGCTACAAGTATACATTTGGGTAACAGAGATTTTGTGAGCAAATTAATGACAGGAAACAATAATGTTCAATAAGACAACAATTATCTTTTTGTACAAAAACAAAAGAATGACTGGACAGCATATTCAACCTGTAAAGAACGCTCTGTGGGTCTAGCATTTACCTCACTTTTTTAACCAATATGTCTATCTGGGTAGATGCATCTGCTTAACTAGGTACACCAACATAGCATTTCATCTTGCCTAAAATGCATTTCAGCCAAATTGATGATGAGGAGCGACTTCTCTCAGTTGGTGAGGCTGCCATGTTTGCCGGTCCACAGCTCTCTGAGCTCCACCTGGCATCCCAGATCTCTGAGGGCTGCTTTGCCGACATCGCCGCAGTCTTGATGGGTCTTTAGTGCTTGTGCTATCAGGGCCTCTGCTCCCATCTCCAGGATTGGTTGGCTTAAGTTACTCATACGCGAAACCAGGTTTCTCATCACCATACACGCTTGTTTCTATTCACATACAAATAAAACAGGGAGATAGAGAGTTGCCAAACTGTAAGAGGAGTGGTTTCTTTAAAAAAAAGCATAAAATAATTATGAATGACTTCATATTACCTGCACATTGACTGAGTCTGTGTGCGTCTTCATAGCCTGCACAGCAGCCAAGGCCCCTCCATTTTCCATGATGACTTTGCAGTTTTCGGGTTTACGCAAAGCAAGGACTGAGAGGCATGCACAGCCGTGTTCACACACCTGCAGCACAATGTGAACATGATCTCATAACCTTCGCATATTTAACTCAACTTGATTGTTATCCCACAAAAATAAATGAAAACAACCAATATTCCAGATCCCATTCACAGTCAATTAGTAGGTATGACATTCAACTCACTGCAGGGTTGTTCATGTGTCTGTTCATGGCAATGACAATGAGCTGGACTCCACCGGAATTAACAACGGCATCTTTCACGTCGTCGTTTCCTGATACAGCTCGTATTGCACTGAGGACCTGCCGAACCAGCTCCTGCCAGAAGAACATGAGATCAGTGAGCCTAACAAACATGGAGGATGAATCTCAAATCAGTTTGTAACACAATCCCCGGTTCTTTGTGGCTTACCGCTTTCTCATAGCTATCCGCGAGCAGTCTCATGATGAGCTTCAACCCTCCAAGATCGCAGATGTCTTGACAAAACTCATTCCTCACAGCCAGACGGGACAGAGTTGCACACAGCTCACTCAGAACAGAAGTATTATCAAGGTGAACTGTGAGGGAAGAAGACATTAGATTAAAAAAATGACATGAATAAAATCAGACTGACTAAGAAAAAGACAAAAGCGGTTGACGCCGGTATTCAAAAGAGCCACATAAACTAGGACTCAGCAGGTCTCACCTTTTGCAGCGTTAATTAAAACCTTGAGTCCATTGTGCTCAAGCACAATTATCTTGGCGTGTTCGTGAGCATTCCCAAACGCAACGCGGACATCGTCATCAAAGACCAGTACCCGGAGAGCTGCAGAGGCTTCCTTCACCAGCTCGGCACATTCAGTGTGTTCTGTAATGGCGCCGGTCAGAAGAGGCACGACGCCCCCTTTCACCAAATCCTGCCGGTTCTGTTCATGTTTCAAACAGCAGCGACGCACTGTGCAGACGGCCGTGCGCACCACAGAGGGATCCGGCTTATACTCCTTAAGGACATTCAAAAGGAAATGCCGGCCCTCTGCATCCAACAAGTCGGGCTGTCCGTCTGTCAGTGCGGCCAGAGCAGTCAGTGCAGTCAACACGGCGTCCCGCTCCTCCATGCTCTTTTTGCAGTAAGAGAGGATGACGGGGTAGGCGTCCTTTTGGGCGGCCAGGTACCGCTGGGCAAATCCTTGTGAGCAACGCTCAGTGAAGCGTTTCATGTCCGCTTCCACTTCCTTGCAACTGGCAGAGTCTTTTACACTGCGGAGGGAATCCAACGCCTGCAAGTGAAAAGAAGACGTGAGGTTTCGGCCCCGTTTGTAGTCAGCAATCTCCTTTCACCAAAAAAAGACAACAACAAAACAGGCTTACCTGTAAGACCTCATGGGTCGGCTCCTCTTGTTTGTTATCAGATGAGACCACAGGTACAGCTTTTACTATACAACTGAGGTTCACACCTGCAACCACATATAGATTTGGGTTAATGTCACACAAAAATATCAAGTACCAAGAGAAAAGTATTACAAAAGAATCATAATTCAAGCATGTGCATATGAGCGTGGTATCTTCTACGAAACTGAAGAAACTCCACTCCCCATAAGAAAGACACAGAGATACGTGGAGTGTGTACGACCAACATCTTAATTGATCCAATTTTACAGCTAGACATACTAATGTTTAGTGCTTGGTGCGTTTCCCTCTGATCATGGAGCTTATATAACGTTAGATCATGAACAGTCAACAACAAAACTGTACAATGCTCCACCCATCGTTCTTTCCAGCTGTGTTACCCTGAGAGTCGAACTGCTCCACAGCCTCCTTCACAGCCTCGTCGGCGTCCATCTCAAACTCCTCCATGTTTTCCTTGACGACGGCATCGAAGGTCTCCTGTGTGATCCTCCGCTTCTCCATCTCCGCCAGTCAAGGGTCCACGTATGTGACAAGCTGGGTGTCAAAGGAGATGGGGACGCTGGTTCTGTCTACTCTGTGCAACGCTAGCTGGTAACAGCTGATGGATCGACAGCGACTGGCTGGTGGAATTCGCAAAGTCACCGTCAAATAAAGCTGTCGGAATCGTAGCTTTTTTTCTCACTTGGTGAAAATATCCGTGTAAATAAAATAAGTCAAATTTCCTGGATGGAACCGTCGCCCCGTGACAGACAGACAGACAGCTTGCTCCTCCGATATGAATGAAAATGTCCGGCGCGGTCGATTGACGTCATTTCCGTAGTCATCGTGTTCCCCGGTTAAAGGTGTGATGGCGATGGCGTCAATTGTGCGGAACCGTTTAAGTGAATACTGAATTACTCAAAGAGCCCACCCGAAAATACCCTCGGATGGAGCATGCACTGCAAGACATTAGTTCTGTGGCCGTTTCTCTCTTGGTTCTTCCGAAGACAAATATTTTCTTTTCTTCATTTTGTCAGCGACAAGTGATGGTCTCACCTTCAAAATAAAAGACGTCCCTTTGGCAATTTATTACATGAACGTGATAAACATCTCGGGGTGTGTTGCAGATTGCAACAAAAGAAATACCTATTTGTTCACCCCTTCATTTCCAAGTAAGACATATCTTTAGGATATGCTTTTACTCTTATCAGTACAATAACTGACTTTTTGGAAATGCTTTTCCTTTTCTTTCTTCTGTCCTGCTGGCTAGAGTTTACTCAAATAAGTAAATGTTGTTCTTGTGTAAACATGGCTGCAGTGGTTGAGCCGATTGGATTAGGTTCCACTTTCATTGACGTGTCCATCCTGGTTGCACAGGTGTATTGATTAAATATATGCTTTGTACTCGCAAATGTTTCATTGACACCAAAACATTTAAAAACACCGGTATATCCCTAGAAACACCCTGGTCCTGATTGTGATAATTGTTCTCAGTGTTTATATTATTAAGGTTTGTCAGTTTTCCGAGCATGTTTCCCGGGTTGTTTACAAATCCTGCTGCCCAGCATTACACGGTATCGGTAGGTCTATAGACAAAACAAAAAAATTAAATTAAAACAGAAGCATGCTTATGATAAGACAACGGCATATATTTGGAAAAAAAATCCCAAACAAGTATTTCCAATGAAATCTACAGTTTGTTACAACACCGCACATTTAATCTCCATTCAGATCTGTTTCCTTCTGTTCTGTTTCTTTCTCTCTTTACCTCGACTGTATCTCCATCAACTGCATGTATAATGCAGCGGCTCGGTTTACTGTACAGGTGAGGAGGTCTCTGTGCTTTCTGAATCCTCTGTAAGATTCTGTATTCATCCAAATCTTTAAAAGTCAATCAAGTATATGATCTCATTAATCTGCCGTTTTACGGAGGATTATTCCTAATCACAATGCCCCTGTCAGGCTATAACATCATGTGCATTTGTTCCATGCATTTTGCTGGGTTTTAAATTCTCTCTATCATCCAGGGGTCTTTACAACGAGGCCAAGAAGGAACATTTTACTTTTATCCACTGTAAACTTATGATCCTATTCTGCCTTTCTATTTACAGAAAAATAATTTTGAATGTAAACTTGCATAAATAAAAGGGGTTTTGATCCCAAAAGACGTCGGATGCTGATATTAACAGGCTGATGCCTGCTTGCTTGTCATGCTGGCTCACATCTTCTTTGTCAGGGTGAGTCTACACATTAACAACACGTCCTCTATTAGGTACCACAATGTTGGACGAGTATCTTAAAACTGCTGATGTTACCTTGAGTGCTCGCCTTATGATGTTTGTTCTGCATTGCAGCTGGCAACCGAGACCCGGGACATTTATATGAACAGCTGGTAGCATAAGAGGTATGGGGACATGTGATGGAGGTGAGATGGTGTTCATTTCTATGTTTATAATATTCTACGTGTCATTGCACAAATGCACAGCAAACACACATCTGAGTAATGAAGCCACGACTGAAATAGAAGTTGACATTGCTTGGGGAAACAAACAAGTCACTGACGAAACAAATAATAACTTTTCAGTAACTTGATAAGTCCAAGCACCAAAGGCGAATGCAACACTTGGATCCAGAGTCCTGTAACATAAAACTGCAGCAGTGGTCATCGGTATTCACTCTGATCTTTTCCCAGCAGATCTGAAAAAGTTTAAAAAATAAATCTTTTCTAGCTAACATAATGCGAAAGTTTTTTATTACAGTGACACATTTTTGAGCTGTTGTACTAGTTTGCTCCACTGTACAAAAAACAACATTGAAGGAAAAGTTATGAGTCAAACCACTTTTAAATGTACAAAGCATCAGCCAGCAGCTATAATCAGTTTAGCTTTGCACAAAGACTGAAATAAACTAGTGTGTAGAGATACTGGGGGTTTTGTTCCCATTAAACAGATCTGGGATAATCTTTCCCCCAAGTTGCTAAGCTTGTTATGTGTACCATACTGAACTGTGAATATTTGATATATATATTTTGTGCAGGAATTCAATATCTGTCTTTAAGAAAGACTGGCTAGTTCTGATGCACAGTATTAGTTAGGCTGTATTTGGATATACAGAGTACACTATTCATCTTACTTAATGTAGTATTGTGGTATGTTTGAGATTTACTTGATGGACAGTTGCATTATAGTTTATTCCCTGCAGAGGAATTAATGTGAAATTAAAAATATGTTTGTTTTATTTACATTTAGTCTGGAACCTGCTTTACATCTAGTATTGATTTATTGTTCTTTGATGCATATAAAGATGCACTTTTAACCTCTTTTGAGACTGTAATGTATCAAAGAAGTATTTGGATCATTTTTGGACACTGCTAATCCGCTGGCTTGCTGCTTGGCCTTTTGGATTTTCACCATTTAACATGTTGTACATAGTTGGAGCTAAGAAGTGATTAATCATAAGATAAAATAACGTTGACTGTTAACTGTTTGCACCTTCTGTCATGATGAAGCTCACATTTCTTATCTTTTCCATGAAGACGTTTGTTTTTGTTTTTTCTCACTTTGTGTTTTACTCAGGTCTTCCAGATGATGGCAGCACAAGTCTCTATTTTTATACCTTATTTATTTACTCAACGTATACAGGAAGCAGTTGTTTGCTCGTTAGCCTTTAACATATTATCAAGTGACTTGCAGGACTGTTGATTTAGTAAAGCTCCTGCAGGAATGTTATATCTTTTGTTCCAATTGTGTACAATGTTTTGTTGCAGATCCATCTGCATATTCAATTTGAAGGTATACAAATGATTGGATCCTTTTAACGAAGAAACAGATCCATCTGAAACATAAAGCATTCATTCAAAGAGCAGCCTGAAAACTAACGTATATTGTTTACATGGTTTATTTAATGGTATGGAGTTTTTTGCATTGAAATCCTAATTTGAGAAAGTCCCATTTAGACCACAAGAGCAGAACTGAGACAGAGCCTGTCCTCATTATACGTTTTAGGTTCACAAGATAGTTAAAGTAGGTTTTTGTGGTTATCACAAAAGAGTCAAGCCTAAAAACCCTCCATGGAAAACAATACTATTGCTGATTGAAAGAAAACTCAGTAGGCCAAAAAGGAAGTGCTACAGATCATTCAGGGGGATGTAGTCGCCTTTATGGTTTCTATCTAAATTACACATCTGAAGAGGTTTGCAGCGCTATATTTGACTTTGACATATAAATGATAAAGCAATTAAATGTACTAAATGGTGTTTTGCTGAATCTGAAAGTAGTGATATTAAATTGTTTATTTGCTAATATGTGGGATGTCTATATGTAGGATTTTATTCCTGCACCTGGAAAAATGCAACATATTAACCCATTTTGACAATGCAATTGCTATAGCATAAAAAGCAAAGACACTTTGTGAATATTAACTTTCAGTCTCGGACGCATCTGAAAGGAGGCATTTCCTGCCAAATAGTGCGCCCGTCTAATCGTGACTGCAGCAGCTACTTCCTGCATTGTTACGGTGCTTAATGAGGATTAAGTTGACGCTGTCATGTTGAAACGTGGCGGCCATTAGACCTCCTTCACACGGAGAGACCGGCGGCACGTCTTACCTCACCTGGTCAGCACCTGCTGACTGACTCTGTCGACAGGCTGTAGTCAATGGCCTCTAAATATGTTTATTTATTTATTAAATCAACAATGCATTTAGAAAAAAAAACTGAATTAATTTGAGAAAAAAAAACACAAAAAAAATGTTTTGCTTGGTTATGAAATAGTTATGAACAATGAGTTATAGCAATAAGTATATATACACGCAGACACACATTAAATGAGAAGGAACAAAGAGACCGGACCACCTGACAGCATTATATGAACCAAAACAAAAGACAGCCTCAGAAACCGCAGTGACCTGCTCTATGCGCCAAAAAACAGGTTGTGGGTTAATTATTGTTTTATTGTGTCACATTTCGAGGTATTTTTCCACCTCTTTACAATTATTGAATTACTAATGTCTTCTATACTGCAGCAGGGATTTTATAAATACTGATGTTATGAGTTCTCCAAGAGACGCCCCATTTAACCCCACAGGGGGGCTGTTTTTACCTATTATTGATGATTATATCAATAAATATTTCACAAACGTGGGTAAATAGTCATAGGCATACATGGTCCCCAGAAGATTGATCCCCTGACTTGTCCTCTAGCGCTGACATCATTTTTTTTCGGCGAAGCGAAAGTTCTTGACATCTACAGGACCGATTACCATAATATCTGGATGGTGGCGCTGGTTGAACTTAAAAATAAATGGTCCGCCTATTACAACATCGGGTCAACGCTTTGAGGTTGTGGCAGAAACCTTCCTATAATGTCAAAGTGCACTCATGTCTTTAAGTGAAGGTGGCTTGGATTGTTTCTTGCTGTAATAGTTTCTTCCATTACTTATAAACTGTGACAATATTTGGAGTTGTTCAATTTTTGCTTTAGGTGTCGGGGGGGGGGGTTATAAGGACAGACCACTGGTCCACATTTGACTGCATTTATATGTGACAATCAGCAGCCTCTGGAGATGGAACAGCAGGACCAGAGGACGGAAACAATCAAACTTGATGACCCAGCATCATCTCTGGAGAGAGCTTTTTTTGTTATTTAAAGAACCAGAAACAAAGAAAAGCTGACAAAGCACTCGAGGCCCCCACCTGTTAAAGAAAACCAGCCCCCTGCCCTCTACAGTCTACTACTTAAATCACTGTCTTCTCACTGTGTGTATGTGTGCATTTCATGTCTGAGGATGTCAGAGCATGAGCTCGGTTTCACAGAGATGCTCTGAAGTGATGCCATGAAAGACGCAGCCAGGCCCCTTTGTAACCCCTGCAGTAATAACCTTAATAACCCTGCCATATGCGCTGTATGGATCTGACTGCAGCTGCAAGACTGTCTATATTAATGCAACCCTCCCTTTTAGCTCCTAAGAGACAGGAGGTAATCATGTGAGGCCGAGGTCTCCATCCAAATATGATGCTGAAGTGCTGAGAGCCTGCGAACGTGTGGCTGAGGTTGCTGGTGAGAGAGCAAAGTTTGATATGATTGATATGAGTTTTTATGGAGGGAGAGTTACTTACTACAAGGAATTGCTAAAAGTTCCTTGTAACTTTAGAGATACGAATTGATATGTTTATCGTTCAGGTATAAAAAAAAGCTTTTTCTTTTTTTTTCAAGCGTATGTTTGTGTGTGTGTGTGCGTGGGGGGAATTTTGACTCACTTTTTTTTGGGGGGGGGGGGGGGGGGTGATGTCGGTACTTGCTGGTACAGTCGTGGGTCAACCCGAAGCCCCCGGGGCCCCTGACGCGGGCGTCCCGCTTGTGGCCCTCGGTGGTCAGTGGCTTGCATGATGCGATGCCGGCACGCCGCGGTGCGCATGCCCACTAAGAGGACGCAGCGGCTCCATGTGTGTCGAGGCGCATTATTTGGCAACAGACGCGGCAGCGGGGAGGGCCGAAAAAAAAGAGGATATCCCCTGGATTTAAAAAAAAGCGACGATTTATCGAGGTTAACAGCAGATTAAACATTCCTCGGCGGAGCATCGGCGAAGTACGGGAGACAACGCGAGCGAGTAAGTTGACTGAGGTGACGCCGAAGTTTTTCCAGTAAGTGTATCTTTTATTCCGAGTCGTCGAGGGGAGCCGGGTTTTCCTCCACCTATCTGTGACGATAAAGAAGCTGATGGGCTGCTGAAAAGTAGCACTTCTCCGCAGAGCCAAAGGTTGAGCACCGGGGAGGAGATGGGGGGGCCGATGGAGGGGAGGGGGTGGGGGGTCGCTCCGCCGGAGATTACCCCGTTTTACGTTTTCGCTCGAGTGCCAGTGTGTAAATACGATCCCCGGACTTGATTCCGCGCGGTAGAAGTCGCGAGACGAGGTGAGGATCGGGACGCCTCGCCGGGGCGCGCGCGGTCCTCGGGCCGGTCGATGGAATAAATGAGTTCCGACTCGGGGTTTTTGTGTGTGTGTTGTTGTTTTTTTGTTTCTCCCCTTCGGGAGGGGACACCCGGTTCCACAGTCTCGTCCAACCGACACTTATATCATAGTGAGATTAAACAAAATAAAATAAAAAGTTTGTCCCCCCCCCCCCCGCTCATCAAGCCGATGCTCGTCCCGCATTGGGGTCACCGAGCCCAGGGTTCGGTTCTGGTGGTGCGGGGTTTACTGTGGGTGAGCTCGGCCGGGGGTGGGGGCACTTTTGTCACTTTTTGACCCCAACCGTCTCCCGGCGGCCGTTGACGTGCCGGCCGTTGGCGTTGTGAGCGAGCGCGAGCGGCTTCGTGTTGTTGTTTGTGTCGATGTTAGCTAACGTTAGCTCGCTAACCAGTAACGCGCTCCTGCGAGGCGGTGTCAATAATAATACTAGAGAGAAGCCGGCTAGTTGCACACGTAGTGTGGGCTGGGTTTAGTGCTTAAAGGGCTGAGTTCGGGTCGGGTCGAAGGGGGGACGGGGGCTGTACTGGCCGGAGGGGGGGGGGGGGCGTTAATGGTGGACGCTGGGGCTCGCTTTGAGCTGCTTTGGCACTAGTGTTGGTTCTGCTATCTGGTAGCTAATCTTCCTACTTCGCTCTGTGACAACCGTAGTCTTCCTCCTCTTAAAGCTGAACACACACACACACACACACACACACACACACACACACACACACACACACACACACACACACACACACACACACACACACGCGCGCGCGCGCACACACCGGGTCTCACCCAGACATGCGCGCGCGCGCACACGCACGTTTTTGGCTCCCACAGCACACTGACAGTGTGTCCCGTATAATCACGTTATAGTCTTTCATCTATTGTCTGTGTACTCGTTCGCTTTTCATTTGCTGGCTCGCGAGTGGATGTGACGGAAGCCGGTGTGTTGACAAAACCACACGCGGCATTTTAATGTTGTGTTGTGACTGCTGCTGCACTTCACTTTATTCCTCTTTATAGTTTTTGATAATATCTCGTTTTTTCATTGGCTAGGGTGTTAATACATAATATTTGTGGTGTTGTTATTAGCGGTCAGAGTGACAATAATAATGCAGTGCACAAGTTCACCGGCAGTATTCTCTTAATAGTACTACAGAAAAGGAATAAGTAGAAGGATGCACTGATGGCTTTAAACTCTTTTACTATCTTATAGGTACAGCTACTCACGGCTTTCATTGTTGCTAATCGTGCTCATTGTTTTCCAGATCAATCGCTTGTTTTAACATTATAACGAATGTGGATACGTCTAATAAGTTTACCCAAGGCCAAGGTGACCTCTTTAGATGTTTCAGCTTGTTCAGCCATTCACCATTCCCCCAAAAGTTCATTTTTGGCCACTTCGCCTGAAATATTAATAAAACAATCATATGATTAGCAAAGTAGTTTCTGAGTCATTGTCCTTTAATCAACAAAATGTTGCAGCACTACTTTTTGGGGGGGGTAAACATCCTTATCAGTAATCAATAATCATTGTTTGAGTAGGACTTGTGCGCAACAAAGCCACTTAAAACCCGCTCCTGGAATAAACAGGCAGTTTTAACGGGAACAAAGCGCTGTAAAGAGGCCTTTATGTGTTGCATGCTCGCATTGTTTATCACTCGTCACTGTGAACAAAATACATGTTGCCTTTAGCGAAGGACTAACACAGGTTAGAAGAGTGGAGAAGGCCTTTCTTTGACGCGGGCAACGCTTGCTGTTAGGACGCACAGCGTTGACCTTTCTAGTCATACAGAGTGACTGTATTCATGGTATTAAGAGCTCAGAAAAGTGTTCAGAAGTTTACTTTTTGTTGGTTTTCCGTTAATCACTGTTCCAGCACACAGTATTGTACATATTACAGTCGAGTACTTGCCACTGTTCTGGAACGGCTCGTCCTCTGGCCGTATTTTAAGCCGTTGCACATGACTGCAGGGGTCACAGGGCGGCTAGTCGAGCCCCCATAACAGCATACGGGCAGAGTTATTAATCCAGAAAACCAGTGATCAACTCCAAAGCTAATATGTTCAATTAAAGCCTACCTGCATATATTAAATAATTCTATTGTTGCTAGTGGATGCTTGTAAACCCTCATAGTTTTTCTGACAGATGCAACCAGATATCCGAGGAAGATATTTTTGCCGGTGCAATACCCAAATTAGTGTGTCTTTGATAAATCCAGTGCAGAGTTGTAATGTTTTTTTTACAGGTTAAGCGTTTGTCGCTGGTTGAATTAAACTGCTTAGCAGACACAGACGATGGTGGAGAGTGAGTCCGCCGGGCCTGAATTAAAGGGGATCGGGTGCCTATGGGCCTGATCCACAAGTGACTCCATGTAGAAGCAACTCGGGGCGAGAAGAAAAGACGCTCAGCAGGGCAGGTGTAGGTGAACTGTGGGTTTGGCTGAGTGGCACCCTGATAGCGGTAGCAACCTGATATGGAGAAAGTGACACTTCTTAAGAGTCAACTACCTGCATGGCAGAATAATATCAATGTCATTACAATGTAATTACGTGCAAAGTTGGATCCGATTTTTTCTTTCGACCTCAATTTTAAGCCCTTGGTTAAGCAGCAACGGTAAAGTTTCTCAATTATTTACTCAATGTTATTTTTAGAATGTTCTTTTCACCCAAACTTGGACCGTGTTGCAGCAGTTACTTTACAAAGCAGCAGTGGCTAAAACGTGTTGCCTACATCGTTGTGTTGCATTTACAGCACATGTCTCAAGCTGTGTGTGCGGCTTGTAGCTGTTGATAACGCAAATATTGCTCCCTCTCATCACGGCAGCATGCTGCGAAAGGCAGAGAGAAATAGTTGTGCAAATAATCTCTGCTGGGAAGCCAAGCAAATGTATTCAATGAGTGACACGGACGTAAGGACAGTAGGACACGTCACCACGAGCACCACCACACAGCGTACAATGAGGTGTCTGCGGGGCCGCTAAAGGCTCCTAGAGGATTTCCATCTTATTTGAATATTTATCCAGATTAGAACGTCTAGCCCGACAATTATGATCATTTTACCATGAAACTTCCGCCAGCTGTATGATTAAGTAAAGGATGATTTTGTCTTCAGCAGCATAGCTCTTAATGCTGACGTGTGTGTTAGGCCTTTAACGCGCAGGTTAGCGTGGTGTGATTAGACATAAAAGGACTTTAAAGTGGCCTCCAGAGCCTTTGTACTGGTCGCATGTGATGTGCACTCCTGGGTGGGCGGAGGTTTGATACACCATACGTATGTGTGCGCGTGTGCGTGTGTGTGTGTGTGTGGGCTTGATGGAAATGTGTGTAAACTATCAGGAAGATTCTAATGTGAAGCCTGTGCGCCATTCGGATCCCATGTTATAAAGATCGGGTCGTTGTCTGTGAGGCGTCGAGGGGTGAAGGATCGTCTCCCGGCTGTCACGCCGACATGCACACGCAAACCGTGTAATGGCCGTCGCTGTGGAGGCACGCCGTCTACTCAAGCACCTGAAGGGGTTAAATCCAGCTCTCAGTCTCACACACACACACACACACACAGGCCAACCGGTTTAGACCGGTTGTCAGGAAAAGTGCTTTGTGTCCCACTGAATCCTGGGAAGGGTCATGTCATGTGTGTCTCGGTGATGTCATAGCATTAAGAAGAACGTCCGCTCTCTGTTATCGGAGGATGGCTCTGCGTGCTGCATTGTGACTGTGTGTAGGTACATCATGGACATCGTGGGCTTCAGGCTCGCCGCCATAACCCCTCTGAGAACAGGAAGGGGGGGGAGGGGGTAGAAGTGTGTGTACAGTGTGTGTGTGTGTAACGTCAAAGTAGTCGGTTGGGAGGGTTCATTTCAGTCCCTCTTTCCCAAAAAAAAAATAAAACCTATAGCTTCCTGCGGAGCTTCACAGGGCCGAATAAAGGCCTCGACAGACTTGGCCGTGGCTCCATTCATGAGAAGATATTCATGAAAGTGACTCTGAACATAAGGGCCCCGTGTTTCTTCTCTGTGGTCGTCCTGTGAACAGTCCGCGTCCGTCTCTCACGCGTGCTTTCTGTTTGTGATTGTTGACCTTCGAGCACAGGTCGTCTCTTGCAGCACGCCACGTGGGTCCGGCCTGTGTTCGCCTTTCACAAATGTGCTACTGACCAATCATTAAGGAAATCTAAGTTACGCAAGCTTGATATAGAACCCCAGCTCGGGAACATAAAAAAACATAACAAGGATACTCCTAAACAGCGTGCAGATAACTGAGACAGGTAAAGACACTCCATGTCGCACCGGCCCGTCACTTTCTGCGCCGCACATGTATAAGGAAGTATAGAAAGCCAGAGATGAGTCGCAGCAGGTAAAGAAGGAAAACAGTTTGAGTGAGAAGTTCAAATCACGTTGTCATGTCGGCACACGTGTCTGAACGCTGGCTGAAGTGTGCGTGATTGTCAGATTGTAGAACAGACTTGCTCCAAAGAAATGCTGGATACCAGAGAGTGTCGTTTTCTACTGCTGACTGATCAGTTGATAAAAGTAATTAATTCATCAATGATGAAATCGACTGTACCATGGACACATTTATTGGGTTGTTGAGTTTATTATACATAACACGGAACAATGTGATGACTAAATGTACTTCACTTACACATACAAATACTTTGATTCACGGGTCGTTATGAATATTACAGTTAACTACTGTATGTATGACCCCCAAGTCCCTTTTAACTAAAATGAACAATATGTTTCAGTATCTTTGATGTCTCATTGCGTTTCGTGTTTGTGTCCCACCTCCAAACGACAGTGAAGTGATCTTTGGACATTTAGATTCTTCTGAGTACCATCTTCTCTTTCAGTTTCACTTTCTTTTTTCTTTTTTTTTGTTTAGACAGTTGAATGTTGCGGAATTATACTTGAGTCAATATCTTGGTCATGTGACCTTCATAATCCCTACGTGTTACGTCTGGGGGCCATTTTAATCAGTGTTGTCTGCTTCAATTCTGAATGACACTCGCACAATCACAAACACACTTTCGGTTAAACTGACAACTTCTTGTATCACTTTAAAGACTGTATTGTTTTTTGTTATTATTGTTGTTTGTTTGGTAGTGCCTACTTGACAGGTGTTACATGCGGCATCCATTCCCTCTAAAATAGTATTTTCATGTATTTTACACGGCACTAATCAACAATCCGATCTACCTTTGGTCATGTGTGACAGGATTTCTCACAATTCATCCATGTAGCTCTGGTCAGATTTGAAATCAATATGGGACCAAACTCTATTTAAAATCTTCTGGTCGTGTCTTTTTGAGTATCTTATAATGCATTTAATAGTCATTTCTTCCCTTATCTACAGGGCATGTCTGAGGAGGCCGCCCGCCAGACGCGCAGCCGCAAGAGGGCGCTGGGAAAGGATGGAGCTCCCGAGTCTTTAGAGACGTCCGATGCTGACGATGAAAGCAAAAAGCTAAAGCTGGACACCTCTGAACCCACGACGCAGGCACAGACTGAACCTGAACCCGACTACGCACCGGCACGGGAAGATCAGGGGAAAACTATGGTGGGACCGGAGAAGGAGCACGAGAAGGAGCACGAGAAGGAGCGCAGCCTGTCGCCTTTATCTTCAGCGTTACCTTTGGCCTCTGTGCCGGGGGAGGGCGATCCGGAGCAGGCCCAGGCACAACCGACTGAACCCGGCTCAGACAACGGGACCGACGGCGCCGACCGAGGCGACACAGTGAGCACGGAGCCAGCGGTGGATACGAGCAGCCAGGTCCGACCGCCGGAGCCCAAGGCCTCCGGCGGCCCGCTGGCTGCAGGAGAGGTGAAAGCCACCATTAAAGTCGAAGTTCAGACGGAAGAGCAGCCCATGGACATGAGCACCTCCAGAGGGTGAGAACATAATATTCATGATTCATGATAGTAAAGCCGAGACACTGCAGAAAACCTTACTTCTACAAAAGGAGTGTACAAAAGGTTAAGTTACACTCATTTGATCTAAAAATAAATAGCATGTTGAAAGTAACTTAGTAATACTGGATCAACGTGTAGTGTAAAGTAGGCGACGCTTAACTTTATCGTTTAGTCCATCTCCATTTTCCCCCCCCCGACTCGGCACCTGAGCCCTAAAAACTCGCCTCACACAAAATGAAGCCGTGTGTCACAAACCGGTTCCAGCCGGTTGTTTCCATGGTTTCCACCGTGGAAGGAACAGCGAGGGGAGGGGGGAGGAGGAAAAGTCACGTGATGACTCTGAGGTCACGTGACTTCTTTATAAGAGTACTGATTAATCCACAGGAAGTGATGATGGCGCTAAGCCCCATGGAGAGACTAAGACACACACACAGACACACACAGACACGCACACAAAGAGGAAGCAGAGAAGAGGCAGGCCTCACAGTTTTGTGTGTGGAATTTCACAAATTCATAGAAATACCTAATTTGTGTAATGGCGTATTTCAGAGGAATGTCACTCACGTTGGTTCGATGTTTCAGAGCCACTTGCATTTAGCTCATCTGCTTTCGTATTCCCACTTGTTTTTATTTGTGTGGCGCTCTTTGAAGGACGTAAGCAGCCCGATACGGGTGATCCTCAAATGACTCAGATGTTTCTGCAGGAAATGCGCAGCACAGACGTAGCTCCCACCTGGCTCCTCTTTGTTATGTAGGACTGTTCTGTTGTTCTGAGAAGCCTCGGCGGGAAGATTCAAATAATGAATGTGGTTCGACGTGCTCTCATAATAAAGCATGTTTTAACTTCTAGTGAAGTTTTCCTTTGGTAAATATGTATGAAATTGTTTACATGACATTTAGAATATGTGAGTGCAACCATGAAAAATGTCCTGGATTGCATCAGAACGTTAGATGAAACCGGGTATTCATGACACGGTCAGACAGATAACATGATTTCCACAACGCTAAGGATAAATATGAGCGGGAAACGGGATGTTATTTTTTCACATAAAGGTAAAATGTCAATGTATATTGTTTTACAACCCATACATTTTATTTGATTAATCATTTTGTCTAATCCCTGATGCAGTTCTGTGTCAACTCTATCCAGTATAAGTGCTGCATATATAAGATCCTTTTGGAACGGCATTGTCTTATTTATGTCCAGCAGTATAAAAAGGGAGAAGCGCCCACCGTCTTCTGACGACGATGACGTCATCGTCCTGTCAGATAATGACTCCCCCAGTCCTCCGATGAACGGCTTTAGCCACTTTAAGGAGCTGGACTCAGACCTGCTCATGGTGAGACACACGTACACAAAGCTAGACGCGTTTAAATCGTAGCCCAGGCTTTGGACGTTGGCTTTTTAAACTTTTATATTTTTTAGTTAGGGTTTAGTTTGAATTTTCTAACTTAAAAATGTCTAATTAAACTGCGGGTGTTACAGTGATGCTAAGAGCCAATGGAAATTAGGGTTATTATCACAGAACATCTTGTGTTTTTATTCGCGGGAAAATGATTTTGTGCGTGATGTTGTTCTCTGTGGAATGTAGAAGAGCAGCCCGGCAGAGAGGGAGAGCATCATTAAGCAGCTGAAGGAGGAGCTGAGACTAGAGGAGGCCAAGCTGGTGCTGCTGAAGAAGCTTCGACAGAGCCAGATACAGAAGGACACGCTCCAGAAGGTAAGCGCTCATTACCCACATCAACGCCGGGTCACACAAAGAGCTGCACATCCCCTCGACACCGGCCTCCACTGCAAGTGGTATTTAACGTCTTTCTCCATTTCCTTTTTAGCCCACAGGTCTGTCTGGCTCCTCTGCTCCTCCTCCTCTCATTCGAGGAACAATTACAAGCAATAAAGGCACTCAGCAGGTTAATGCTCTTCTCTGACACATGGGCTGCGGTTGAAAGGTCAAAATAGTCTCTCCTCCTGTCTTTTTTTTCCTGACCCCATTCTAGAGGTTATTAAAAGTAACCACCTTTCCTTCTCTTCTCATGACTGCCACTTCAATTCTTCTGGGTCATTTCACTCGGTTGGGAACCTTTCTGAGCAAATAAACCTTATTTGACCGCAGCCACGCATCAGTCGGCACATCTGTGTGGCAGCACCTTGTAGTTGACCTGTTTCTGGTGGTGTTTTTCTCTGACCAGATTTTGACCGGTAAGAGTTCAGGCACAGTCATCCCTCCCCCGCTGGTGAGAGGAGGGCAGCAGGTGACGTCCAAACACGGCTCCCAGATTATAATGCCGCCTCTGGTGAGAGGGGCGCAGGTGAGTCCTTTTACCATTATTCATACGGTGACATATTAAAAAAAGGCCGATGTCGTCTCTGTGGTGGTAGTCTTGAGTTCTTGTATCTCTTTGCTGTTAGTCACTCTGAGACAATTTGAAGCAGTGAAAATATGATACTTACACTCAGAACTTATGATCTCTCTTTGCGCCTTTCTCCCTTTGTGTGTGCCCTTTGCGTCGGTGCTTTTGATGCCCCTCCCCTCGTCCTCCACCACCTCCGCCTGTCCTCCGTGTCACCCCTCTCATCGTCCTGGTTAGCCCATCTCTGTATCTCCACAGCAGATCCAGGCTCTGCGGCAGCAGCAGCAGCAGCAGCAGTTAGCGGCCTCGGGAGGCTCAGGACCCCCTCCTCTGCTGTTGGGCCCCAGGAACTCGACCCCTGCGATCCACGGCCAGAGAGGCTCGGTCAACTCAGGCCTCATCAGGATCGGCAGTACTGCTAACACGCTGGTCAGTATTTCACAGGTGCTTTTCGAGAAATGAAGGGTAAAAAAAAGATAGAGTGGCGGTTTATATCGGAGAAGGAAAAGCCAGGACCTCCTGAATGCTGCCACGTCCCGGCACCACAAAACGGAACCCCAAATGTCAGTATGCATGAGTCAGAGCACAGATTCACGCATGGATCACAAAGTCTGTGTGGGAAATGACGCACGCCTTTCAGGCCCCGTTGTGTACGTAGTAAAATATAAAAAAAAAAGTTATAAATAATCATTAGAAAACAGACAATTTCCACTTTAAATCTAGATTTGACCTTAAATTCTGAACAAATGGTTAGCAAAAACTTTCATTTCTATTTCATGAAATAGAAAAACCTAGTTCAATAAATATCTGGCTTAGTCCAACTTCCATTGGCTTCTCAAGCCAACATTAGCTTCTGTTAGACTTGTTCATACAGTCATTTTCTCATTAAGTGTTCCTTTCATGCTGTTTCTTAAACGTGATATTGCGGGTTTCTGTCTATATTCCAAGCTAAATATGTATCTACAACTGCACCTTGGAAAACACGTTATCAATTTTCCTAAAAAAACCTGTCTAGCTGAGTTAGCAGAGTTGCGTGTGTCGCTAATGTCCATGTACAGAATGCTTAAACTTCATTATGATAACTAGGTAATATTAATGATTTAGTACAATGAGCAGTCATTTTATTTTCTAACGTTAGCTACCGTGGGTTGGACTGTTCATCCACGGCTACATGCTAATGGTCAAGAGACTAAACATAGAAGGTGCAGCTGGATGCTGTCTCGGGCATTTCTGTACATTAAAGCCACAGTGAAATGGAAGTTGGAGCCTCTTCAGCTTCTTCTTTGTGACGGCCTGATATTTTGGGTTAAAATTTGTTGGCAATCGCTTGTGCTTGGATTTTGAAAAACAATTGATTTGAAAATCGAATGACTGCTTTTCTCTAACCAGTTAGCATTAACCGCACCATCCGCCAAGACAAATTCCTTGTACGGTTGACATATTTTGGCAATAAATGTTTCCTGATTCCTGATTAGCCTTCAAGTGTCACCCAAAACTGGACCAGAGATATTAATCTATTTGAAGCTTTAATAATTATAGTATTAATTGCTGAATTTCACACTTGTGCGCAGCAGTATAATTACGGTCCAGAACTGACTTTCTTTTGCGATGTTCAGTGTTCTTTGACCACTAAACACCGGCAGCCCTTTAGTAGCGCAGGTGTTTCTCGGACGAGTCCAGAATATTCCGACCTCACACCTGTCTCGTTTTTTCTTCTTTTTTTTTGGAAGGCCTTGGCCTCCAGCCTGAAGAGCTCCTCCTCGGGAAGCAGCGGCGTGTCTGTGGTTGGCGTGAGTGACTCTCCGGCCAGCCGCCAAGCTGCAGCTAAACTCGCTCTACGGAAACAACTGGAGAAGACCCTCCTGGAGATCCCCCCACCCAAGCCTCCCGCCCCAGAGTTCAACTTCCTGCCGTCTGCAGCCAATAATGAGTTCATCTACCTGGTGGGACTGGAAGAGGTGGTACAGAATCTGCTGGATACACTCAACAGAGGTGCGTGACTTTTCTTTTTGAATGGTTTTTGTTTACACGTTTTAGAGGTAAAGAGGTTTGTCAATGAATTGATCAGTCGTTGAACAGACAAATATTTATTTCAATATTCATTTTAAATCCTTCAAGTAATACATTCCTTGTATTCTATATGATGGTAAAGCAGTTTTGTGTCACTTTACACAACTAATACAGATAATAATTATTTTATTTGTGGTTAATGAATAGCAGTCCTTGATGTATCTTTTTTTTAAAATAAGCTGTAGCAATCGTCCCATTTTTATGGAATTCAAATATTATCCATATGCAGTATCCCACTTTCGACCAGGATCTAAATAGCTGCTCACCTGCGTCTCTCTGTCCCTTTCTTATTATTTCATTGACACCAGACCAGCAACTCTTTCCGTTTTCAATCGGTGCCTCTGGGTTTCCATCTCTCTCTATCCAGGAAAGACGGGTGCAGCACTGTCGAAGAACATTACCAGGGAGCCCTTCACCTGCACCCAGTGCAAAACCGACTTCACCTGCCGCTGGAGGCACGACAAGACAAAAGGCGGCGCTGTCCTCTGTGAACACTGCATGTCGTCCAGTCAGAAAAAGGTTTTGAAGGCCGAGCACACCAACCGGCTGAAAGCGGCGTTCGTCAAAGCCCTGCAGCAAGAGCAGGAAATAGAGCAACGTATTTTTCAGCAGGCGTCGTCCCCAGTTTCCAACAGCAGTTCCTCGTCCTCTTCGTCGATGAAAGCAGAGAGGAGTTTGTCTCACCAGCTAAAGCAGGCTCAAGCAAGAGCGTCTTCCTTCCAGCACCTCCAACAGGCCAGTCGAGGGGCCAACATGGTTCACCACCACTCCATCAAGCAGGTTGGCATCGGGTTTTTAAAGAGAAGCATTGTTCCACTCGACGCAACTGCAACGTGTTTTCTTAAACTGCCCTCAGAGCTCCCAGGGCCAGCTGTCCCATGGTGTCTCATCGTTGGGGGTGAGGGGCGTCCCCCACTCCTTCTCCTCCTCCTCCCAGCTGCAGAGCGCAGTTGCAGCCGCAGCTTTGGTCAGCCGGCCAGGTAAGCATGCCCACGTTTCCCACCGCTCTGTCCAGAGTTCAAAGGTGAGCAGCAGCGGGATCGCCGGCGGCAGGAATATCAGCGGAGGTAGTGCCTCATCCACTGCATGGAAGAAGCAGAGCCACAGCAATACAGGTAGACTCACAGTAACACCTGCCTGCCTGCTGACATCGGCTGTCTTTCACATTCCTGTCTGGTCCAAAAGCAATCCTCGAAAATCCCACGGCAATCATTTTCCTAGTTGTAGGGAAGCTCATCCACAAGTTGACTTCCAGAAAGTGGATCAAAAAACTAAATACAGTGAAGTAGGAAGTGTTTTCGGACAAGGCAATCCCATTCTCCAGTTCTCCTCCTGCCAGTGATCTCAATCTTCCTATTTTAGTCCCCTGGTGTGGTGGCGTGCTGTCCTTTCCTGGGTGTCTCTAGAGTAGACATTCTTCTCTGTTACACACGTCTGCCTGTATATCAAACAGCGTTGAATGGCCGGCACGCAGCTCTCTCCGCGCCCTGACCCGCCGCTCTCGTGCATGTTCACAGGAGTCACGATGGCTTACGTGAACCCCAGCCTGACGGGTCACAAGACATCAGCCGCGGTCGACGCTCGCCAGAGGGAGTACCTGCTGGACATGATCCCCTCGCGCTCGTCCATCTCGCAGACTGCAAACACGTGGAAATAGTTCCATAATATGGTCAAACCCCGGAGGACTGTTAAGCAAATACAATCTCTCAAATTGAAGAAATCTTCCTTCCTTACTTTTGTATGATTGTTGTTTTAGTGTCATTATTTTCTGTTGTTTGTTTTGAGATTTGCTGTTCTTTGGTAATTGTGTAGAAACTATTTTGATTTAATTGGAGCAACAACAAAAAAAAATCGTTGAAAGGCTTCCCACGGGGTTCCTCTGTCCTCCAAATTAGGTTGTTAATGATTGTTTGATAAGAGGCTATATGTACATTAAGTACTTTTATAAAAAAAAAAAAAAATTCTAGTAAGTAATTTGATCTGTGCTTATTAGCCCTTCTGTCAGGACGTGGGTCAAACCGACCTTTTGACACTTGAATGGTTGAAATTACACCCAGGAGTTCAACATTCAACTAAATATATTCATTTCAAGCTAATAAACAATAATTTAGTTGTATAAATTTAAATACATCACCCCTATAGTTAAAGGTTTGAAATTATTTTTTATTTACAGTAAGTTATTTCTGTTTTTTGCTACAGTTGTTTCCACAAATGGAAGAGTTTGTTCCAGCTTTTCTTTCCTGTTAAACTCAAATTCCTCAAGCACGCAGCTGAGGAAGCATGGTGTCATTGCTTAATTCATCCTTTAATTACCAACTGTAATTTGCTTATTTTATATCAATATCCACAATATGAGAGTATTTTGGGGGGTTTTGTCATTGCTGTGGAAATGCAAGCTGAATTTTCCACACGAACCAGAGATGGAGCCTCAGATTCCTTCAAACACAATACATACGACAAGGCCTGAATGGGTTTAAAGGGAAGAGTCTGGAGAACATACGATATCTTTGTCCTGTAGCCTTCACAATGTGGCATAATCTCTCTGCTTCGCTATTTTAGCTACATTGTACAAACTTATGTTAACGGTTATTTGGTTTTACTTCTTTCCTAGCTCCTCAAGAAATAAAAAAATACATTGTAAACAAGTTTTTCATTGATTATTTGTAGAGGATACAATTCACCCAATAACAAATGTTGAAATGATATGTTGAGAGATCATGAGATCAGTTTCCATTCAAAGCAAAGTCTTAAGTTAAAAACAATGAGAAGAGAAGGAAATTCAAAAGCAAAAAAGAAGTATAATGGAAATGTCAGTGAGAAAAGGTTTATCATGAAGGCAAATCAGATAACAGTTAGGAAGTGACTGAAAACAGGAAACACAGGTTTGTGAGATCACAGACACTTAAAAGAGAGAACATCAAACATACGACAGCATTTAGCTGCCGAAAGCGAAAAATGGCAGTTCCCTCCATTCAATTTCAGAGGAAAACATTCTGCTTCACACTCTATTCACCAAACAGTTAAATAAGCTAAAGTTCACTCGGAAAGAGAACAATCGAGTGTGCAAATCGGCATGTCAGTGTGTGACCAAAGTCATGCATGGATGTGTCGAAGGGAAAAAAACAGACAAAAATACGGCAGAGTGGGCGTTTGTTGCAGTAAGGGAGACGGAAATGAGCACAAAGACCAACTCTTAAAGCCCGAGAGACCCAGGTGAGCTCGATCCAGCCAACAACCGTCTCTTGTGAGCCAACAGCATGCTGAGGAAAGAAGGAGGAGCCTCATGTGAAATTCTTTACATTTTTGTGCAGCATTTGAAATATACACACAATTTACAATTGAATTTAGCTGTTGTTGATTGTTGATCTGGAGCCAGGTGACTTAAGTGGAGATACCTTCTGTCACTAACCAACAAAATCACTAAAACTGGTTAAAAAAAAGCCCCTGTTAGATTTACGCTGCTCAAAACTATGGGGTCTATTTCTAGGTAGGGTTGGGAATCTTTTATGATACTGTGTTGAAATTACATTACATTCTGACCAAAGTCAATGAGTCAAATGCTCTGTAAAAAAAGAAGAATCTCTGTCTGTCGCTGGAATGTGATTCTTTTAGCCAAATGCAATGAATGGGTGTTGCTGCCCGCCTCTTGTTCTCCCGCTCCATCATTGAAATGTTCCCTTCGTATTTATAGTCCATGAGTTTATGTTTATTCACTTTAAAACAGCCGGTGTGGGCCTCTAAAACCAGTCGGAAAAAGGCCCCGCCATCCGGACAGGTGGGGGCGGTAGAGCGTCACAGACGCTTTGACCACAACGACAGAGGAAGCCGGCCGGCAGTGACGTCACCGGCGTGTCGCGGAGAAGACGGGGGGGAAGATGGCGGGCTCCAAGGTGAAGCAGGACATGCCTCCCGCGGGAGGCTATGCTTCGTTTGACTATAAGAGAAACCTGCCGAAACGAGGATTGTCAGGTACTTACGTTACTCGTGCGGTCAGTGACGCGCGAGCTGTTTTAATCGGACACGAGCGCCTTCAGAGGACCGCGAAGAGACGCACACAACAAGCCAACAGGGTCCCTGTGCTACTCCCGTCACTTTAAAAATACTAAAATGTAACACGAGTGCCTCTGAAATGGCGATACAACTGTAAAACTGACGAGAGCATTTAGTGAAATATGTGTTGACGTGTTTTTTTTTGTTGCAGGCTTCCACACAAACCTCCATTGTCATTCTCGTTCAATGACCTCTCCGGCTGAACGATGCGTTTACCTTTTTATAAAAAGCTACATATAAAAGTGATTGCATTGTTTATTTCCTGGTTAGTCGACCAAAGGGTCTTGAAATGCAAAGATACGTTTGTCTCAGCATTTATAATTTACCCCCCGTAACATTTTCCACCGGAACTGGTGTTGCAGTTAAATATGTTCCGCCGATTCTGTGCTCTTGTTTAGGCACCAAATGCCCGAGCATAACTTGTCAGTGTGGCCATGTGCTGCTTTACTTTATCCATAAATTACTGTTAATAACGTATTGGTTGAATGTCATTCGCCTTCATGAAATGGATCACAATGTTATGTTCACTTTTTTTGTTCACCACTGACAAGCTCAGATTGTTATTAGCGTCTGACAACATTAAAGAGGTTCCAGACTGTTAGGTTAAAACATTTTTGGCTGGACTGGATCCAGAGACGAAAAGGTTAGAATATAACTGATTTAATAAAAACATAATTGTGTTAGAGTTCTCAAACCAGCACTACACAATCCTCAGCAGTAACAGTCCATTGACAGCTGACTGTCAACAGTTGCTGCTGATGTCGAAGCTTTTGAGCCACAGACAGCGAATAACATCAGGTTAAACATGCTGGTCCCTTGATTTATTCTATCTGTCCATTTTTGTTGTTTATTTGTACCACTTGGTACCTGTTATGGCCTCCATTTTTAATAAATAAATATAATAATAAATCACATTCTTAGTGAGATAATAACTACTTGGTTCCCCTCTGCTATTGTCATAAGGCTCGCTGCTCGTTGTTTACATTATTCTAAGCATTATAATTTACACATAGACATTCTTTAATAATAAAAACACGTGCAATAGTAAATTCATGCAATTCTACAATACCTCAGTTGTTAAACCGGTCAAAAGTCCTGAAAGCTGCAGCTTAAAGCTTAACATTTTATTCTATTGCGTTTTTTTGCTTTTCTTGTGTCTCTTCTATGGATGTTGGTTCATTGAAACTAGATAATGTGATTGGGATAACTGAAATCCTGGCATTCTTTATCCGTTGTTCAATGCATTGTTGCCGTAAAGAGTCACTCCCTTTCTTTATTCGACAGGATATAGCATGTTTGGCATTGGGATCGGCATCATGGTCTTTGGCTACTGGAGGCTTTTCAGCTGGAACCGAGAGAGGAGGTGGGATTATTCTGGCAATGATTCTTTGGGTTTAAATGTTGGTCACTATGAATAAATATCTTTACAATATGGCTGGAACTAGCAATGACTTGTGAGTGTTTGTGCAATGAAGGCGTCTGCAGATTGAGGAGATGGAAGCCAGGATAGCGCTGATGCCTCTGCTGCAGGCGGAGCACGACCGAAGGTGACGGCAACCTCAAAAAACAGTTTACATTTCAAATGCAGTACCTCGCCGGTGCTATTCCTTTATGTAACTGTTCGATTCCCCCCCTCTGCTCAGGTCCTTACGGATGCTGAGGGAAAACCTAGAAGAGGAGGCGATCATCATGAAGGACGTTCCTGGTTGGAAGGTAAAGAGAATAAGGGATTTCACCAGCAGTATCAGACTTTCAACAAGAGACTTGTTTTGTCTTTCTTAACATCTATTGCACTTTTAAGACATCTTAATAACTTCACGTTTGTATGGATTTGGGGTAATTTGGGAAAAAGATAGATCCATATCACATTGGTGACCCACCTATTGTAGTGTTGTTTTGGCTCGTTAAATACACTCTTACTTACACTCACACTTAGCAATTCATTTGAGTTCACTATTTACAACAATGATGCTAATTAAGACAATGCATGCAGGTCTGTAGTGATGTTGCTAACCGCATTCATATAACCTGTTTTGGTTGTTTGGTAACCATAATAAAACTTGCAGGAAGTTAGAAGTCATATCTCAAACATATTAATGCTTCTTTCAGTAGCACCTGAAAGGTATTTGTATTTTTGCATTTATGGCAAACGATAATCCAAGATGTGTTCATAGAAACTGTTTCCCTGTTAACTGTTGCAGGTTGGTGAGAAGGTCTTCCACACTGACCGCTGGGTCACCCCTCTGACAGAAGAGCTGTTCAACCTCCGACCTCGTGAGGACTTCTTGCACAAGCGCTTTGGCTTCCTGTGGTACGTGTGAGCGTACGTACGGCGTCCTGAGCTCCACATCTTCCACCTCGTGGACCAGAGCTGTTTCTTGTAAATGTTCTATTAAAGGTTTTTTTTCTGTATCTCATCATGGTTTACGTGTGTTTGATTTAACAGTATGTACCTAGTGGGGGAACATTTACATATTGGGATATATGTCATGTGGCAAGTAGACATTTTGCTTTACTTCAATATTACTCATATCAGCACCTACAAGATGGGAGGCATTCATGGCCTAAATACAGGACCAGATGATCAGCTGTACAAGCTGCACTTAAAATATATTAAAGGACTTCAGACAGAAATGAACCTCAATGATACAAATGAGACTGACAATTCTTAGAGCGCAGTATAAATAATCCACTACGACCAAGCAGAGAAACTTCTGGCCTGGTGTTTTAAGTCAATGCAGAACGCAAGATTTCTCGAAATTGTGAAGATGGATACGACAGCTATGGTAAGCAGACGATATGCATGTGTGCTGTGTATGTAGACTTATGTTGGGGCTGTCATTAAAAAAAAAATTATTCATTCAAATTTTTGAAATATCAAAATGATGCACACACTTAATTAAACATGAAATTAAATAAATTAAAAATGAATTCACAGAACTAACACACAATGGGTTATCAAACCTTCACAGCCCCAACATATGCAGACTTGTATAATGTGTGTCCCTCAGTTTTGCAGCTCATATTTTGAGTTCCTGGGAGAAGATTGTAATTCAATTCAAAGATTGTATTGTCAAATACACCCCCCCTGTATTAATTCTTATGCTTGCCTTTTTCTGGGAAACGGACCAATTTTATATTTACATAAATGTACATTGAAATAAAAAGGCATAAATGAGGTAAGCAAATGTGCAAAACTGAGCAGGTTGTAAAAAAAAAAAATTAAATGAAATGTGTGCAATATGAATTAACAGTACAAGTGAAATCCTAACAAGCTAATGTGCAGACCAGTTGTGAGTTGGGTTATATAGTCCGCTCAGCTGTTGACTAATGGCAGTGGGGAAAAAAAGTTGGCTGCAGCCTATCATCTAGGGGTGTAATAAACGTCTGCAGATCCGCCACCCTCTATTTTGTGTCTGCTGACACCTAATAAATCATCCCACTGATACTTGAAAATGTACTGTACTTGTTTTGAAAACATTTGTCAAAAGAAATATTGCTTTAATCAACCCAAAAGCCGATGGGCCGTTTACAAATGCATCCATGATCTGGAAGTGTTTGCTTGGAACGTTTACAGCTTTTATCCAAAGTGACAATAAGTGTATTCAACCAACAGAAGTTCTACCTTGTTCACGTAGTCGGTGTTCTTAGTATGGGCCCAATTCACATGAGCGGATTGCTTAACATCGCAATGAACTACTCATTTAATATAATCTTCTAAAGTCAAAAATCTAATCTAAAATAAGTACACAAGCAGTTTGATTTTTAACAATTTTATTTTGTAATGTACCAAAAAGTTCAAACCGCAAAATGCTGTCGTACTGAATTGTCGTATTCGGCTAATTGAATATTAGCATCGACGTATACAGTGAGCGTACACAGCTCCGTCATGTCGCCCGTTAAGTCTTTCCTCAAGACGTGGGACCTTCCACGCTATGGGAAGGTGTCAAAGGCCTCAAGCGTTTAGCCGCCTCCTCCCATGTAGCCGCTGCTCACAGCATCCACCACTGTTGCACGCAGCACCTGAAACGGGACGGAGACGCACGGCAAGTCAGCTCGACGAAGCAGTGACAACAGTAAGGACAGACTTGTACAATACTTTACCTGTTAAGTGAATCTGCAGCCATCACTGCCATCTAAAGCCAGATACTTCCGCTGTGGGGGGATCCACTGACATCCAGTTCACTCTAGAGGAGAGATCAAGAGATGAAGTAAGCCTGGCAATTAACACATGACAAGTCAAATGACATCATGCATGCAACCCTATTCGAGGCTGAAACGCACCACTTATTTTATAGTACAAAACAAAAACTGAGTAGAGTCTACACCTTAGACGTCAATTAGGGCTGCTGCGGGGCGTTACTGGAGCAAATGTGAGGACTAGTGCAGTGAACTGAGGTGGACTGAGCACGATACTACCCATGACTTAGAGGCCAATGCTTTTCAGTGGACTCGGGTGGATGTGCACTACAATCCAGAGGCGCTTCTCAGAAACATTTTCTCAATGAACTTTTCCAATCGGGCAAGAGGCCATGGCATGTTGTAGGCGACATCTGAAGCAGAGGACTTAAAACAACAACTAACTTGAAGGTATTCATGGAAACAATGAGAACTGAGTTGGAAGGATGTGAGCAAAGCAAAAGTAGATTTTTTTACCTCACGTGCATTGGCCTACTTTCTCCACATTTGACCTAGGCAAGAGAGCAGCTTTCCTCTCTGATGAGCACTTGTTGGAAGGCGCAAAACTTCACTCTCCAAGGACTCGTAGGTTTTTGATGTGGCTGACCTCTTGAACGTAATGAAGCGTTAACATGACCAGCTGATGTTTTCCCACTTTAGGCGTTTGTTGGTCAAGCCTCACTGGAGGTTTGATCTCAATGCACTATAAGGTTGCCTGGCACAAAGGGCAGATTGAGTTTCTTCTGAAAGAACAGACTGCATCGGGCCAAAAAGTCATTATTTTTTTCGGGGACAGCGGCTGCTTTAAGATTGCAGACAATTAAGAGCTTAAATCCGCTGTTCAGTCAAGATTTAGATGGTGACAATTTTTTTAGTTGCTCTCCAAAGAACTTTTAGTGCAACATTTACTTTTTTCACGCAGCCTTACAGTACATGGGCCTAGAGCATTACACTAAGTTACCCCCATGCGGTAGTTTTTAAAGGCAAAAGAATCAAGATTATTTTCCACAGTCTGTTTAATAGGCTCCATGAAGCCAAACTGACAGAAAAAAAATATTGATCATACAAAGAACATAAAGTACAAAACTGTTCCCGGTTTAGATATTACTTTGGGGAAACGAAGTTACATTTTTCGATCACTTAAACAAGATTAGTCCATTTTACAGCACATTTAAAATGCAGATGTTGAGCAGAGCACAAAAGATACCTGGGACAGACTGTAGCATGCTGCAATTTGCAACTTCATGACAGCCGGCCACTTCGGGTGTGTAGTTCACCAGTCTGAAAGGAATTCACTCTTTGAACACACAAGAGCCTCAGCTAGACGTTTCTCTCTCTCTCTCTTTTTTTTTTTTTTAAATGGTAAGGGAATTTAGTATAAAATCCCCCAATAGTCAGTTTGAGTAATTCAGATTCCTTCCCTCCCTTTAAAACCTGGCAAGAGGTAGTTCAGCCACTGAGACTGAGCGGGAAAATTCCATCGGATATTTAAATATAAGAAAAGAAGAAAAATAACTAAGGAATCAAAATCAGGAAACACCGTAGGTGCTGGACAAAGCTACAGCGGTGGTAGTGGCCATGTGGAGGGCAGCTGATCGGTCCTCAGGTTGAGTTTAAGTACTAAATTAGATTACACAGGAGCTTTGGAGTTAACAAACGACCTTTAAGGAACAAAGATGCCCAATCGAGCAAGGTAAGAGACTGGAACTGTAATTTGTAACATGTTCGTTAAGGAACGACCAAAACTCATGGCTACTTTTCTTCTTCTTATTATTTTTTTTTTAAGATGCTCGAGCTACTACAACAGAACTACAAAACTAAGGTCAGCAATAACACGTGGACATTTTTCTTGAGGAGCGCATCTTTGAAATACAGCCAGCCAAGTGATGATCTTGAATCAGGGAGATGTTTACTCGTTTGCAGCTGAGGATAAGAAGTGGGCACACAGGTAAAGACACGGAAAGTTCGAACACTCGAGTTTCACATCACCCCCCACCCCCCCACCAGACAGTCCTTAATCCCTCCCTCAGTTTTTCAGCTCCAGTCACTGAGCCATGTCAGAAGAAGTAACATTTGCCAAGTGAATCAAATTTTCTTCCAGCGCCTGTATCAGAGTGGGACTGGGAGGAGGGTGGGGGGGGCTAGCGAAATTTGGCAACCGCAGAGAGGCATCAAGTTGGGCTCAGGTACAAAACTGAGGGACACACATTATACAAGTCTGCATATGTTGGGGCTGTGAAGGTTTGATAACCCATTGTGCGTTAGGGTCTGTGGATTCATTTTTAATTTATTTAATTTCATGTGTAATTAAGTGTGTGCATCATTTTGATATTTCAAAAATTTGAATGAATGAATTTTTTTTTTAACGACAGCCCCAACATAAGTCTACATACACAGCACACATGCATATCGTCTGCTTACCATAGCTGTCGTATCCATCGCGGTAGGACGTACCGCGGTCGCCATATCCGCCGTGAGCCCTGAATATACAGTAAACAATGTTTAATAAAAAAGCCACCATATTTAGCTGTGCAGGCAACGCTGAAGTCTCAGGAAGTCTCATTTGTGCTTCATAATATTTGTATACCTGTTGTCTCTGTAACTCGAGTATCCGCCGCCGCCACCACCTCCGCTACTGCTGCTATTCCTGTACTGGTTGCCACTAAACCTCCCATCAGAATGGAAGCTCCGCTCCCCATAACTCCTGTCGCCGTAGCTCCTGTCGCCATTGTATCCACCGCCTACGGGAACACAGGGACAAGCTTGACCAACATGGCGAGAAGCGTGCTGCAAAAACAACACCGGACAATTCAAAACGCAGACAGCTAGTGTCCACCTCTCGAGAAACCACGTCCACCTCTCCCACGCCCGCCAAATCCTCCTCGCTGTCCTCTTGGGCCACCGGATCCAAAACCTCCCCTGGGACGACCGCCCTTTCCTGCTTCATCCACACGAATTGACCGACCATCCAGAGTCTGCAAAACAAATTAAAAAAAAAAAAAAGTAAACATTTAGAAATTCCCTACCCTTTTATTTATAGGAGCAATTCACACGCCGAGGCCTTATTCTTATGTCACATCGCTCTGTGTTGAAAATATGTGGGGAAATTATAGCTGTGGGCAACAACGTTGTTTACAATTGTAACGGTAGTTGATGGTGTGTGGGTTTACCTTGCCGTTCATGGCTTCCAGTGCATCTTTGGCATCTTCGCTGTTATCGAATTTGACAAAGCCAAAACCGCGAGATTTCCCCGTCTCTTTATCTCTGATCACATCCACTAAGGAGCAAAGGGGGGAGGAAGGTTATTGCTTTTAAAAAGATGTGCATCAAAACACCGGAGAGAGATCGATCTATATATTGATATATTAGTTCGGTGGGGAAATTACAGCATTACATCTAGGAATAAAACGCAAAAAAAAGTTTACCTTTTTCGATGCTTCCATATTTGCCGAAGGCCTCACCAAGAGAATCCTCGTTGGTCTCAAAGCTCAGTCCTCCGATGAACAATTTACCGTCGTCCGCCATGTTGCAGCTGGAGAGAGAGAGAGAGAGGGAGAGAGAGATACACGCCCCACTCCGGATAAGTAAAACGTCAACGCGCGAGCAACCAACTGGACGGCCGCTTTCGTTAAACATCGGCAAATTCCGTCGGCCCTCGAAGAACGAAAGTAGGTCATCGGCTTTCATTATTGCATCTGCGTGACAGCTGCATTCGCTTAAAACAAAAATTTCTTCCTAACCCCCATGTGGCGTCACTAAAACACGCCCAACTTCACTGAAATAACTGGAAAATGTGTGAGCGAGGTTAAAAATGAATCGTTTCCATCGAATAGTCCGTAGAGTGAGGCGCCAGGCCTCGGGCCTAGTGGGGCCGTTTTTTAACGTTAGCGCATTAGGCAGCTGCATTTATTCCACCGGCGCCATTTTGTGACACAGAGCTCCTGCACCCTATTTTTGTCATTGTATGCATCTCCATAGGAGCCGATAGGGTTACATAATGGTTTTGAGCGAATATGACAGATGACGCGACAATTTTGCGGTTTAAATCCGCCTCACCTCAACGACAATTCAACGTTAATACACGCAGTTGTAAAATGGTTAAATAGCACTGCCATCATTTTTTTTAAAGCAATACATATTTTAAGCCGTGCAAAACGTGGACACGGTAACCCTACCACGGAAATGCAGATATGCCCACCTTCACAATTCCCAACGAGCCTACAGTGAAAATGTACAGTAAAGAAAGGTGAAAAGGGGACTTACGTTCAACTAACTGGAGTCCAACCGACGTAGAGCGAGGCTGCGGGTGGAATGCGGGAGGGGCGGGGCTCTTGAGCGAGCTGCGCACGCTCCTCTTCTTCTGCTCCTTGTTTGGCGGTAGCGTCGTGGGTCGCGTGCCTACCGCCCCCTATACACAGTCTATATACTTATACATATTTTGGAATATATACGTTATATACGTTATATATATATATCTTAGGTTATAACTGAGGTGCAGCTGTTGTGGTAAAGGGACTACAAATGTCGTTTTTCCCTTGGAGGCTTTCCGGTGTTATTTCTCTTTGTTATTCTGATCTCCCACGTCGATAGGTTTCTGACTGAATGTTCAGGATTCCAACATCTTCTAACAGCCTCCTTATACAACACCTCAATTAGTGGAGAACAAGCCCATACTACTTTGCTTCACTAATCCATCTCCTAGCAGCGAAATGTTACGTGTCCTGCTCGAATGAAAGAAAAGTATAAATTAAGAGAATTAAAGGTTGGTTGGTTGTTTCAGGAATAAACAGGGAAAAGTTTAAAATGTTTTTAAAATGTTTCCTTTATTCTTTATTTGCTCGACTTGTGAATATATTAGTAATATTGTAACATGTCATAGGGACATCCTAAGCACAGAACATTACATAGTTTACATTCAAACATGTACATTTAAGGCATTGAAGTACTTAAACAAACAAACAAACAGTAAAAGGTCATTGAACAATACACCAAGACGTACAGTATAACATGAAAATACACGTTGGAACCTTTTTATGGCATATGCTACATAACAATGTGAGTCATTGTAAATTAAATAACATGCTCGGCACAGTGAGAGCCACAGGAATCAGACTCTTTGGGACTTTTCGGTTTACATTCTTCAGAAATTCTTTCATGTCAAAATAGCACCAAGGCATTTGAGTTTACGCTGCTTCTCTTTCACCTGTTCCACGAGATCAGAGGTCAGCTTTGGTTGCTGAGCAGAAAGCAGCCCCTTCTTTCACAGTGAGTGGATCTCTCCCGTGAAGGAGACTAGAGACGATGTTGATGGTGCCGGTACGGCCGAGACGTTTGCAAGTACCTCCTGGTTTGCCTACGAAGACGCCTCTGGTTCATCAAAAGCTGCAGGCGCTCTAGCTTATAGTGTAATGTTTGATTTTCCTGCGTGGGTGCGCCGGTCAGCTGACTCTCCTCACCTACATGGGAAGGAATAACAACCTGTCAGTAGGCTAAACAATGATAACGTTATTCTTTGGTATATCTCAGTATTATTTTCATATGCTGTGTTTAGAATAACTATATATATATTTACACAAATTATACATTTTTCAGGGGACAGAAGAGGAAACAGAAGAAGTCTTCATATACTGTTCATAATTAGCAGTCAGCACACATGCCAAAGCCTATAAATGCAAGGTCATTGAGACTCTTGTATTTATGCTTACCAGTCTTCCCTTCCCAGCCAGTGAAGTGGGATTAAATACGGCCTTTTACCATTTTAGGATGCGTCCACGTTTTTAAATGTTTTTTATCTTTTTGTTAAACCGTCCTACATACTGAATTTGCATATAATGTGTAATGATGCAATCACAAGGACCTCCTCCAGTGTTCATCTGTGTAATATCATGTGTTCACCTTGAGTTTGACGGAGGAGCTTTGCCTTCTGGGTGGCCGGTGTTTGGCCCTCCGCTTGTCTCGTCCCCTCCGCCGCTGGGAGCAGCACGCCGCCTGGAGGGTTTGAATCAGGACCGTCGGGATTACGAGGAGGGACAGGCTGAGACCCCTGGTGGTTGTAGGCTGCTCTGATTAGGTCGTTGAAGATCTGGAGTATGATGCCGATGCCTCGCCGAGGATGGCTGAAGCCTCTCTGACCGCACGGCGCCAAAGTGCCTGATGGGACAAGAAGAGAGCAGGAGACATGAGAGAGGGAGAGGTGGCAGATGCAAGCTGAGATACTAGACATAATGAAAAACAATCATTAGCTCGAAGTGAAGCAAAAGCAACCACTTCAACAAGTGATTATTAATTCGCTGTTTTTGTCCTCTTCCAAGCTGAAATTCCGCGGCTCACTTGTTCCAGCTGCTCAAATTCGATGATTTGTTGCGTTTATCTTTCAAGGACGGAAGGAATAGCTTTGGGTTGGTGGAGCAATGGTCAATTAAAACAAGCCGTTTTATCACGTCTCTCCTTGGGCGATGCTAAATAATAATGGCCAATAAAAGATTTGCTGACATTCTGTCTATAAAGAAAATGTTAAATTATCAAATGCAGAAAATAATTGACTGATTAATCAATCCTGAATTAAATTAGTTGCAGCCCAAAAAAAAAAAACACAAGACAGCTGTCGCACGTTTAAAGAAGATCCCGCTGTGCCCTTAATTCTGTTGTGCAACACTACAATTGTTCTCTGTTAAGAACTCTGTCTGTAGCTATGTTGTTTCCAAACTATTGTTTTCTGATTGTGTCGTGTTCAAGCTTCTGCTTCTGACACATTTACCAGTAAAAGTCCCGGACAAGACGCCTGGTGAGGGGCTCACAAAACTCTCTATGACTGCTCCTGGCTGCTTGCTCCGCTCTGCGGCGGATGAGGCGGGAATATCACCCTGTAAAACAAGAAGGAGAAATATGTTTTCACCGCCCACTATGAGGAAGAAAGAACTGTTGTGAACTATACGTTTGCCTGACGTAGGTTGTGTTACCAAACACGCTAGAACGAAAGGCTAACCTCTCTGGGGGTTGAAGCTGACGCTGGGCACCGGGGGCCAGGAGCGGAGCCGGTGGGAGCATGTGAGCGGACTGGTGCGGCTGCTGGTTGTTGACCAGAAGGCAAAGGAGGTGTGGAAATAACGGGGGGTGGCGTGGGTGTGGATTGAGCAGGACGGGACCGATCAGGAAGGGCGGGAGTTCTGGGTCTTTCAGCTCTCAATTTGTTCGAGGATGTTGAGTCGGAGGAGTCTGGGACCCGGGTAGAGGTTTGGGAAGTGGATCCTGCGGTTTTGTTGGAGAAGTCGGGTTGGCTCATCCTGGCGCCGGTGGGCAGGCCGGCCTGAAGGTCGCCGCTGGCGCCAGCTCTCAGATCCTGGTGGTGCTGCAGCTCCGCCACGTTCTGTGCAGACAGTTGGAGCTGCACGTACATCATGTGGGCACCGATTCCCAGGTTAACGGTCAGAGGGGAGCGGCCAGACAGAAAGTCGCTGATCTGCAGGACAGTTGGGAAAGGCATACGCCAGAGTTCACGTTTTTTGACCCCTGCGGTTTATGGCAACAGCAAATTTGATTTACTATTTTTTTTTCAGAAATACAGGAGCTCACATTACTTTTAGAGAAATATCATCATGGATGTGTTGGATTTTGTGCATTAAATGTGTACTATTCCGTACCCATCCAGTAGCCATCAACATTTCAGTGATAATTAATGAGTGTGAATACTGTAAACGGCTATTGCTGACAAAATAGGTCTGCACTCATGAAAAAACCAGCCTGATCTCCAAAACCTGTTCGTAAAAATGTATAAGAAAATCTTGAACATACAAATTCGTAGTGATACATACGAAATAAATACGGACTGCAACTGATGACGTCACCCTATTCATAGTGAATGGGGACCTGCTCCCCGTAAACACACTTCGTGAAGTCTAACGATGTAAAATAAACGTGTTATGATTGCATTTTTAACGAGAAATCAATGTTACCTTGTAAGAATAGAATACTAACCCTAACCCCCTCAAAAAATCCAACATGGCGGAGAGACGTTCACTCAAGAATCCGACATGGCGGAGAGACGTTCACTCAAGGGGCGTGGTTAACCACCGCCAGTTCGTATGTATTGTTACGAATTTGTATTTTCAAGATTTTCGTATACATTTTTACGAACAGGTTTTGGAAATCACGTTGGAAAAAACTTCAGTATTACTTTAAATAAACTTAGGCTAAGTTTGAAATCATCAAGAACCAGATGTTCCCCCCTTCATCACATTCATTAAACAAGTGTCTATTTATTTACAGCACAGAGTCCAAAAGACATCGAACTTACCTGGACTTCTGTCAAACTTTCTAAGACGTCCATCATAGTTCTCTCACCTCTGGCAGCGGAACACTGTGGCAGTAAAAACAGGCTTATTACTACACAGGATGTGGATGGAAATGTGTTTTTTTACAATATTATATAAAAGTTTGAGTGTCACCAGGCAACAAATGAAGATGTCATGATGAAGTAAATGCTAGTAAAGCATCAGTAAACAGGCAGTTCTTCATCCAATTTTAGTAGCTGATAACTTAATTAGGAAAAAATATATTATTTTAATGAACTAACATGTATTTCATTGTGAGTTCTTATAATGGTTATTAACTTATCATCCTTGTTTATTTCTGAATAATATTGTAAATAATACTTAACTAAAAACAAATCATTACCTTATTATGAGTTGATGACCTAGTAAAAGTTGTGCAGCCTCCACACTGATGGATAGCTCGTAATAGACATGTATCAATATTTAGCCATAAGCTTCACATTTATACGATCGATACTTCCCGCTTATCCATCTACAGTGTGAGAATCATTTATAAGACATCGTCACGATTCCATTACTGGAGAATTAAATGGACTAGGGCAGGAAGGGAGAAAAATGAACCAATCATTCATCTCATTGCTTCGTGTGATGCAATACTTTACAGAACCACTGAAGCACACAGGTAACCATGAAGCAATGGCAACAAACTCTGCGGGGTGGCTGGTTGCATTGGGCTTACTCACCACTAAACCAGCCTCTATGGCAGGGACCAGGGTCAGCTTGCTCCCATCGGTCACCCCCAGGTCCAACAGTTGCCCTGCAGTCAGCTGCCTGCCAAATGCACATCGCGTAAGACTTACAGGGGATGTGACGATGGAGCAACAAGTGCCTCGTGAAGCACAACTCACGTGTCTCTGTACAGGAGGACGATCCTGTCTGTCTGCAGCCGGAGCCTGTGGGAGATTTGTGCCCTCAGTCCCTCCACGCTCTCTCCCCGGGGGACGGTGAGCTCCACCGGGCCGCCGGCGGTGGAGGTGATGGACAAACGCATGGTGGGCTGACCGGGGGAGACCCCAGCCTGGCACCCCGGGGCGAAGCTACAGAGACCCCGCTGCTGCTCCATTCGGCTGTGGAAGGGTCCAAACTTCAAACCAGATTCTGGTCGCTCGATCGAATCTAGGAAGTCTTTTTGTTTTTTGGTCTTCCTCCTCATTCCTCGGAGGTCAGTGTGAAGCAGCTTTACTGTCGGTCTCTTTCAGGCTGGGACGGACTGCTGCACTACTCCGCCGAGCGTAAAACACCCAAACCCGGTCAGCGTAAGCCCCGCCCACGCGGAGGCACAGCGAATCAGCGGGAGCGTGGGGGCCGCTCTGCCCGTAGCGTCCAATCATATTCGTCTGTTTCTGTTGTGGTTCCAGCCTGTTATGGTTTACCACTCACCATTCATAAATGATGCAACGTGCAAAACCCCATTATGCGCTGTGCAGTGCTTCATCGTGCTCAAATGTTTGTCTCGTTTGGAGTAGGAAGACCAGCGGCAGCCTATTGTTGTATTTAAAATGATTATCACGTTGTTAAAAGCTTCCCAGAGATGACTCACAGTTGTTCTGTGCTACTTCTAAAAGCACACACAGTCCCCACCGCTTACAAATATCTGATTTCTACTGATCATAAAAATCCTTTCAATACACAATATATTTTTCAATGTTGCAAAGAGCCTCAGGCTTTCTGAAATCATTACCTCAACCCCCAACTCATCTGTATTGGTGTGACCTACAAACAGAGTGACGTCAACTTTATGTATAAAACCGGAACTCACTGACCATAAAACTATGAAGCCAGCTGTAAATCATGCAGGATACTTCTTAAAGTGAGCCAGCTTCAAAAGAAAAACAGTCTTGTATTTTTCTTTCCTTTTCATGCGTTTTTTATTAGCTCTGACAATATAGGGGGTCATAGGAACGGATTAAAAAGCCCTCAGAAACTGATATGGATAAAATTGAACTGATTCGTCATTTACGCACCTCTCAACTGCAAGACACATTCATGTAGATACACATCAGTGTAGAAAATAGAATATTTATAGTACTAATAATATTTGGGAGCGTTTAAGCATTACATATTGTGTATATGCAATTCAGCATTACATCACAAAGACATTGCTCCTTTCATTCCTTTACGATGTCACATGGGTGCAGAATCCTGTCCCAGCATGCACCGGGCTGAAGGCAGGGAAACACCCTACATGTACATCTGTGGATGCAGTAGAATCTCGGTTTTCCGCCAGTGGGAGGAGGCGCTCACAGACAGCATCCACCCTTTGTTCTCTGCAGTCTTCTTCTTTTTTTTTTGTTCTCCCTCTGCTGTTTAGTATTCGTGTCCCACTGCTGGTCCACAGCAGGTCCTCCGGCCTGCACCTGTCACGTGACTCACCATCGAGAGGAGACCGGCTTGGAGTAACGTGACGTGGGGATCCGGCAGAGAAATGCAGCCAATGCGCGTTTCCACGCGATGGCTAAAAATAGCGACACCCCAGACACCCCCGCTCTGAAAGGCCTGCGTCACTGCACTTCCCTCCACACTCCCCCGCACCTCCCCCGCACTCTCCTGCTCCCCCCCGCTGTGCAGACATGTTTGCCTCTCTAGTCTCTCTAAAACAATCCTATTCATCTTGAGGACACGATGGCCACCTTCTCTAAGAGGAACCCCACACGCATCTCATGTTCCTCTTTTCTCTCTTTACGGTGACTTGAGGAACCCGATGTCCCAGCGGGATTCTGATGGAGATCTCCCCATTCCCTCCCCTCCCCTCCCTCGCCCTCATTCCTCCCCGCCGTCTCTATGGCAGCGAGCCAGTCCAGGGGGAGAGAAGAGAAGGGAGAGGTCGCTGCTTCACATTGGTGGGGGCCTCGCTGAGAACAATTCCACAGGATGTCCTGCTCTCCAGAGCACGAGGAGACGTTGCTCTGACGTCAACCGACCTGCAAACACGTAACCGCCCCCCCCCCACACACACACGCGCACACTCCCCTGCACGGCCTCTGCTGGCATCATTCCCCAGACGAATCCTCTGGTCTGGCACACCTTGGAGTCCATGGAATCTCAGAGATGAAGACGTGTATTTGTGTGGAATCACTGTTGGATATTACAGCAATAATCTCAGTGGGGAACTGAGGAAAAACACAAGATGGTTTGTGTTGTCTAAAGGAGAGTGTATGTTTATATGAATCTTTATTTATGGCTTAAAATGATGTTATAGTCTTGACATCTACCATCTCTTGACTCATTTGCTGTAAAGCACAACAGGGCTCGAACACTATATATTTATCCAGTGCTTACTTGTGTTGGTGTACAGTCCAACGTTTCCAACACCGAGCACCTTCGGAGTCGGTTACCACTGAAATGTCTCTATTTTTCATATTTCATTTCGTATGTAATTCAAGTCATTAAATTTCTTTAGCACCTGAGTTCGGTAAGTTTGAGTTTAGTGCAGAAAGCTAAACTTTTCTTCTATGTGTTCTCCTTTGTTCTAGTCCTTGAAAACATCTGCTGTGTGTTTTGCTCCAGATGCTTAGCATGCAGAAAAGAGGCTAAGAAGTTAAAAAAATGTAAGCAAAAATGCAGTGGAATGTGGTATCCTCAAACTGAGGCGACATTGAAGTTCACAGACATGTGAGGGATGTGGTCACATTCCTGAAAACATGATTTCTTCATCATCTGCTTCAGAAATGTGACGCCTCACTCCCACAACTGACCTCCCTCTGTCGGTTAACTCCAGTGAGCAAATACATTTAGTTTTGCCCTGAACTGATTCCACTGAGAGGCGTCATGCGTCCGTGCTGTTATTTCTGTCACTGGACCAGCTGCTCCGCTTTTAAGCCAGTTTGCTGAAGTCGACGGGAGAAAGTCTCTGTGCGGGAACGTGAACTGGTTTCTAGCGAAGTCAGACATCGTGCTCCGGCTTTCTGTAATCACACATTCCCAGATTAGACCTCCAGCCCCTTTGGAGCTTACCAATTTGTGCAACTCATTCCTTTCTACGTCACTCAAGATGATTGCAGGGAACATTTTTGGATTGACGATAATGCAAATAGAAAATCTTTGTGGAGCAAAGGTCACAGGGTGCAGTAAACACACAACATATCATATTACAAACGCTCTTGGTGGGTTGTCTTGGTCATAAGGCCTGTAGCTCAAGTTAAATAACTAAACTTAAATCATCAAAATACAGGTTCCTCAGTTCTTCCATACTTTATTGTACTATTGTTCTTTATGTTAACATAACACTGTCCGCTACACTACAGTGGAATCTAGGGTTTGACAAACATCTACAAAAGACTTGAAAGATAATTGTGTGCGTCAGGAAGAAATCAAAATGTGATACAAAGTTGGGTTATGGTTGTTTAACGTAAAGTAACTGAGTTTATTTTTTGCATGTATTAGAACTTAATCACATTATTTAAGCAAATAACACACAACAACGCCGTTTCGCAGTTTCATCATTTAGTTCAGGTTGGTGATGTCGATATACTTGTCCTGAAAAACATGTATTTGACGATCAAAGGGCGTCAAACCATTGTTTTGGTGTAAATGTACTATTAATTAGAAATAATTCAAGCTATTGTTTAGTTAGCAGGAAGTCTTGCTCGACCTGATTCTGAAAAAAGCTGCATGAAGAACTGAAGAACTGAAGGACTTCAACCTGAAAACAACAGCGCAACGCTGCCACCAGGTGGTGAAACGTGAGATTACACAGACGTCCACAGCGCCCATCTGTCTGCACCGAAGAAAGACACAAACATAGCGAATTAAATATATTACAATATCAATCGTGTCTGGACCGATAGAAAAAAAATGAAATGAAAAACTGAAATTCCTCAGTCGACCAATGAATTGCTCTCGCGGGAGATGCCATTCATGAGCTCGTGAGGTTCTCTCCTCCATCTCGCATCACGAGCCACCATCACCGTCAGCGCCGGTCACGTGGTGAGTGGGGAGCGGGCGGTGGGTGTGTCCAATCGCGTGTGGTTTCATTCATAACTACAATCCCCCTTTGAAGCCCAAATGTAAAGTATGCAGACGGGGCGAGCTGCCCGTGGACCGCCGCTTCAAACGGAGTCCGCGGCCGGGTGAGAGTGTCCCGCGCGCACCGGGACCAGCCGACGGACCCACCGGGCGCATACTCTCCCTCTCTGCCGCTGTAATGTGCAACTATTTCCTCGTGCGGGATGTTTGACAGGTGACAACAGCCGGCTCCAGGTGCCTCAATCAGAGCGCTTCACCGCCAGATGTTTGACTCCGGAGGAGCACGGCGGAGCAGCCCCCCCCCCCCCCGAGTGAGCGGTGTTGATTTTCTATTCCTTTTTCTCGCAGGCTGAGTGCTGAGATGCGGGACGGACCCGATCGGCGGCTTTTCGGAGGAGAAGGGAAGATGCTGCTGCTTCTGAGGCTGCTGAGGCTGCCGATGCCGCGGAGCGCCGCCGGCTGCAGCGGGTCGCTGTAGTCAGTCTGCTTCAACACCGCCTGCATAGACCGTAAGATATACGACACATCTGGAGACTTTCCTCATCCGGTCACAGATCAGGGAGACATGCGGTGACCCCCTTTCCTCGCTCCCTCTCTCTCTCTCTCTCTCTCTCTCTCTCTCTCACTCTCTCACTCGCCGCTGATGGCTTATCAGGGTGTAAACACCGCCGGCGTCATTGCAATCTGCTAATGGAAGGATGTGAATGTCCGTCCATCTGTCCGCGTGCCTGGCGCACATGGTGATAGAGCGGGATGATGGGGATGAGAGGGATGGAACGGGGCATGGAACCATCGGAAGTAGCGCTCGCTCATTTCCACGCGCGTGCAGCACACACACTTTGGATTATTTTTTCTCAATCAGTCGGGGTGGGAGTCAGTGGGTTTTAAATTGTATTGTGATTACTGAGATCACTGTAATACAAACATGATACAAATATAAACCAAAAGTCATTCCCTGTCTGCTAAAAAGTAGGCTAATAGTAAAAAACCATTATGAATTAATAAATCATTTAGATAATATATCAATTAAAATAATATATTTAATTTGATTTGGATTGAGAGAAAGAAAAATAAATAAAATCCCATAAATGATTCTTCCCCAAAACAGTATAATGATGGAAACCTATAACAGACCTTTCATCGTATTTCGCACAGCCGGACAGGAGAATTGTGCCTCCTATCAGATGTGCTGAAGTGTTTATGATGTCATGACTGAGCCATTTGGCCAAATTAAACTTTTCTATATCTGCTATTTGATACTTTTACACTGTGCCCTAATTAAAATAGAATTTAAAATCCATCTTCATGTGGGTTTGAACACTGTTTGGCTTCATGAACTATAGTTGCCTTCATGAAATGCATGAAGGCAACTATAGTTTAGAGTTGAGAGCTGAAGTGATCGCTGTTGATTGCTGTATGCCATCAGTAATATAGTGACATTATTTAAAAGGGCTTCTGCTTCGAAAAGGTGTTTGAAATGAAATAAAATGCTTTAGCTGATTTTACTAATAAAGAAGAGGAACAAATGTAGGAACACCAGCAAGGACATTTGTTAAACCTTGGAAAATAAAAAAAATAGACCATTCAATAATTTTTCAAGGTAGCCTTCTAATCCCTTTGACTACTTGTTATTCAGTGTGCAAAGAGAAGATATGAACAGGTTTCACCACATCGGTCTTCAAATAATCTCAAAATAAAGAAATACATCAATGTTTTCTGTTCTTTCATTAAACATATTTTATTTGCCTTTTAGTCGTACTTTTAAGTTCGCCTATAGCACTTAAATCCAGAGCAGAAATGATAGCCGTAATAATATAAAATATTCATATGTTTAGGATTTTTAACAAATAATGTACATAAATAAATACATAAAAAGACCATGCTCACAACTAAACGCCATTGAGTGTAAAAACACCCATTAAAGGTCAGAAAAATAAATGGTGGTTATACAGACTTCAACATGATCTGTTTGTGTGTGTGTGTGTGTGTGTGTGTGTGTGTGTGTGTGTGGTATGCAGTGTTACCCTGAGCTGTTGGTATGAGATAGCCAATTACATCAATATGACTCACACACAGAGGGAATGCGTAAGGAATGCAATTGGAGACGGACACAAGCTGCAGTGTAAAACATGGAATGATCCCTCTCTAACAACACGCCGTCTTCCTATTTCCCAGACAGTGAAGCGTCCGCCAACGACTGAGGGGAGAGATACTCGATTATTGTGTGATACTGTGTGTGCGTTTGTAATGATCCATCTTCAGGAGATCTCAGTACATCTTCAGACAGATAGGGTATTTCACCAGTTTGTCATGAGGTTCATTGTGCTGAGCAGAATGTTTTCTGCTGCTCGGTCCGAGCTCGTTTTCTGTGTCAAAACCACGAGGAAGGAAATAACTCTGGATATGATTATTTAAAAACATTTATGACCTATGTCTTTATTGCACTATCAATCCACACACACTTACATTTTTTAAAACAGGGGTTCTGTAGTTTTTTGTAAGATGTTACTGAAAAAAGGAAAAGGACATTCATGCTGATTTATGGCAGCCCACATTCACTGCCCATGAAAGAACATGTCACCTGATGCAACTGTGTGCCTCGTTGTTGTGTGTGTGTTTTTTTTAAACAATGGAGGTCTGTAACATAAGATATAGTGGCAACATTCCACTGTTGGTCCTGGTCACAAGATTAGTTTCTCCTGCTTTCTTCCACACGAAATAAAAATCTGTTGTTGTTGAGGAAGAAACAGCAGCTCTGTTTTAACTTCACTTTCTCCGTCCTCTGCAGGGTTCACACACGCCGACCTGGACCATGAGCAATGAGTCGCCTGTTCTCACCAGTCTGTCTGAGAACTCCACCGTGAGTACACAAACTCACCCTGTCAGCTGGTGTCTGTGACAACTCTTTCCTTCACAGATCTCAGCCAAAGAGGCAGTGCGATGACCCCCCCCCCCCCCCCCCCACTGTCCCAGTAACGGGGTTCATATCCCAGCACGAGCTGTAGTGGAGGAAAGCTGCATCTGCAATCAATGAGGATTTGACTCAAAAACAGGGGGCGAGTTTGATGGCGGCTTTTTTGTTGCTGTTGTTGCCATACAGCCACCAGTAGGCCGAAGCGGATATCTGAGCCAGGGCAGGTGATTATTGGTGATTAGCGGCGGACGGCGCGGAGGGAGAGTTTCCCTGGAAGGCGCGAGGCTTCGCTGCTCCAGCTGATTGATCGTGTTGTGCTTCCCGTTTGGCTGAGCTCGTGAAAACAGCAGCAGAAAGCAGACTTAATTAAGCTGCGGATGCTCTGACACGCTGTGCTGGCCTGTGTGTGTGTGTGTGTGTGTGTGTGAAGGTATGCATGTTACACACACACCTTCATATTATACTGCATCTCCCCGTAGGCTTTAGCAGAAGATAGGCCGCTATAGCCGCTAAGGAAGATGAAAAAATACACTGTGTGTGTGTTTGTGTAACATGAAGAGACCAGAAGCAGATTTCAGGTTGAATAAAAAGAAAAGATAAGGTATTTGTTTTGTTTGCTCTGATGCAAATACTCGTGTCCGGTTTCATGAGAAGAAAGTCCTCCGTGCTGGATTGAGTTTGCGGTTGAGGTTTATGCCGATCGATTGATGCTTCTTCTTGCAGAAGAACCTTTACTATTTACAGTGAATGCACAGTCAACCCGACACAAGCTGTTCTTGCTCGTTTTTTAATAAAACTACATTTGTCGACTGACAAAATAAGATAATTGGAGGGAGCAAACTACTAATAAAAACAATCGCAACTATCATTTCCCCCATTTTCTGACTTTTTGTGGGTTAAATGTCAGGAAAAAGTAATGAGCAGATTAGGATATAATGAAAATAAAAATCATTAACTGCAGCTCTTCAGTCTCTGTGCATCCAGGAGCATTAGGCTTTTAAAAACTTTACAGTGTAATAAAAGTCCTTAATCCTTTTTTAACTCTCTGTAGACAAAAGAAACACTTTAAAAGTGCTTTGACCTAGAACAGGCCAGGTTGGAGGAATGACACATGCAATGGACCCACATGGCGAAGGTTGCAGCTGAGAGTTTTAAGAGTAGAGAACTTGGATAAGGAGGCATTCTGCTCAAAAGGACCTTACAATGAAACATTTAACAATGTTACATCCTGCTGTTGTGTAAGGAGGACAAACCAGCTTTCAAATTAGCTTCAATGACCTCGATGCTGCTCCTGCTAAGGGCATCGTCTTCTAAAGGTCGGCCTACTGCTGCGCGGAGCTTCTCCTCTCCTCAGTTTTCTTTAAATCCGCACATGATGACGTCAACACCTTCAACATTTTATATATTTCATGTAAAACTCAATAGATGAATATTTCCTTCGTGACAGTGAGAAGAGCCCAATTATTTCCTCTCTCTTGTGAAACTGACATTGGAAGAAGAGCCAGGAAAGCGTGGCGATGGCTTGTGTGTGTGTGTGTGTGTGTGTGTGTGTGTGTGTGTCTGCAACTGCCTCCAATTTCCATTTTTAGCCCACAGAGCTTTCATTTCCCCTTCATGGAGAAGAGCCGGGAGATTGAATTAAGGGTCCCGCTGACGTTTCGATTAGCATCCCCAAGCTTATTCAGCCTGAGAGTACTAATCAGAGGGGCTGAAGTTGTTTTGTGCGTGTGTGTTAAACGGGCGGGTGGGCACATGAGTGTGTGGGGATGAGCGTCCCTGTGAGGAGGCATGGACTTAAGGAAGCCTCTCGGTGTTAATTCTCTCCTCATTCAATATTACGACGCTTTGCTGGCAGCGTAATGCCACAAAGAGATTCCACATAGCAGTGAAGCTCAAAGGGAGAAGCATCAATTGCTGCTCTAGTGGGACCAACGAGCTCACAACTAAACAGAGACACGTCTTTGGGCTTTTAAGGAACTGCAACTATGAGCCGAGAACACAGTAATTAAGTGAAGCAGTGAGAGTGCACAGGGCACCGGGTTGGGCTGATACTGGACTTGAAAGCCGATGTGTTAACTGCCTCATGGTAATGTCTGTCAGTATCTGATTTTCATGCAGCAGACAAACAGGTTGAGTCCAATTGTTTTTACTTTTAAGAACAATTTAAAATGTCCATATTTCAGAACAATGCTGCTCTTTTGTGCTCTGATCAAAATGTAATATAAGGTGAGATTGGAGAACTGGTCGGTGACGTGCATCCTTAAAGCTGCAAAAGTAAATATCTATATTCTGAAAAACAATGATTACCTGCAGCATGGTGTTGTATGGCGGTGAGTGTATGATAAACAGACTATATGACCTCTGCTGTCGATCAGGATGTGCCTGTGGCGGCGGGCCAGGTGGAGAACTATGTGCTGCTGTTGGTGCTGCTGAGTGTTTTCGCCGGGGGGACGCTGGTCCTGCTCTCCCTGCTGCTGCTCTTCTGTCACCGCTGCTGCACGGGTGGACGCCGCTACTCCAGGTAGGCGGCACGCTGTGTGGGCCTGCTGTGTCTGCAAACCCAGCGGAATTACAGGAGGCGACGCGACAGCGCCGGCAGCGGATTAAAACTGTCCCTAATGACGCAATGACATTTGCTATTTCTGTGAAAGAATGACGAAAAGTGACACAACTTTTTGTCACTTTTCAGAGCGAGCGATGACCCCGAGAAGACAAACACCACTTATGTTGAGGATTCTCAGCCCACCCAAGGTCAGAGCTGTAGGTTTTCTCAGGTTCTTACATACACGTCTTCCGGTCCACTGTCGCCACTCCCGTTATTTCTTCTCCTTGTCGCTCAGAGATCATCATTCATCTGGATGAATCAGACGCTCTCTCAGCCGGCAGCTATCACGACGGAGAGTCAGAGCGCTTCGTCTCCACTGGGTCTACCGGCCGCAGAGTCTCCTTTAACGAATCGGCACTGTATGAACAGGAGAAGACGACTCAGGACAAAGGACGCAGGTGCAGTTAAACGGGGGGTTTCACGTTGTTATTTCCATGAGCCGTTGGTTGAATCAGACGGAAGGATTTGTCTTCTTTTTCAGGTACACTCTGACTGAGGGAGACTTTCACCACCTGAAAAAGGCCCGTCTGACCCACCTCGCTTTGCCCCCGGCCCCTTGTGACCTGAAAATCCTCACCATCATGGAGTGTGACTCAACGGAGAGCAGCACCCTCAACATCAATGACACGGCCGCTCCCAAACTGCCCCTCACTATCTACCAGGTAGATTTTCGTTGGCTCAAATTTGATCTCAACACGTCCCCAAGGTTTCCTCATGTCTTTGGTGATTTCTCTCTCCAGGCCACTGAGAGAAGAGTCCCCGACTGGGTGGGTCTGAGCCTCAGCAGGGGTCTGCCCGGAGACCAGCACCACTCCGCCATCCTGGACCAGAGCCACGGACAGGCTTCATCCGCCGTCAACGCCCAGCAGCCGTGGTCCCAGACAGTGAGTTTCACTCACTGCGTATTACAGGTCAATGCGTGTTTTGTTACGGCCCCATTGGAGGGGAGTGTTGGTCTGTTGATTGGTCGTTGGTCCAGTAATGCCTGCAAGTACAGCACATCACGGGATAACAAGCTCACGGTTTTTATTTATTCACCCTTGAGTCTTGTCTTCAGTGAACAACATTCCGGGGCCAGACTTAGAGGAACGCCAGTGAGGGAAGATTTTGTTTGCCGGTCACATTTCTTCTGCATCTGTTCAGTCCCTGCTTGAAACATTTGTTTGTATAAAGAGATCCAATTAACTCATGCATGTCTGTTAAATCGCAAATGCATTTGCACAGAGATTCCTCTGTGAGGATTGATCCACTCGTATCAACATAAACAGCTGTGAAAAGCAGCTGCCACAGGCTCAATTGATGCATCGTGACATCAGTCATCACTGCAACTCAGTGAATATATGACAAACTGCTCTCCCCCGAGGGGCTTTCCCCCTCGCCGCGATTCATCTCAGCTCGTCTCAACCCTCCTTAATGTCTCATCTCCTCCATCCATCCCACTCTCCCATCATCCCTTCTGCCAGATGGAGGCTATTGGAGACACAGGGGAGGCTCAGAGCGAAAGGGGGCCGAGAGGAGAGTCGACTCAAGCGCCGGGCCAGACTTCAGTTCTACACTTCTTCACCAAACTGCGCCGTCATGCTAGTCTGGAGGGGGCGGGGCCTTACTTCAGGAGGTGGAAGTTTGACAGCAGTCATCGGGCCGCCAGCCTTGATGCCAAAGGTTTGGATATATGCCCTAAATGATCAGCTTAGAAAAGTTGATACAAAACTGAAGCAAAGAGAAAGGTGACAAACATTGTTGGGCTTTTCTACTAGGATCCCCCAAGAGAAGGCCCTTCCAGAGACAGAGAGCGGCAAGTGAAACCACTGATCACACCGACAACGACTCTTTGTCCCTCCAAGATGAGGTCATTGAGTCGTTCCTACAGTCCCCCGTCCCGACCAGTGGCCTCCAGTCGCTCTCTGCAGAGTCTCTTTCTCAGCCAGACACGGCACTCGCATCCTCATTCTTCCTCAGCAGGTACATCATCTCTTTCCATAATCCGGCTGCTTGCACCACGAAATGCCCAAAACTAACGATGGACTGTCTTTACAGGTTAAGACCAGAGGCCATGGGCGAGTTCAATGGTAGCAGCGGCGCCAGAGGAGAAGATACAAACGACTGTTGCGCCCAGAGGAAAGAGGAGGCTACAGCCAATGGGACTCAGGTAGAAGAAGAAGAAGCAGTGTTTGGTGCAGGGAGCGGAATGGAAGCAGTGGAAGCCGAGCTAGAATCGGTGGAAGATGACGACTTGTTTGTCGTGCAACAAGGAGCTGCTGTACAGGAAAGGTTCGAAGACAAGATAACGAATGTGAGGAAAACCAATGAGACGGATGAAGGAGATGAGCTGGCGTTCGGGGCTGAGGACAGGCTCAGGGCCGGCTCGGGCTCGTCGTATTCCTTCACGAATCGCCAGGAGAGCTCAGAGGCTCCTCACTCCCTGTACAGAGACATTTGGAGCTTGCGGGCGTCCCTGGAGCAATACGCCTCCTCGGACCAGAGCAGCACGGATCGGGAGTCCATCCGCAGCGATGGCGACAGCGGCTCATCCCACGGCGGCGCAGGAGCTCGCTCTGGCCTGGACAGCTGCTTGTCCCAAGACCTGGACGATGAGCCTGAAGGGGAAGGCGAGGGAGAGGGAGGAACCAGAGGGGCGTCGGGTGGGGACAGTGAGGTGGGAAGTGGAGGTGGGGGAGAGGGCGAGGCAGGGAACCGCAAACTCCTCCAGATGGACAGCGGCTACACCTCCATTGAAGCGCCATCCAGACCTCCGGACGAAATGCGGCTTTTTGGGACTCCTGGAGCTCCAAGAGGGAAGACGGCGTCTGAGAGAAGGTTGTTCTTCACCAGCTCCGGGAGGAAAGGTTCAGTGTGCGAGAGCACCGAGGCCCGGCTGTTACAGGAGGAGCTTCAAGACGAGATGTCACACGGCGCTGAGGAGAAACTAAAGAACAGATCTCAAACTGCAGGCCAGTCTCCTGCCCTCCAAGAACCGCATCAGCTTCTGAAGACCCTTCAACCTCAGAAACCTCCACAGTCCCAATCTCAGTTGATGTCTAGCCCAATCCCGCATGCCTCTTCTCCTCACAAACCTCGCCTCCGCCGCCGCGACTACAGCATCGACGAGAAGACAGACGCCCTTTTCAACGAGTTCCTCCGGCACGATCCACGGTTCGACCAGCAGGATCCGCCGCTGCGCACCAGGCATCGATCCAGAGTTCACCTCCGAAAACAGTGGCAGCGACACAAGCAGTACAGCGACCCGGGGTCAGGTGCTGGGGGCAGGTACTCCCCGTCTTTGGAGAGGCAGAGGTTCACGCCGCTGAGGAGGGGCGACAGTGCCGGGTACCCTCTGGACACAAGGTACCACAGCACCCTCTCGCGCATCGCCAGCGCCGCCGACGAGGAGGCCTGCGAGGTCGCGCCCGGGGAGGAACCCGCCAAAGAGAGATCAGACGGCACAGATCCGTCAGGTGGAGCCGAAAAGAGCGCAGAGGCCACCGTCGAGGGTGACGGCCGCCAGGTCTCCACAAGGTCTTTGAGCAGCGCACGCGGGAGCCACGCGGATCCCACGGTCACCAACAGAAACAACAACAGCAGTCGGGCTGTTTGGTCGGAGCGCAGCCTGGCGGATAAGATGGCCGTGTCGGTCGAAGAGAGGCTCTACAGCGGCCTGCGTGGCGCCGAGCAGCTCGGCCAGGGAGGAGCGGAGCGGGCGCTCACCGTGTCGCACGCGGCCTCACCCGGCTTCAGCCCGATGTGACCCGTGGATCTCTTCTCCCAGCGGCTTCATTTCACATCCATTATGTATAGACGACAGACTTGAATTAGGATCCATAGCGGTACAATCATTACCGTGTGTTAGATACTTGTGTCCCTTACATTTAGAATGTGATTCACACAGATGTCCTGAAGGACAGAACAGTGTCTCCCGGTATTTCCATTCACACCTTGATTTCCACTGGGCCCCTTTTTATTGGTGACCGTTCTGAAAATCAAATGCATTTATTACACAGCTTGGAAAATATACCCATCTTTAGAAAAAATGAATACTTTCAGAATTAAATGTGAATTTTCAGCATGCTACTGTATGTCCAAACAATGTGTATGTGAATACTTAACCGTTTTGACTTTAAAACAAAAAGCACTTTGATGGGAAAAAGAAAACGATGGAGTTTCTGTCACCAATCCTCCTCAAGTGTCCTTCTCCTCTCAATCACCACAAGGGTAAATGTCTTTGGGAAAGCTTGAGGTTCATGTATTTGGCGAAAAGAATACGGACCACATAAATGAGAAAAAACTAACTGATCTCAGCCCACACATTTACATCATATGAGCAGATTAAAGACCCGGAGGTAAAAGCAGACGTCCTAACTAAACTATTGCGCAACATGGATTTTTATACTCATATTTCATCTATTTTTTTTTCATAGGAGTTTTAGTAAATATTTGTCCTCATTACTCCTTACACTTCAGGAGGGGGAATCCAGGAGCTTCCGTGGGTTCCAGCGAAGTGTTTCATCAGTGCACTGACTGTGTTGAGCGGGAGACTGACAGAGGAGCCTCGCAGGCTTTTAGACAGATGGTCCCGTGACAGAGACGAGGCTGTGAAAGGGGAGGTTGAAACTAAATAGCATTGGCGATGGACAAGCTCATTTAATATTACTAAATAAAAAAAATACCTCTGGTGATATTTTTCTGATTGTCAACAAATCCTTTGAGAATTGTAAGCGAATAACATTGATTCCCATTTAAAGTTTTCTAACATCCACAGTGCACAGCTGTTTTGGCGTGTCATTTACTATAAAATACATTTGTCAACGTTTCTTAATCATCTCCCATAGGATCTGGTTAAGTCAGAAAGTATTAAGAGAAAAAAACAGCACCATATTGGTTTATTTGCTGCCATTGGGCTAAGACAAGATGAAGAACTGACAGCTTTCAAAATAATACCTTGCAGGTATCCTGTGGATTCAAGTTAAACAGGCTGTACAGATTTATTCCGTATCTCTGTGCGGCTTTAAGATGATCCGTTAAGCAGTGATGTGTGATGTCACCGTGGATACTTTTGACGGCAGGTAGCGTGGCCCATATTCATACTCGACCCGAAGATTTATGAATAAAGACATGAATAAGAACCAAGCAACTGGGGATTTCACGCTGCTGTAACATTACTCATGCAAGCCGATGTGACGTGTGAAACAAAAAAGGTGTCCGGACACACTGGTCACACCACCATTACACTATTCCGCCTGCGACTGCGAGACGTCTCCTCATCCTCCCTCGTGTGCGTTTTTGTTCAGGAGAAAATCTCTCGGTTGCCGTTGCTGACGTGGGAAGCTGCTGCTCCCTCCCTCCCTCAGAGCAATGACTCACCTGCTCTCTGATCTATTCGCAGCGAGGGGATGACGCTAGGCCTGGCTGCGTACGAGCCGGGCGGGGCTCCCGCTGATGTGATTGCGACTGGGGGATTGTGTCAGCTTCCGCTTGTTGTTCTAGGATCGGACTAAAGACTAGTGAGATGAGAGTTAACTTAGGTAGGTAAAAAATAAATAAAAATAAAAGCAGGACAACAGGATAATCCAACAAAATGTTTGGGACATATTTTATATAAATAATAATTAAAAAATATTCATTAAAAAAAACAAACCTAAATGGAAAATGAAAAATCCAGGTGGATCTCAAAGCTTCAGACTGCCCACAAACCTTCCCTTTCTCCCAGCCCTGTACAGCATGCAGTTTTTTATTTTTATGTTTGTGGGAGTACCATTATCATTTCCTGGGACATTGTATAGATTTAAATATAGAATTATTCATAACAGTTTTTTTTTTCTCTTTAATTTTTTACACTTCACAATGAGTCTTTAAAAACTGCCATTAGGATTTTGTAAAAACAAACGTGGTAACAGAAACAGAGGGTGGGGTAGAGGGTTTGGGTGGGTGGGGTACAGAGGTGATGGTGTTTGTAACGTGTGGTGCAACACTTGACCCTCCTGAGAGGGTGACAGGACGGAGAGGGGAAATGACTAGATAGTAGATGACAAGAGTTAAAGGAGCAAAAAATATGAAGGAAAAAAAAAAAAAATCTTCACAGCCAGTGCCTCAGTCTCAGAGCAAAAAGAACATTTCATGCTGTCCTCCTCCCCATCACTCATACCGCATCTTCAAAAGAGTTTGCAGGCTAGTGGTCCAAGGAGGTAAGGGGGTATTAACGTCAGCAGGTTATTCTCACAACTGTGAGGACTCCGGACACAGAAGGACGGGGTCGGACCGGCCTGATGGACAGAGGACGGAAAACATTAAGTTCATCTCATCAAATATCACTATCAGTGCAGTTACAGGGTCAGATATACTCTGATAACAGGGAAAGACCCACCGACAGGGTGAGAAAGAGGAAGACAAACATCCCTCCTCATCTCATCCAGGGTGAGTCATCGCCTGAACAAATTAACACACGGCCTCTCCTCTGCACCGCGCGCATGACAAAGTGCCGCACACTGGGACTGACTCGAATGTGCTCGAGATGGAAAGATCAAGCTGTGGGCGGGAACTGGGAAGAGACTAGATCAACCTATTAAATAGGTGCGTACGCACGCAGCATAAATCTGTCCCACTTTGCCTGAATGAGGCCCGGAAGGTTGCGGTCTAGATTAATCCTGACAAATAATGACAAAATGAAGGCAAAACGGACAGGTCCAGCCATAGTGACTGTATAGGAACCCTCCTGGTCTACACACTCACCAGGCGGGTTGCTGCCGAGGGAGGAGAGGCGGGTGGGTGGAGGGGGGTCATTGCTGTTTGCAGGTGGAGAGCTTGCGGATCTTGCTGGCTGTGGAGACCCCTTTACGCGAGGGGTTGGATGAAGAGGAGGATCGGCGTTCGGCTTTGGCCTTGCTATTCAGAGACCCCCCCTCTGTCCCGTTTACACAAACCGGCTTGGCTAGAGATGGACTGTGGTCTTCGTGCCCCTGATCCAGATCTTCTTCTTCGGCCACTTGTCCTGAAACACAGGCGCAGCAAAACTAATCGTCACAGCTTCACACGAGTGTCGCCTCGGCGGCGGCTTCGTCGAGCGAGGGGACTGGGTTCGAGATTGGCGCGAGATTACGTGGGAAGAAAGTACAAGAGAGCTGCTGCTGTAACAGCACACACAAACTGTTACCTACTGCATACGTCGTGCACCCATTACACAAGGTGCCGTGTAAATCTATTGCTCGCGGGTGAGACTGAAGGCCAATCAGCTGACCGCCAGCTAGTTTTGAGCGGGGATAAGAAACTCTTCAATGACTTTACCGCACTATGAGAGCTGCAAAACCCAGGAGAATAATAAAAGCAGGAAGATGCAGTCGCTGCTGAGGAGACACATCAGCTCTTAGTCTTGTTTGTGTGTGGGAGTGAACCCCGAAACGCTGTTCTTACTCCCACACCGAAACCATTTCAGCTGCACTATTATTAGATCTCTTCATTCACAATGTGCGGTCTGCTTGTTTCTTTATGTGGAGCACCACTTCTAGATCCCCCTGCCCGACTACTGCATTTATTATTACCGCCTGTTGCCTAGCAACAGCTAAAGGCTCTGAATTCAGAGAGAAAAGATAAAAGCAGGGAAAATCTAAATCAAATGTAAAAATGCTGTTATTATCTATTCACGACAAAGACAACATACACTGAGAATGTTAGTACACACAGCTAACTCAAGGACATATTTTCTGAAATTAAATTAAAACAGGACGACGTTAAAAGGACTGAATCCACATTCCCCGTTACAGTGAAGCACATACGCATGTTTTTCATGGCTTTAAGTCCTAGGCTACAGTTTAAGTTGAAGAGTCTTACTCTGTAAGACGGAGGCGTGTGTCAAAAGGTGTAGGTAATGAAAGTTACGCAACGCCTTTAAAAAAGGTTCAGCGTTGTCATACAAGGAGGAAGTAACTGACAATGAGACACCAGATGTTCCCTCGTCATCTTAAGCCTAGTTTATGTGTCTGCGTAACGCAGACGCAAGAGCCCCTTGCGTGCCTTTTCACACCTCCTTGCGTGCTTCGACCCATTTTTCTAGGCTTGCGTCGAAAGCTACGTAAGCCTCCCGCAGAGCCCTGTGATTGGTCTGCTAACTACATCCTTTACGGAGTCTCACATTTCCGTTTTCATAGCACGATACGAGAACTTTTGTCGGAAGAAATGGTAAAAATAAATAAATATGATTCATAGAGGGAGATCTACGCAAACGTCGGTTTGCCGGTCAAGGGGAAGTTGTGGAGGAAAACACAGGACAAATGTGTCCGCGATTAAAAGCAGCAGTGGCGATGCACGGGGCAATAAAGTCTGATAAATAAATAAACAAACCAACGACTTCCACACACAAAGACGTGACTCTCTAGGTCGTCTTCGACATAAAACATTACTCCACCTGTTGTTCTGGAGGGCAATTGCTCTGCAACACACGCAAGACTTTAGAAACATGAATTGAAACGAGTGCGTCGACACAGACTCATGAGCCAGCCTTAAGAGTCTAAACAAATATACCAACCCAAAAAAAACGACACAAACTATCTCTAGACACTGATGTGTTAACACAAAATTAAAATAAATAAGTAACTGTGTGTAGATTTAAGAATTATATAAATAATAATATATATTTATTTAATCCGTTAGGTTAATAAATAATGAAGTGTCTGAGCTCCCTCTTACCTGGCACTGTGAAGTCCTGAGTGTATATGATCTCATCCTCTCCATCGTAGAGGTCATCATCGTCCTCCTCTGTGTAGCCGTGGAGATCCTCCAGGTAGGGCACCACCGTCATACTCCGCCAGGGATCCCTGCTCTCCGCGTTGGCAGGGATGGGCACAGGGAGCTCAGACGGAGGGTGTTTCTTACGCACCCAGCTGGAAGCGACAGGCAGAGAGACACGTACATGAACAAGCTGACTTCAGCTATGCTTTCTAATCCCTTCAAACTGTTATTTTCATCTATCGAATATTTTTCATTTCAGATATCTCTCAGTGGGGAAATGCTCTGGATTCATAGAAGAGAGGAGTAAACAGGAGACATAATAACAAAGGATTGAAACAAGTAAACATGGGGTACATGATAAATAAGATACTTAGTCACTCACTTATGTTTCCTTATGTTCTGTATGGAAAACCTCTTTTCAGGGTCATACTCAAGCATCCCTGAAAAACATTAGAAAGGTCAATTGAAGCGCAACAATCCTGAACAATCGCTTCACTCACATCATGGTTCAGAGTTGAACATAAACTGATGGGATGCCGCGGCAGTGAGGGGCGAGGTAACAGGAGACGAATGGAAAACTCATTCAAGGAACATTCATTAACGCACATAATACTCTCATTCATCACAGTCAAGACATCTTGCAAAACTTAAGAGGCCAATGAGCTACAGTAAGGAAACATTGATATGAGTGGTATTACAGCTGTACCAACGTACCAAAGATTTTGTGCCTTAATTATCATAATGTGGGCTGAATCTGTGGAAGCAGACGTTTCGTGTGATAAGGCAGCAGTGACGCAGTGCTCATACGGACCGAATAACGTAATTGTCTGCCAGAGTGCTGATAGTAGTGCTACGCCTGCTGAAGGACACCTTTTGTGGAAATGGGCTTATTTTAGACCATGTAATTATGGAGTGACCATCTCCCAGGTGCTGCGTCATCACACGCGGACGTCACACGCTCACACCAAATGGGGGACGCGCGTCCTCTCACAACGTTATATCGCCACCAGAATGGGGCAGTTCTTTTTTCTTTCCAACATTCTAATGGGATTTGCATCCCTTCAATTCCTAATTTCACTACAAAAATAGGTAACCTTCTTTTTCTTTTTACATGGGGGCAAAAGCCTTGCAGCATTTCAGTCGGGAAAAGCGATACCGGACTATGAAAATGTTTAGTATTCCGCTGCTGGCCTCAAGTCAATGGAAACTACGTCAACAGCTTGAGGGTTTTGTACAGTTGAGGAGGCCTGGCATGCAGGGGAGTCAGTGGGACTGTCAGTGTCACAGCACCACCTACTGGACTGTGCTGTAATTTATTACCATTGCATTTTGTAAACATCGCCAACCAACTCCTCTATGGTGTTGACAGTAATGCACGCTTTTGGCAGCGCAACAAACCAAAAATACAACACAATGGGTTCATCCTTCACCGAGCTACGGATCATCCTCAACAGCAACACAAAAGGAAGGTGAAAACAAACTCTCACCTTGCAGCAGGTCCGACAGGAGCGGTCCACACTCCTCGGGAATAGTGTAGTCTCCTTTTCCAATGTTCTCAAATAGCTTATAGATGTTGTCTCCCTCAAACGGATACAAACTCGTTGTGATGTTGTATCTGAATGGAACAAAATCATTCAGTTTGAGAAAGGTTTCTCTTTATTTTGCCATTGAACATTTCATTCAACCTATTGTCAAGTTATGTCACCTTTCTGCAGTTATTTTTGACTGTTCTTAAAATCTGGGAGAACAATACTGAAGCACATTTGAATCCCAACCTTTTCTACAGTATAAAATGCTTTTATAGACCTTGATTTGTCATCCATACTGCAGCTTGTCAACAGCACGACTATTCAATCCCTACAATCCTACACTAAACCGTACACAGAATGATTAGCAGCAGCGGAGAATCTTTTTGTGGAGCTTAGAGGTGGACGACCCGGGAACGCCAATGTGTCGAGTGCACAGAGAGATGACTGAAATCCTTAAGGACATCTTAAGAGTGTTCCTCTATTAACTTCAGGGCTGCTGCTCGGCTCTTTGACTTCCCCATGAAAAGGACACGCAGGAGCCTTGTCCCATGACTATCTAAAGATATTGAGACAACTTAGATAGTCGGCCTATAATTTGGCATTTAGAATGCTATGAAACTAAACGGCATTCTTTGAGAACTCAAGCAACCGGAGACCGACTACTCACAGTGTTACTCCAGCGGACCAAATGTCCACTTTAAACCCTGAAAAGGTGTCCAGTCCATTTGCGATCTCTGGAGGCTGGAAGGCCGGCGAGCCCTGACTGGTTCGACACGTATCGTCCTCTGCAAATGGGTGAAGGGCCTGAAAGATGAGTGACTAGGATTAGCGTTTCTCTACATCCATGACCACAAATATGACTTAGACCATAGCGGGATCATTTGTTGACATTTCCTTTTGTAAACAACATCTACAGAACCAGAAGTGATAACGATTCCCTCCCCTGGATAGTGAACAACGCAACCCCGCAGCCCGGGCTCACCTCTGCTACTCCCAGGTCAGAGATTTTAAGTGCTCCGTCTGTGGTCAGCAGCAGATTTCCTGGTTTAATGTCTTTGTGAACTATTCCCTGGCTGTGCAAATATTCGAGGCCATCCAAGAGTTGGCTAAAGTACCTGAAAACAAGAAACACGAGGGGTTGACAGATTAAAACCGAGAGGCATATCAGACAATTTATCGCTGTGGTCACATGAGTATTTATGCAGCGACCACAAATTCACGTAATCCATGGTCAGTTTTAACATCAGAGTTCCTGCAGTCTTTGATCTAGACTTAGTTCCTAGGGCAATGGCTGCAGAAAGGCTTGTTCTAAGTATAGCGGATAAACTATAGATAAAAGGGGGAAAGAGGCGGCAGAGTGGGAAAAAACAAACAAATAAAAACTTACCCGTGAGCTTGAAATACTGGAAACCTTTTTTCTGGGACGCTGTCCAGCATTTCTTGCATCCCACAAACGCAATACTCCATCACCATATACGTAAGTCAGGAGTCAAGGGGATTTGCCAAAGCAAACAAACAGAGCCTTTAATATATTAAATGGACATTTTTAGGAATATAAATAACCTTCATGAACAGCAACATTAAAAACTCAAATCCACAGCGATTTACACGCAAGGATATATTTTCTGCTTCTCTTCGTTGTAGAGCACGTCCACCAACTGAATCACATTCTTGTGTTGGAGTCTTCTTAGTAGCTGAATCTCCCTATAAATATTCAGAAGAGCCAAAAAGCATAAATAAGATCAGTAAGGCAATAAACAGACTCCTCTGGAATGAACCCATCACGTCCAAACACGGACAGATACCTGGGCTTAGGGTATCGGACGATAGAGAGTGCTGATGCACGGGTTTCATTAATGAGCTGTGTGGAAGTGATTGTTTTTACATACGTGTAAGGCAAAGTCAACCTGTACTTGTGGCGTGGCTTACTCAAAGGAAACCAAGCGTTAACCTTTTTAATGCAACCTGAAACTGGTCAGAACTTATTAAACAGGAATTAAAATGTCAGCATATAAATGTATTTATGACATGGAAGTGGGCTGAAGAGATGTAACTGATCCAGTGTAGCTATTTGAGTCAACATCTGCATGATACTTGATATCTTTGCATCCCTCGCACAGATGTGCCCTGTAAAGTATATTGAGCAGAGACAAGAATCGACAGCAACTCAAACTAGACAGTAGTTGCCGCTTTGCAAATTCAAACACACTGCAATTTAATGGGCCAATCAATTTGTACGAGTAGAATAACACAAGTGTCTCCTAGAAGGCGATTCATTAAAAGCACAATTGCATGAATGATATTGTCTGAGCCTAATAAACCAGTCTCATGAATACAGATAACCCGAAGGTTCCCTTCGCCTCCCTGACACAAGGTTTCAATCACCAGCGTGATGGAACACTCTGCAGACTCGACATTCATCGGAGACCTGCGAGAAAGGGCGCCAACGAATGAGGATCTGGATAGAAAGACTGCTAAGGGCAAACACACACTACCCACCCGGCCCCCGCCACACACACACCTTTTTCTTAACAATTAGGAAGGTTGTTTTTCTTTCATAGCATCATAGGTTTGTTTTAAAGATGATTCTAGTTCCCCCCCCCCACCTTTATGCATTGCGCTGGAAAAGGACAGGGAGGAGGGGTTGGGGGCGCGGGCGTGGCATGCAGCATAAGACCACGTCAGAATACGAGCATGTGTGCTCCAAGCACAGTTCTGTTGGCCATTTCTCGTCATTTCTGCTGTTCAGCCCAACAGCAAGAACAGATGACATGCCTGAAAAGCAGCAACCTATGCCTCATCACTACAGATTTCCATAAGGTCATAAAAACAAGACGCCGCTGCCACTGAGGAGCAGTGACTACTGCAGTCCATCTGGCGCCTCTGAGCCCTAAATGTGTGCTGATGCACCTTGCGTGTTGAAGGATTGAAAGGATTGCAGCACTTAGCAATACGGCTGATCCAAACCTGCATCTACACAGTGCTGGCCCAGAGTCGAGGGGTACGCGTGTCTGCATTTCGGCTCATTCCAAACAAGTGCTTGGCCTTTTTAGGGGGTTGCCGCAGAAACGGGAGTGGCATTACTCAACCGATGCTGGTATGGGCATGCCCAATGCCGGAAACCCGGTTAAAGCAGGGAGGTGTTAAGCAGACAGGAATGCTAAGCGGGGGCTGAATGTGAAGCCGGGAGCCACCGCGGCACCACAAACAGGCGAGCCTTTACAGACCTGAGGATCCAGCTTCCTGAGGCCCGAAGAAGTAAAGCCTCCACCAAGCGAGACAGACGTACGAAAGAAATCTCACAGGAAAAAGTAATTTCCAAGGAACTCTGCTTCGGTCTTTTACATTACATGTCATTTAGATGACGCTTTTATCCAAAAGCGACTTACAAGAAGTGCATTCAACCATAGGGACACCATGTGGTCTTACCAACAGGGCAGTGTTTACCGAACCAGTATTTAGAGGTGGGGGGGCTCGATGGGCGTGCCCACGTGTGTGTGTATGTACACACACACTTTGATGTGACCTAGTGTGGTTTACACAATATTCGGTGAAAGTCTGTTAGTACTACAAGCGACTCCATTCCTTGTATAAAAAGAATTCTCTCTCGCTTTCTAAACATTATCATTCTAACTGCGGCCCACAAACGCACCATGTTGCAGCACTTCTTTCCCCGTCTGGACTCATTTTGACACGTTTTCTAAAGCTTCCTCTATAATTAGCACAGGCCAGCAGTAAAGGCTAGAGTAATATTTAATGAACTACTGTGTGATTAAAACTTCTGATTCAGGGAAATTGCGGCGGCATTAGGACAGAAGAGAGGAGACGGTCGGGAACAAAAGGGACATTTTAAATTAAAAAAAAAAATATATATATATATTCAACATTTAATTCTATAACAGCCTGAGTTTGATATGTATTACTTGCCAAACCACTAAATGAAAATGATGTTGCTCAACATAATAAAAATCAACGAAGCGATAAATTGTGATTAATAAGTGTTAATAAACACTAGCAAAAAATATCCGTTTTTATTATTATTAATAATTATTTATTATTGGTAACAAAAACGATCCTCATTCAGGGTGAGTGCAACTCTACATCACTCTCAATGTGTGGACAGTTGCATACACTTCTGACCAAACTCTAGAACGATCTTTGTCAATGGTGCAAAAGACACAAAAGAAAGAAAGAAAGAAATGCAGACTGTTCAACATGTTGTGAAATTCTGATGCATTTAACAAGTTTGGCTTATTTAGCTAAATGAGGAAATGGCTTTCTTTAGAAAAGAAGCTATATTTATATCTATAATAAAACTAAAAAGGTAGTGGAGATTAAGGAACATTTTTCATTTGCAGGTTAAGAGTTGGCTAAGTATTGATGCTTGAGTCAATACTACGGTCTCTCAGGATGAAGGACTGCCCCCGCTGAAAAGACACTTCAACTAAATTAAGGAGACTGTTGTTACAACTTAAATTGTGAGATTGCAGAGCAAAGACAGTAATAAAAAGGGTCAAGGAAAGCAGGTCGACAAACTCCAAAAAAAACTCACTTTTTCACATTGGCTTCTCCGTTGGGAATCCTCCTCAGTTTCTTCTTCTTCAGTATTTTGACAGCCCTGCGACAAAGTGTATCCGAGTCCAGCATCTCTTTCACTTTGCCATAAGATCCCTCACCTAGCAGATCTCCCATCAAGTACTTTCCTATCAGCTTTGCCCTCTTCCTCCTTGGCTGGTAGATCACCTCCGTAGAGTCAATGCGATGAATGAAAGTATCCATCTCCATCAGCTCATTTTCATTTAGATAGTCAAGATGTTGCAGCTCGCCGGCACTCATGACTGGTAGTTCGGCAGCCAAAACTTAAGCCACCCGTGCAAATAGTTCGCAAATAGCTATGATTGCTGCTGCGAAGTAATCCACTGGTAACCTTCGAGTACTGAGCCGAGTGTTTTAATTCCACAAGTTGGAATACTTACAAAATACTAAACATGGGAGATAATAATCAGGACTGAGTGATGAGGGGTGGTGGGGGATCGAAGCCAAATTGTAAACATTAGGGCGCTTTGAGAGGTGAGAAACGTGTTGCGTCCAGTGCAAGTCAGCGCATTTCTTTGACCGGTGCAGTTGAACAAATAACTGATGGTAAAATGTCACTGTTCTCTGCTCAACTATGAATTGAAAACCACACAGCCTATGGTAGAGGCAAACTGTCCTGCTTCGAGGCCGTGCAGCAACGCATTTCGGTCAAAGGTCCATGCTTCAGATTACCGGTAGCTTTAGGATACATAAGTGTGGACAGCTGGACTGGACCCAAGCGCAGATCTACAGCCAAACGCATGCAGCAGTATCAGCCCGGCTCCCGGAGGTCGACTGAGCCGTCCAACGCGTCCACCCGTCCTCAGGTGTCCTCCATGCCACCGCGGTTTCTACCGCCTGGTGCCTGAAAACAAGGGGCATTTAAACAGGATGGAAAACATAGCGTTCACTCACCTTCTGAACTGTGGTAAACAATCTGTCGGGAGACCAACACTTGACCGGTCAACCTTATTGGGTTTCCAATTTGCCGTGAGGATCAAATAAGACACGAGGATATTATTATTATTATTATTTAAGCGACTAGCTACACACTCAGAGCCCTGCTGTGACGTTAGCTTAATGTGTCAACCGTTAGCGTTAGCTAGCCGGTGGGCTAACAGCGCGTCTGCCTGAATGAATAGCTCAACAACGGACACTCGCACAACGATTCCCATCGATTCAAACACCTTTGGCGAACACTGCAGGTTTTAACGCCGACGTCGCCTCCTAAAGAGCGACAGTTATTTCCACGCGGATGATGACCCACGATGGACAACCGGGAAGAAATCAGCGAAACGTCGTCACACAACTGTGGCTAACGGCTAGTGGGTAGCTGCACCAAGCTAGCTGGCAATAGCTAACTTTGCCTAGATTAGCGTTAGCATCATTTTGCGATGGAGCGGCGGCAATAACGGACGGGGGGATGTTCTCTGGGTCTACTGCAGTGGCGTTAGGCTCACCCTATTGCAAACATTAACGTCAACTCTAACAGACAAGCCAGCCCCTTCACCACAGAAACGATCCAGATACGTCCAGCTAACGCAAGCTAGCAGCGGTTGAGTTGTCCTGCAAGCCGTTCAGATTCCAAGGTAAATTGTTAGCTTTAGCTACCGAGCAAGCTAACTAGTTAGCTACCGGGATTCCGGGTCTCACCTTTATCCATATGGCTCGTGTTATCACGGCCTCGTTAAAGAAAATGTCCCACTTGCGTCTATCGGTTAACGTTAAATGCCCGATTCTTCGCGTTCCTCTCGCTGCTCAGGTTGTCGCCATCTTGTTTACCTCCCCCTCCGACCCGCACTGACAGCGCGCACGTTAATGCGTCAAATCAAAGTTCTTCCTCCCACACGCAGAGGAACGAGAACGATGTCGCTCAGCGATGGCAATAAATAGTTTTAATAAGCTATTCAGCCGTTTGAATTGTTTGGTAATTTACGATGGATCAACACCGGGAAGACGCACGCGTATAAGCTCTTGACAAGATGCATATTTATTATTTGTGTGAACAGTGATTGTGATGTTTCATCTGTTTTCACACCGTCCTTTCTTTTATAAATCCCACCCACTCTGAACTCTGCTCTCCATTGGCTCCTAATCGGAAGTTCTATTATTGAATTGATTGAAATATTGTCAATAATCAAGCAAAAATGTTCTGCTTTTTCATTTAATTTCATATAAAAGAAAATGAATTACATATCGTTATATTTAAGACATTTGACTCTTATTAACGGCCAATAGAAAACAAATAATGATCTGTACCCTTTTTAATTTACAGCTTTACCACACCGCCGACGTTGCCTGTGATTGATTGATGCTCAGCTGGGATTTCAGGGTTATATTTATCCCGTGAAAACCCCTTTGGGAATAGCAATGTGAAGATCTGATTTCACTGACCGCTCACCCGCCTTTTTCACCTCCGGCTGCTTGAGCCTGGTCAGCGCTACTCAATAGGCCACTGCAGTCCAGAGCCACTCCGATGGAAGTCAACCTGATCGGCTAGATGACTGCACTTTGCACACAGATGCACCATAAACTTCCCCGTTCACCAAAAGCTTTTTCTTATTTCCCAATAAGCAGCAAATAAACCAGACAAGTACAGAAGTTATACTCACAGATCTGCCATGATTCCACACTTCAGTAAATTGATATTTATTGGGATCACTGAAGCATTCAATGACCAGAATCAAAATCAATTGTAGCACAGTGAGAACAAAATACTCAATGCAAAAACTATACAGAAGATTGTGCACTAAGACAGAACTGTTTTAGTGTCTTGTATAGTTGAGAACGCAAAGTGGAGCTCTGAAAAGAACAAAATGGTAACAGATACTGCAGAGGGGAAGCATTCTGAAAGTCAGGCAATCTGAGCCTATTTGTTTTAAGTTGTTACAGTCTCACATTAAAACGGTATAAAACAGCCGATCAAGTATTTAAAGAAACATTTTTGATTTCTCCCTCTCACTCAAATGAAATGGATGGTTTAATATTTCTACATGTCACACAACTTAAAAATGTTCTGCAGCATAATCCATTTCACAACCGAGCAGGGAGGTGCAAGGGCAGTGGAAGAAAACAGCTTTTAATTTATGATAAACTAGAACAAGTACAAACAAAAACAGTCCTCTACTTCAGTAATATGGTCTCCGTGGATTATTCTGTGGAAGCATAAAAAAGAAACGAGAGGAAAATTAAAATATTATAGAAAAAGATTCAAATGAATGGATCAGCAGTTTCGACACTTAGTGTAATTTGTACAGTTTAAAAAGTTATTCTGTAGCATGGATGTTATTTTGCTAAATAATTATTAATATTGATACAGCAAACAATAGGAAACAGAAGTTACCAGTGGGTTGGGCCTGAAGCGGTAAGCAAGCATCATCCTCTTTCTAAAAGCATCATACTCGTCATCATTTTTAGTGAGCTCTGCTGGACGGTCAACTCCAAACCCGGCCCCGTTCATGGCGGTAGTTCCCCTACAGAACAAAACACTCAAAATGACCGTCTGTTTGCATGCATGTTTCAGTCTATTAGGATAAAGCAAAACTATTCACATGAGATTACATTAGGAAATGTACATGTTGCACAAGCAAGAGATTTCAGTCTCCAAAAAACAACAGTGGAAGCAATAACTGCTCCCTCGAGAGCACTGAATTAAAGATTTCCTGAAGTGTGAAGCAATTTAATGGAAGATGTAGTGCAGACGGACGCTCACTTGTTGACGGGAGCCTTGATGCCCTGTCCGTCGCTGCCCAGGCCTTCACCTTCCTTCCAGCCCATCTTCATCAGCATCCGGAAACCAAGATTCTCCACCGTCAACTTAAACTCTTTGTATTCTGTGTAGTCCGGGTCCCGGCCCTCCTGCAAGTCAACAAGACCAGAAGCGTTCGTGCCATAACGCATTGCAGTGCTGCACCGTGTCAGAGGAGGTTATTAAACTAATTCAGCGTAGATGTAGATGATTTAGTTGGTTTAACTGGAAGAGAATTGTCATCAGTCTCCACATCCAGTAGTCATCACTAAAAACAACCTGCAAAAACATTTTTTCTTTTTAATTTGCCACCACTGAATGGTATAGAAGCCCATTTTAGCCACAAAAAAAGGGTTAGAAAGTCAAAATGATGAGCAAAAAAGTCGAAATTATGATTTAAGAAAGTCAAAAGGAAATAAAAAAAAGTATAAATTAGGAGCTAAAAAGTCGAAATTATTATTATATTATAAAATTATTCCTGGCTTAATAGCAGTCAGCGAGAGGTTGTTAAACTTGACTGCTCGACTACTGTGAACGTAGTCACCAACAGTCATAATTTCGACATTTTATCTCATAATTTCGACTTAATTGACTTTTTAAGTCATGATTTTGACTTTCTAACCCTTCTTTTTTTTTCTTGTGGCAGAACTGGGCTCCCACAGAAAGGTGAGCTTCTCAGCATTTAAAAGTTATTAATACGACTGCTGACTTTCCCAAAAAACTTTTATGATTTGCAGTGAATTTAATGACGTTAAGACTTGACATACTAAGATAAAATAAATAGTTTATAGAAAAGGCCAGATTGAACAAAAGGAGACTTGTGGCAACTGCATTCTCCTCTTGGGGACCCTGAGGAGAATCGAGGGATTAGCAGTCGGACGCTCTGCTGGCTGTTGCCACAGCGCCTCTGACCTGGATAAGCAGCTTGAAAATATTTGCATGGATGGATGATTACAATCCTGTTTACAGACCTTTCCAACTGACCCTGGACCTACTGAACGGTGTGTGGACTTCTTGTGGAGATGCAGACATTTAAGGGCAAACAGCGCTGACTAATTGCCTGTGAAACAAGTCTTACTATAATCTGCAGACATGCATTTTCCATGTCGTCTGTACACAGCACATCTCGTAAAATCACGCATTCAATCCCTACGATGAGGGCTGTCTGAAAAACTTTTACACATTAGCTCCTGACTGAATAGTCATCCTAATCTACCTCTAAAACTAATGCAGGGAAATTTTAGGTGCCTCCTATTAGAATGAAGAACAGGTGAATTCAGAGGGAATCTGACCTTGAGCGCTTTGAAGGTCTCCATGAACTTATCCAGCTCCTCTGGGGGCAGGAAGTCCCCGATAAAATGTTTCCCTTTACCCATATCTGTCAGAGATTCCGCCCACTCTGGAAAAGTGCAGACAAGACAGCAAACGCTTATCACCTTAAAAGAACGGATTAGAAAAGCTCGCGGCTGCTGGTGCTGCAAAAGCAAGACCACGTTTCCATAGCGATGGTGAACCTTACCGCGGGTCTTCTCCATTTCCATGTGCCGGAGGCGATGCTCCCAGGTGCCTGCCTGCTGGTCCACCTCTTCATCGCTGTCATATTCATGTTGGTGGTCTCTGATGGCCTTCTCCCACATCACCTGCATCTCCGCCATCGCACGCTTGTGCTTCATGATCATGTCGTACATCTCTTGCATCTACAGAGCGTGTTAGAAAACAAGAGTCAATTAGGTGCATCAAGGGGCTTTCTGGATATTCTAAAAAAAGGATTCAATAAAATAAAATAAAAAAAAAGAGGGCAGGTAACATTTAAGATGTATGGACATTTTTCACAATTCAATTTTCACATACTAAATATGTTCAGTTGGCTCCTTTTATACCTCCTGTTGTTCCTTTATTTGTTTCTTTTGATCCTCTGATAGCTCCGTCACTCCTACCAGACCAAGAGGCTTCCCCTTCTTATAACCAAGACCTCTCAGATCCTGGGCTGAAGGAAACAGATATGTATTCATGCCCCAAAAAGTTTATCATGAATAAAAAGCACACACACAAACAAGCTTAAGTACCAGAGAGAAAGGGCGCGTTGGGGTCTGGAACATTAATCTCCGGAGGAATAACGATGGGAGGAATGTGCAGCTCGACTTTGTCATCCTCAGACCCCCATCTACTCTTCCTCTTCCGTTTGACGGGCGGAGTGTCCGCCTCCTGACCGTGGAGGAGGGAAGCGGGGTTCGCTGCTGGAGGCTTTACTGATGATGATGATGATGGTGGTGGTGGTGGTGGAGCAGCAGCAGCTGGTCGCTGAAAGTCAATCAAGGGTTTTGCTGCAGGAGGCGAGGAGCTCTGGGCGGCCGCCGCCCGATACTCCTGGACTTTCGCTTTGTAGAAGCGGTGGGCGGGACTTTGGTGGTCATATAAAAAACTGAAAAGGATAGAGGGGGGGGGGCAGCAGATATTTCATGTAAAACTAGGCTTTCTTAGTGTGAATAAACAGAGTGACACGTACACCGTGGCTGACCTGAAGGCAGGGTTGTCTCGGTTACGCTCAGCAGCAATGGCCTCCACCTCGGGGCCACTTTCTGCCACAAACCTGGCCAGCTTCTCAGCCATCTGCTGGGTTTCCGCGTCCACTGGGGGGGAGACTTTAAGCAGCCTATCAGTACTGGGACTCATTTCAAACTCTACTACTGTACCGTACTCAACTGGCCCTCACACACCACCAGTCTAGAGCTAATAGGGGATAAGAAGAGGAAGGAGGGAGGAGGAGGAGCAAGGGGGACACGGGAGGTGAACGGGGAACTGTATGGATTTATACTGTAACAAATTCAGACCATGTGAAGCCCAGAGAGGCTCCACCTAGAAGCACTGTGCAATTTCTATCGTACATGGTTTAACACACTTAAAGACCAGAAAATTTACTTTTCTCAAATAGGTTTCTCATTTCATCAGAGATTTATAGGGGAAATATATTACAGTCGCCATGCGTCTAACAATGTAATGCATTTGTGAGGAAAGGACTTGAAGCAAAGTGCATTGACTCGGCGGTGGATGCATAAGCATCAGTACAGGCCGGTATAACACATCATACTTGTGTAAATCCCCGTGAAGTCGTTTTATGAAAACTGGTAACGGAATGGACGATGCGATTACTGTCCACCCATTTGGCAATTACATTTTTGTATTTCCAAAAGGAGACAAAAGAGAGAGTGTGGAAGAAAAGACGTCTTACCATTATCTGAAGTAATATCGGGTCTTAGCAAATTCTTTCTCAAAACAGCAACCCTGTTTTTGAAGTAGAGATACTCCATGGTGCTCCTATCGTATAAAAATCTGAAAGGCAACGACATCATATGACATGAATTTAGTTTGAACGCACCGTGAAAGTAAACGCGTCCGGATGAGCCTCGTTTTCCTTTAAACTTACGAGAAAATGGGATTGTCTTTGTAGTCCTCCTTGGCTTTTCTCTCCAGCTCAGCTCCTCCCTCGGCCACAAAAGAGGCCATCTTGTCGATAATGAGTCTGGTGTCTGAATCCACTGGGGGAGAGACTTTAAGCAGGCTATGAGTACATTTACTCTAAGAGACAAAATGCCAATCACAAGGCATCGGAAGATGCACTGAGGTGTCCAAGCCATGGAGTCGTCCAGGGACACACTGGAAAACACCGGTCCTGAATTACCTTTCATCTCTAAGAATTTGGAGTAATCGTCCTCTTCGTCCTCATCTTCATCATCTGGAGAACAAAACACACTTGGCCTCTGGCCGAGAACCGGGTTCTTCTTGGAATGCGAGTAGTTCTTGAACTGACTGAGCATGCTGCTGACACCGAGGCCGGGCCGCTTGCCAACAAGAACGCTCTTTTTCTGGGGGGCGTTTCCTCCCAGTGGTGAAGTCGAAGCTGGGGGATTGTTGGCATCTGTGGTGGAACCTGGAAAAAGGGGCATGAAACAGGACAAGACTATTTATAAAGAACAGAATGACCCTTAAGGGTGTTATTCTTTCTCTCTTCTTAGGTGTGTTGGGTTGTTTTTCAACCAGAACACTTGGCCGATCCCCCAAGAGAAGAAATGCAAGGTGACATCAACGGTCCAACTGCATTCTAAATAAGTTTCCTTAAGTCAAGATGCCCTTTAAAAAGCTCTACGTCCCGCAAACTGTACCGATGTCAAGGACGTCTAGAAGCCAAAACGACGTGATTATGGCTGCAATGCAGTGCGGCAGGGTTCATCTCGCCGTGCTGAACAACATCCCAGTAACACTCTTTGCTTGTGATGAGGAAAAGCCTGAAACAATACGGTGACCTTTTTGTTATCAGATCAAAGTACTAACCGGGTTTGTCCTTCTGCATCCTGATGAACTGCTGCAAGAAGCTTCCATCATTTACAAACTTGTTCGAAGAAGCTCCTAAAAAACTGGGAGCGCTGTAAAGATCAGAATGAGTGAAACGATTAAATACTCACGGTCATTTTTACACGGCAAAACATTCCCAAATAACAATACTGACCAACAGGACTGTACAAAGATGGTCAACAGCAGTTAAAACTAAAGTGATCTGCATATGTTGTATCTAACGTACGTGTGTCCTGTTAGCCTTTGCACAGGTATCCCGTTACCTTGGAGGCAGGGGTTTGCTCGGGGTCTGTATGTTCAGTTTTGCCTGCTCTGCCATTTTGGCCTCAATCTCCTTCTTCTTCTGCGCGATCAGCTTCTCCTGCCGGAGAATATTCATGTTCATCTTGTTTTTCTGCGGCAGGATGGGCTTGGACTTCCATCCTCCTGCTCGCCCTGCGACACGACGAAAGGGAAAAGGCCACAGAGAGACACCATCAGCACGTTATACGGGCACGGAGCAGTCGAGGGTGTGTGGCTTTTAAACGTCATTTTACAACACAGAGTTGCACATGAGATGCACGCTGTGGCCATTTGTGTGACACACAACAACACACCACATGCATATTTTATAGTAGAGTTACGTTGTTGGATTGTACTTGTGGAAGGCAGATAAACATGAACCGAGCCCCCCTGGTTCATTAAGTAACCTTGTTATCTGATCTTGCTAACAAGGTGCTATGGAGCGAGTAGGTGCTCCTGCGGCTACATGCGCTAACGATAGTTCAAATCAACAGCTACAGGCTAACCCAGCTAGCTTACGTCTTCAAGATAAGTTAAGGAGCTGCTACGTGTTTGGCACCAGCGTCGCAGACAATAACTTACCCGCTTCGCTGTGCTCCATGGCCGCAGCACGATCAATATCTATTTAGAAAACGACGCGCACGGTCCACAATAAGGCCAATCGCAGCTACCGAAATAGCTGATTTGGTGCGTTAAGACTAGTAGCAAACACAACGACGGGACTTCCGGTCATTGTTTGTCCAGAATAAAAGCATTATCCGTACTGTTGTCGCAGTCAGAATAGCTGATCAGAAGTAAGAACAAGCGGGATTTGGCTCATAGACGACAATCGTTCAGTAAACCAGGATCGATGTCTGGGGGTTGTAGATCCACTGTGTCATTTGAAAGAGTTTTGTTTATTCAACTAGCCTGGGAATGTGTGTGTGTGTGTGTGTGTGAGTGTGTGTGTGTGTGTGTGTGTGTGTGTGTGTGTGTGTGTGTGTGTGTTATGAAATGCTGAGCTCAATCACTAGATCCCACAAAACGAGAGAAATCCTACTGTGTGCACTGTATTCTCGAGATCTTAGCACTAATATCTGAAATGAGGGACGTGGTCCATATTTTAGTGTGTTATGAACTACAGGTATTGAAAAGTACCCATATCATATGAAAGAGCACTGCCAGAAAGACTGTAGGCCTATCGTGTCCAACTTATTACTGAAATTAAATAAATCAGTTACTATATTTTACATTACTTCTTCTATATACGATATATAATAATGTAATATAATATATGCAGACGCAGTTGTAAATTATGATTTCTAAAAGATGTTTTTTATCTAAGTCAATCATTTTATGTCACATAAAAATAATATAGTAATTCCAAAACATTGTTTTTATATCCGTACGTATACTACATGTGTGTAGCATGGAGGGACCACAACTTCTATTTTTTATGCAGCTCTGTGTTGAAAATGTATTCACATTCTAACCTATCCTTTCTTTACTTTAACCTTTTTACTTTAATTTGAAAGCACATTTTAACCGGAAGTTCCTCTTCTTGGTAGCTCTTTCCCGCTTCCTTAACGTTGGCGTTTGTCTCACTAGTCGCAAAAGTCGCGTTTTATTGTCCCTCGTTGCTTCCCGTCCGAGCCGTCCGTATTGGTCTGCTGCTTAGAAATGGCTGAAGCTCCCACACGGCCCTGGCGTTTTTTTTGTCACAGGTGTTCGGCAGAGATTAGTCCGCGTATACCGGTAAGGACCCGAGAGGCACGTCTCCCCCCTTGAAGAATGGGGCCGAGGAATGTGTTTGAGCGTGTGTGGTTCGATGTGTGTTTTGTGGCTCACGTCACCCCATCGCTGCTGTTGAGCTAACGCGACGCTAACGAGCTAACCGGTTAGCCGGTACAGGCAACATCGGTCCAGGCTGACGGTCAAATAGCAGTGATTTAACGGTACTTGGTGGGCAGCGGAACGTAACATTTACGTCATGCTCTTGTTTTGTTTGTTTGTTATAGACGTACAATGTCAGCTTCATCGTGGCATCGCTCGGCTTCCTCGGCGAGAGTAACTCAGCCAACGAGATGACGTTTGGAATGAAAGATTTCCAGTCAGCTCACATAGTCACGCTCGACGTAACGTCAACTCGAATGTTTTCGGATACCTCAAAGAGAAGCACCCCCCCTTTGCCGTGACAGCCGGGGCCCCTTCACGGGAAGCTTCATGAACGTTACAGCACGTCGCTGTTCGTAGGAAGGCGTATGTGGAGACGTTCACACGTCACATTCATGCTGTTGAAGTGTGTTTATGTCAGTGACTGTTACTAAAGATACACGTTTTTTCAGGGACAAAAAAATGAAACAAATCAAAAGCAGCACGTGACCCTGAAAATGACCGTGAAGTTGTAAACGCGTCTTCGTAACACAAGCGGAGCGAGTTTCCCTGAGCGATGTGTCCATAATAACCAGACCGCTGTGTGTATGTTCTGGTGTGTACTAGAAACTCACGTTTGTGTTTCCCCCGCAGGACTACACCTGTCCACGCTGTGACTCTGGGTTTATTGAGGAACTGGCAGAGGAACCAAAGTATGGAGGATTATTCTGTTTTGTATTTTTTTTTTTCTCCTTGGTGCATTTGATTAGTTTGATTTCATTAAAATCGTAATTCTAAACCCTTTTTGTTGTTGTGCAGTGCTGAAAACGGCCCTGTATCCACGTCCTCCAACAGTGATCATAACCGCCAAGCCTTCGAGGTCAGTGGGATTTTGTGAGATCAGTTGGTCCAGCGTACATTCTGCACCGTGATTTGACGTCGGCTCCGTCTTTTCTGCCAGAGCGTGGATCACCAACACATGTTCACGTTGCCCTCTGGCTACGGGCCGTTCGCCCTGGGGATTTTCGATGTGAACCTTGACCTTCGGACGCGGCTACCCACGGAAGACAACCGCGACGCAGAGAACAGGAGGGAAAGGGAAATGGCATCGCGGCAGCGATACAGCGCGCGGCAACCGCGGGGCCGACATGTTCCTCGGCGACAGGGCACGCGCCACGAAGGAGTGCCCACGTTAGAAGGGTGAGGCATTTTCATCTGTGGTATGTTGAAGACTTTGGGGACACAAGAGGGTAAAAAAAAGTTCTACATGCTTCAAATGTTGCGATGCAAAACACTTCAACTATTGTCCTTAACAGAGATTTGCCATTGGTTTGATTTGTTTCGTTTTCTTGCTTGTTTCTGAATACAGAATTATCCAGCAGCTAGTAAACGGAATCGTAGCACCCACAGCAATGCCAAATATCGGGATAGGACCATGGTAAGTATAAGAAACAGTGATGCGCGCTTGTGTACTTGAGTCATGGCCCCACGTAAAGGAATGATTGTTTTTGTTGTTTTTGCAGGGGTATGCTCCATTCCAATCCAATGGACTACGCCTGGGGGGCCAATGGTCTCGATGCTATCATCACACAGGTATATGAGAGGTGTATATCCATTAGGCGGCTACATTGTTCCACAGGGATTGTGCAATTTTAATATATGAATTATTTATTGTATGTTTGTATGATATAATTTGTTTTAAAGAAATAATGATTCTAGGACCTGACTTCATATAAGAGTTTTCTATATATTCATTTTTTTAAATTTACGTGGATGGTGCCCCGTCGGAACTAAACTGAAACATTCCGTTTAAATGAGACTAAATGTCTAAATGTTGTAATTCAGAACATCCTTGTTGTCCCGCCGATGGTCCCACAGATATTTATAGGGATTCTGTTCTCTTTCACTTGTAGTTATTGAACCAGTTTGAAAACACGGGTCCGCCTCCTGCAGACAGAGAAAGGATTAAGAATTTACCCACGGTTACTATTACAGAAGAACATGTGGGTAAGTCCATGTCTCTCTCTCGGGCCTTATTCCGATGCTTCTCGGGTGATGCGATCACAAGTGGACCGCTGCCAGTCCGTCAGGTCACGCTAGCCATTAGAATGCGTCGGTTGTCGCCACTTGTGATCGGATCTCACTCCCCCTTCGTAACAACGTAACAACTTCGTATCAACACACGCATTGTTGTTTTTATAATGCGGCAGGCAGCCATGCAATGCCTCGTCTTTAAAACCATACAGATTGGGTTTGTTCTACGTTTTGGTTCCAGGAAAACCAAATCACCACAGAAATTTGACCCATCTGGCCAATTTAAATTTAAAAATGGTGCTGGTGATCATTGTGTACTGTTCATACGGTCTCTACAACCTGCTTCGCGAGCCGCAGCAACAACAATAAAGGGCTTGAATATCATTTTCCGCTGCGCATCTCTGCAGAAACTCTGATCTGCTGTGATCACTATCTTCACCAGAGCTGATGCACGTGGCCGAGGTTCTCTAGCACGCAGACAGACCGTGTGTTGTTTTTGTGTTCGTGCAGGTGCTGGATTAGAGTGTCCTGTGTGCAAAGAAGACTACTGCGTTGAGGAGAATGTCAGACAGCTGCCATGCAACCACTTGTTCCACAATGACTGTGTAGTACCATGGCTGGAACAGGTATGTACAGCTCATGTTTCGATTACAGAAAGATGTGTGTCTAGAAAAAGTCTGCTTTGTGTCTCATCATTTATGTGTTTATTTTTTCAACACATTGCGAGAGAGGCTTTGGGCTAATGCACTCCAGCATGGCTCACCCTCGCTTGTCATTTTACGCTCTACCCGTGTCGGCTTCTGAGTGGCTGAGGGGTCTGCTGCTCACTTTCATGTGGGTTTGGTTGGATCCATTACAATCAGACAAAGTGGTTGAAAAGGGCCGATCGGCCTACCGGAGCCCGACTCAAATTCTGACTCCTGGGTCCCCTTACAAACGCTTCGGTGTTTTACTGTATGGCACGATTTAAAACCTCACACCTGGTAACGAGAAGCTTGGAGGTAGAATGTATTGTCCTCTTTGCTTATGTCTTCAGGACTTGGCAACAGTCGTGTGAGTTGACGTATTGTAAACCTGATTCCCGTTTGTCCCCGTTTCCCACAGCACGACACATGTCCCGTGTGCAGGAAGAGCCTAAGCGGACAGAACACAGCCACTGACCCACCGGGGCTATCGGGAATGAACTTCTCTCCCTCGTCCAACTCGCCTAGCAATGAGAATGCTGCGAGGAACTCTTAGACGTTCACCGCCGCGTCACCTCACATCTGAAAAACCTCCAAACATACGAGGAGTGACGCCTCTCAGCCGAGACCAGGAGAGTAGTCTGTCTCTGTCAAGGGGACAATGGGGATCATTCCTTTCTTCCTCCGCGCTGGTCGGAAAGCGGGTGCAGCTGCTCCTGCCGCCATTGTTGCAGAGTACCAGGAGGTGGGACTGTTCAGTATCAGAAGAGGATCCAGAAAGGCTGCGAGGAATAACGGAATAAGAAAGAAAAATAGTTATCTTGACCAGAACGGACTGGTGAAGCGTTCGAGACCGAGTGCAGTGCTTTTTGATGGAGGCAAGTGTTTGCGACAAGGCCGGGGAACATTTTATATTTAAATATTTTTTTTTACAAAGCCTGTGGTTGTGCAGAGTCCATAGATGTGTAGATTCATAGTATTTTGAATGATCAGCCACTGTACAGCTAGTGGATCCAACTAAAACTGAGTGTATTCATCTGATTCGTATTTATTTACAGCTTTTTTTTTTTTTTTTTTTCTATTTTGGACAAAATTCTGTCTGGTGAGAATGTGAATTTGGGTAAACTACTGAAAAAAGAAAAAACTTAATATCTTTTGCATTGTATGAATCCTTTTAGGATTTGATTTTATTGTTTTCTTTTAAAGAATGATCCAGTAAATTGCATCTTCAAAAGGAAAATATCTTCACAGCTCAACAATGGACACATTTTCATTCCCTTATTGAAAATAAAGTAAATAAATTATACTGTTTGGTTTAATGGCATAATTATGCGACCTTGACAGAAATGCAGGCTCTTGAGAATTATTCAGTTGAAATGAGAATCTCAATTACCTTCTTAAGAACATTTGTGTCTCTCTTGTTCCTCTAAACACGGTTAACATTTGTATAAAATATTGGGCACCTTTTAGTTTCTGAGCAGCACCGTGACGTGTGTCATTCCACTACCACTTGACTCTTAGCCTGGAAATTGTTTAAAACCCCTTTTTTACTTTAGTCGTTCAATGGACCACGGCCTCTTTTTGGTCTCGGCCTTTTTATTGAAAACTGTTAAGTGAGCGTCACACTGCTGCATCGCTCCTTGGGGAGATTGAACTTTGCTGCAGCGTTTGGTCTAGTGAAGTGGAGCAAGGACGACGGGAGGGAGGGAGATGCTAATGGATTTTCTACCACTGATGTCCATAAGGTAAGAGATGTGCACAAATACATTGAATTCCTATTTTAAGAATGGAAAAAGAAAATAGGCTGACAAATTTATCTCCTCTTGCGGGTCAATGCACTCCATTACCATCGTTGGATCATGCTCTGCAGCTTTGTAGCTCTGCAGTAAACATCACCTTTAAGACAATTTTATATATGCTAATGAAATGTAATTACTGCTCTTTTACCCTCGCACACCCTGCAGTTCAAACCAGGGCTCCAAATTGTCTGTCAGTAATGCTGAACCTGCACCGGCCAGTGTGCACTACATGAACACCTCTGTTAACCTCTGCCACAGGTACCTGCATGGATTACGCAGTGAGCTGACTTGAATAGCCAATTGATTACTCATTGCTCCTTTTTAGTATTTCTCACACTCGCCAATAACATGTGGCCTTGGTTGTGTAATTTGAATGCACATAAAAAACACTTCTACTGTAATGCCGTATGTGTCCCTAAACTAAAGATGACCTGGCTCAGAGGGGCTGAAATCAAACACTCCCCCATGCACCTTGCGAGGAGTCAGAATCACAGTTCCCTCAGGTGCACAGACCGAGCCACAAGCGTCCAAATGATCAGGAACCTTTGAGGAGACGTGTCAAATAATAACTATACCTTTTTGTAGATGAATTTAGCGTTTCCCGTGTCTGATCAAACCATGTGTCATGTCTATTGTGTTGGAATCACATAACGATGAGCATTAGTCCTCATAACCTGTGTGACGCCCTCGAGTGGCCGCTAGGGCGCACTAAACACCGCCAATGGGCACTTCAGAGAGGGTGTCATTGAAGGCACCTTCTAAAACCTATGACATCATTTGACTTCTCTTTAGCACGCGGAAATTAACCTTTCATGCCGTTATACCTTGACTGACAACGCAGTGAGCATCTTTTTTCGTATTTGGAAAGAGCTTCTTGAGTTAAATCCAGCCTAGACTGAAGCCTCAAATGAAGCAACCAGGGTGGAATCAGCAGCCGCGCACGCTCATTTCATTTGAGGATTTTAAACACGCTCGGTTAGTTTGATGCGTAATCGTCTTTGGCACAGTGACGATAGCCGGTGAAAGTAAAAGCGCGGTAGTTTGCAAAGAAGTCACGTCCACCCCTCCCTCTGTCTTTTACCCCCCCCCCCCTCCCTTTCTTCTCTCCATCTCCCCTCTGCTTCTGATTGGTTTTCTCCAAAGATAATTGGAGGCAAAATGTGACATCCTCACTGTCATGGACAGGAATGAGGCTTCGTCGGCATCTGCTGCCACCATGAAAAAGAAGGCGGCGGGCGCCGAGGGGTGCAGCCACGTCAGCGCACCAGAGGCCGGCGTGTCCAAATGCCCGAGAAGCGACAGCAGTCAGAACTGTCTGGACTCCGGTTCCCCCGCAGCACCGAGCGGTAAGCAGCCCGGCGCCGTCTGCGACGTCGTGATGGACGAGACGGAGGACGGAGAAGAGGAGTCCAAGTTTCCGCATCCGCGGTTGCGCCGTGCCGGGGGGAGCGGCGGCGGAGGAGGAGGCGGAGGAGGAGGAGGAGGAGGAGGAGGCAGTATCAGGATGAAGAACTTTACGCCAGGAGGGGGAGCCGCGTCCTCGGGTTCCAGGAGGAACTCAAACAAGGAGCTTTGCCATACGCACCCAGAGGACGCTGCTGCCGCTCCACGGCCCACTGCTGCCTCCAGAGCTACGAAGACCCAGACACCCTGTCCGGGCGATGCTGCCCAGCGCGGCGAGACCAGCAGAGCATCCGGGGCCCAGGCGTCGGGATCAGCGGTCGCGTCAGAGGTTCTAAACGCGACAGCAGGTGATGGTTGCAGAAGCGTCGCTCCAGTTTCCAGTATGAAATGCAACAAAAACGGAGAATGCAGGAGGGACTCGGGTACCGGGAGCCTGCGCTCGATCATCTCCAAGCAGGAGAGGCAGACGGGAGGGTCGGGGAGGGCCGAGGAAGGAGGGAGCGCCAAGCGAGGAGCCCGTAACTCGACTACCGCCAGCATGGACGGTTCGATCACGCCAGGCGGGTCTCTGACCGGCGGGCACGGAGGAGAGAGCGCGAACCCCGGCACCACCCCTGTGTCCGGCGGTGCCCCCGAGAAAAGGGACTCCAAGGTGTCCTTCTCAAACGCACCAAGTCGGAAAGCGTCGTCCTCGCTGCACGGCCCAACTCAGACTCAAACCCAGCAGCCTCGGAACTCTGTGACTTTCCTGAAGCCGGAGGACGGGCCGCCGATTGTGCCCGCCGAGGACGCGGAGCCCCAAGGCAGCCAAGTCAGCTTCATGCAGCGGCAGTTCAGTAGTATGCTTCAGCCTGGAGTTAACAAATTCTCCTTGCGCATGTATGGTAGTCAAAAAGCAGTGGAGAGAGAGCAGGAGAGGGTCAAATCAGCGGGGAATTGGATTATCCACCCTTACAGCGATTTCAGGTAAGAGATGGGTCTGCCATTGGCCGCGCGTTGAAAGTCAAAAGGGGCCCGTGCGGCTCCCCATTGCCATCTTCAAACTAACTTCATAGTGAGTAACCAATGTGACTCCAACACACACATGGTTACTGGTCAAGGCTACAGGCAGCTTCTCTTTCCAGCCCCCCACCTTTTTGCAATCGAAGAGATTTGAATCGATGCACTTCAGCGTGCTGCCATTTATCCCCCCAAACAACCTGTTGTCAGGCAAATTCAACAAAGCGTGTCCTCTCAAGGTTGAAAATCAATCCGAAGTCTACACAGTCGCATGTCTGGGGTGCTCAACAAGCCCGGCCTGCTAACACTTCACCCCTGCAGCACGCTCATATTCAACAAAGAGGACGCTCATTTGGCCTAATTTACAATGCCGTCATTTATATCTCCAAGAACGTGTTAATATTCGATATGCTCTGCGAAGACAGCCGCGCTTTGCAGGATGTAGGCTATGTGCGTGCGTGCGGGTGCGTGCGTGCGTGCGGGTGCGTGCGTGCGCGCGCGCGCGTGTGTGTGGGTCCGCGTATATGCGATGCACTCAGTAATGGAATGTCACCTTGAGCCAAGTGTGCTAAAAAACCTCAAGCACGCTCACTGGAGACACATCCGCCCGTTCGACTCCCATGAAACGATGCGCGCTGTTTGTCACGGCTGTAATACCGATAACCCAGCTGGAGCCTTCAGCGGCTAATTTGCCATCCAAATATTTGGAGACATTTACGAGCCAAGAAGGCTCCTCGTGACCCAGGCGTGACGAATTAGCATGTAAGCCTTTTTTTCTCTCTCGACGTGTATCAGCCGCTGAATTGCATTGAAACCAGTGGATTGTCCTCTTGGCCGGTTTCAGCACCACGAGGACTGGACAGCTCCATTGTATTTTGGAGTCAGCGCCATTCATGTTTGACTCATTCGTATCACACCAACGCCAAATCAGCTTCAACTTGAAATACCCCCCGAAAAAAACAAGACTTTGGCTCTGCCATGCGAGCTCTTAGACGGTCTTAATCTATAGCCGCCCTACAGCCGCCCTTATGTTAATCGATGCATGCAAAGTTCCTCCAAACATGATCATCGGGGCGGATATTGTCACACCGTGAAGTGAAGGAGTCAAAGCCTGTTGCATAAGTCGCAGTGTAATGACTCAGCGCCGCACCTGTCCTGCAGAGCCTCCTCTGACGGGCTCACTGATTTAACTCTCTGTTCCATTCAACAAACATTAGTCAGCTCGCATTAGCGAGACAAGACGCTTCCTTGTGTACTGCAAGGTCGATAAATGCACAAAGTGCTCTCTGATCCATTAAACCCCATGTTCTGTCTGCGGCTCTGACGCCCTGTTTAACACAACATATATATACTTAATGTCTTCTCTGGGACTGAATGGGTCTCAGTCCGTCAGGGGTTCCTTGACTGTAAAACATTGTTAAACAAAATGGATATGCTCATTTGAGTTCTTGATACTTGCGTGCATAAAATAGCTTGTTCATAAGAGGTCCAATTTACCCAAAATACATCGCTATGAAGGTTATGTCCTATCAAAATATATATATGAGAGAGAGAGAGAGATAACATGAAATATTTTAGAGTTTTTCGATAAGAATTATCACTTATTTTTGTGCATATTGGATTGATAATAAAAAAACTATTAAGTCGATTAACAGTAGGTCAAGCCAATGACAACAAAACATTTCTGTTGAATTTTAATAATATTGTATGTATAGAGACAGTTCTCATGACGGAAGTCAATCATGGAAAAATTAAGGTTTGCATCCCTTGTAGCTCCTGCTTTACACTTTTCCATCTTGAGTTAGAAAGTCTCTTTTGCCGATTGTCTTTAGCAGCTTCCTTTCCTTGACCCTATTTCTGTCTTTTGTCTCCCTTCTGTATTCTACACACACACACACACACACACTGACATAAACACAACACAACTACACTCATGCCTGCTATAGGTTCTACTGGGATTTCACAATGCTGCTGTTTATGGTGGGCAACCTGATCATCATCCCTGTAGGCATCACCTTCTTCAAGGACGAGACCACTACGCCCTGGATCATCTTCAACGTGGTCTCTGACACCTTCTTCCTCATGGACCTGGTGCTCAACTTTCGCACTGGAATCATCATTGAGGACAACTCCGACATCATTTTGGACCCTAAAACCATAAAGAGGAAGTACTTAAAAACTTGGTTCATTGTGGACTTTGTGTCCTCCATCCCAGTGGATTACATATTCCTCATAGTGGAGAAAGGGATTGACTCGGAGGTGTACAAGACTGCTCGCGCCCTGCGGATCGTCCGCTTTACCAAGATCCTAAGTCTTCTGAGGCTGCTGCGGCTCTCCAGATTAATACGCTACATACACCAATGGGAAGAGGTGAGAATAGCATACGTTTTATGACCGCTAATATAACGCTGATCACACAGCTCTGAGCCACAGAGGGAGAAGCACCCAATTTAGTCTGTGATAAAAGGTCACTGATCAGCCTCCAATATGCAGATTGTTGGCTTGTGACCAAACCAACAATCTGTCTGCTCCGAGCGGCCTGCTCTCTTCCGCCACGGAGGCTCAATATTAATGTTCTCACCTGCCACCTGGTGAGAAATGTAGAATGTCAGCAGCATGTTGAGCTTTAACAAACTTTGCATTCTAATTACTGTTATTGTCACACAAGCCCCCCCTGTCTCCCTGTCTGACCCGATAATCCCACAGGCACAATCAGGAGGGCTAATAAACAGCCTATTAAACATGGTTAATCAATTACGCTGCCAGAGGAGGAGCAGGTGGGCTAGAAGGTGACGACTACATCCAGCACTAGGGAGGTGTGGACTCAGATTATATACATCACTAATTGTTTATTTAAAGGGATCGGAGGGGGTCAGGTAAGATGACATTTTCTCACAGGGAGCGACTGATTCTTGATTCTTTCATTACATTACAGGTCATTTAGCTGACGCGTTTATCCAAAGTGACTTACATCACACTTTAAACCCATGGCTTTTTACATTTTGCTCAGGGAGCAATTAGGGGTTAGGTGTCTTGCTCAGGGACACTTCGACTTGAGACATGGGGCAGCCAGGACTCGAACCACCAACCTTGCGGTTCCCAGCGCATCCGCTCTACCCCCTGCGCCACGACGACCCTTTCGACGTGAAGGCGGGTGCCGTCGCTAGGTAGTCGCCTCAGGACTGAACTCTACGACCCCCCTCATGCCCGCTGAGCTGTTATCTACTCTGTGAGGCACGCGCTCTGTCTGGACCCTGCTTCCGCCTCGCCGCCGCACTCCTTCCTCAAAAGAAGGAGAACAGGAGGTCCAACAATGTCACAAGATCACTTGACTTTTTTTTCGTGCCAGTATTGGCAGCCGGGTGTTGGCATTTTGCAGTAGTGAGCGGCGCGGCGGGGCTCGACTGCTAACTTGACCTTTGGATAATTGGATTTCTGAAGATATGATGTGATACGTGCACACATACACACACACAGGGTGGTGCATGGTGGGAAGTGATACTTGGTATGCATGCACGAATCACAATGGGGATGTGGCGGAGAGTGAGACACAGGAAATGCTCGGTTATCAAAAGCTCACTCTATTAACATTATCCGTCATATCTTATTTGGAAAATCTCCACCCTAAAGTCCTTAAAGTTCCAGTAACTTTTGTGCAGCTGTCCGTGCTGCTGAAAGTTTCCATCAGCCATCACAGCACTACTGTGTCCACTAGCGACTCATTTATACGTAATGACCACAATAAGACAAATTGTTCAGTTGTTTTATCAGTTGCCGATTGATAAATTGGACGGGTTAAATCTGCATTTAGAAGGAGCAGGACATGGGGATCATGTCCAGTCTCACTCCTCTTCCCTCCCATCACAGTCTGTCTTCTACCTCAGCTCGCCGTGTAAGAGATGACTCATTTATCAGACCTTTCGACATAACTTAATATATGTTTATAGGTTTCTACAGATTTAGACCGCATAAAATTAAAAGTATTTTAATTTATTAAGAGTATTGGTGGTATTGGTGGTAAATGCAGACATTTGGCCCCAACAAAGACAAATTCACGTCATAGATAATTGCCCTAAGTGACTGTCCAGTGATTGATGTGTGGGACGACATGGACTATCAGTTGTTAAGGATCATGATGGTCCCCGTCCATCACACAGTGTGTTTGAATCTGTGTGTGTAGGTGTTGGCACGTCTGCCTGCATGTGGTATTAGTACATCAGTTTGCCTGCAGGCTCGCGTGAGTGTTTTGTGTGTGTACGACTGGACTCCGTGTGCATGTTTGAGCCTCTGATTGATGTCATGTGTCTCTGAGTAACAAATGTCTTGCTGCTCCTGCTGTGTTTGATGCGAGACTGACGGGAATCTGTCTCTCCTACTTATTAATCAAACTCGGTAGAATCCAAAGGAGGCCGTGGAGCTGAGTGGGAAGACCGTCCAAGTTACCGAGAGATAAAGCCAATGTATAAAGTGACAAATACAGGAACGGCATGTTTAAAAATCCAAGATATTCTCTACATGTCTCAGCCTAGTTTGTCTTCCCTGTCTTATTGTCTCCCTCCAGATCTTCCATATGACTTATGACCTGGCCAGTGCCGTAATGCGGATATTTAACCTGATTGGTATGATGCTGCTGCTGTGTCACTGGGACGGCTGCCTACAGTTCCTGGTTCCCATGCTGCAGGACTTCCCCTCAGACTGCTGGGTGTCCTTAAACAAGATGGAGGTAAGTGACGGGGTTGCACATATCACCGCGGAACAGGATTTTAATTTTTATTCTGTGTTGATTGGGAGAGAACTGTGATTGGTCACAGAATATTAATTCGTTCTGAACACCAATACGAAAATATGAACATAATGTCAATTCTTATTTTACAGCTACGATGAACTATGTTGTCGTATGAAGACTACAACATGTTTTCTTTTTCCTTTAAACTTAATTAGTTTTATGAGTATATTTAAATCAAAATATTAGAGAATTGCGACTTGATAAGGGCACTACATGACAAGTCAGAGGATCATCAATGTCAGTTGGTTTCATCCTCCAGCACCATGAATGCCTCAACGAAATGTCATCCAACAGTTGTTAATACACCAACATCCCCACTCTTAGAGCTTTCCTACTAATGCGCTAAAATGGAGTCATCTTCTAGGTCGCTGCGATTGTCATACGGTTATTTCGCACAATATGCTCCACTTTGAAAACAGTGCACCGCACCGTTTAGGGAACTGTGGTTATTTCAAATAATGATCGCTGCAATTAAGCCATTAGTGAAGCAGGAGGAAAGAACCGTATTTATTTACAACAAATCAAAACAATTATTCAAATCACTGGCTTTTTGCAGAAGCATTCAGCCGGTGACCAGCAAAACCATTTTGGGATCAATGAACCAATGTGGAACCTGTAAAAAACAAACGAGGGATTTAAGCACACTTTTATATCCCTGCGTAGCTCTTCTTCAGCACGTTGGGATGATGACAGGAAAGATAAAAGGGCGAGACGGAGCTGTGGGGAGGTGGTGCAGCCTGGCAGCTGGGCTCTTTGTTGCCATGTTTCTCTCACAGAGATAAAAGCTGGTTGTTTACACGTCCTGTCGGTGAGCCCTTTTTCTGAGTGAGGAGAGACCACACCAACCCAGACATGAGGCACAGGTCTAAATGGGGCTGCAAACAGATTTACGTGCCCATGACAACTCGTAAATTTAAGGCTTAAGGTATTTCCTGGATGGCAGCAGAGACTCATGTTTTCATTGCTTTAAAAAAGCAAATCTTGTTAAGCAAGTAAACGTGGTGATGAATCAATGTCCTCTACTTCATGTTGGTAAAACGTATTTCACGGTTGGTTCGGTTGGACAGTATTGACAAAATCATATGTTACAATATTAATCAGTATCTCAGTGTCACAAATCTGGCATTATTTCGGGATTGATTAATTCTTTCATTGATCAAAGTCAGTTGATGTTGAAACAATCTGAGACAAAATATGTACAATGATGGACAAACAGCTGTAGGCGTCGATTTACGTAACTGCAGTTTAACCTCTGAAATATTAATAACAGAAGTCAAGCTGTGTCTGGCTAAATGTTACAAACACCGGGATGCAGACATTGAGATGTACGTAACAAAAGAAAGCAAATTGTATTCATGGATATTAATACGTTCATGTAGTTGCGCGGTGAATTGATAAGTTGATCAACAGAAGAGTAATGAGCAACTTTTTGGATAATTGATAAATCCTTCTGTCATTTTCCAAACATTTACCAGTTCCTGCTCTTCTATTGTGAGTATTTGCTGCCATTCTCTGTTTTTCATTATTTCAGACGTCATCTAGAGCTTTGACAGATTACAAACAATTAATTAAGAATATATTGGACATTGGACTATAATAACTTTATATATACTGAAATGCAGCTATCCTCTCGACTATTAACATGGTATTTATTTTATTTCATATAGGGCATGTACAAAATACATAAACCATGCTGACCCTGCCTGTAAAGCACTTAAACCCAAGCAACCTGAATATCTTCCATATATGTCTTTTTCTAAACCCACAACAGGACAACGTTGTGCAGGGTTTAAAGTCTAGGACGATGAGGTTTGGGGGTGGCTATAAGCCACCGACTCCTCCGTTGCACTCTATATCCGTACAATCAAAGACACCCCGTCTCTCGAGAGCCGTCACTCACGAAACCAAAGGGCCGCTCTCGCCGGCCGCCTGCGGCCGCCTGAGACCAGCCCCCCTGTTGAGTGGCTGACAACCTGCAACATTAGCCATCGCGTTGCAGCCGGGCCATCGCTCACCGCTCGCACCCTGCAGTGGCCCTGCTGGTGAGCGGCCCGAAGGCAGGAGGGCGCCGAGGACACTGGAACTGTGGTTGACGTCCGCCGAGCAGTAATTGGATTCGGTCAAACTTTCAATACCTCGGGGGGACACAGGTTGTTATTTCAGCACCCCGAGTCCGTCCATCCGTTTCATTTGGTTTATATTTAGCGTCGTGATCCACAGTGCACGTCCATGATGGAGTGCGTTTTGGTGGCAGAGCCTCGCTGCATCAGCGGAGGCGACTAATGATGGTGGCAGCGTCCCTAGCCGGCAGACACCGGGTGTATGGCTTCTACTCTACTGTTATTGCAACGGTTTGTATCCACAGCACAGAGACGCCTCTTTCTTATTATCCCCTGCTGCCATCAGCAGGAGGGGGCTTTGCAGTACACTGGTTTGCTCCCTGGGAGAAGATGAGCTGGCATTGACTTTGTATGGTGTTGAATAACTTTACTAACCGCATTTAGTTTGACCCAAACGGTACCACAAGCCCACTGCTGGATATTGCAGATCGAATATAAAACTAGCAAAGCCTGGAAATGTACTGTAAACGTGAGAAGGGAAAGCGCTTTCTAACCTCTATGGACTGGAATTGACTTTGTGTTTGCTTCCTGAGTGACGAGGAAAGAAATAATGAAATCATCTCAATCCCAGAGGAACTCAGATGGGTTCTATCTCTGAAGGAGGTTTAGTAACATTGGCCAGTAGTTCTACACCATCCGACTCAAGCAAGAAGTTACTGTACTTGTTGTGTTGAAGTGCAAATGCTGCTTTGTTGGGGACAGTAATTTGTTAAATATGGTCACTGTGAACGTGGCAACAGACCGGGATCATTTCAAAATGATTGAACGTTGCCAATCAGGCACTCTCCATGTCAATGATACAGCTTGTTGTGGCATCTTGGGGAAACTTCTTGTCTTTATTCCAGACTGTCCGACAACAACGGAACAGGAAGCTTAATAGTAGCTTGAGCATTTTCAGAATTCAGACAAATTCACCCAGTCTCCACAGATCAGCACACTAAGCAAATATTTATCAACATTAACACATAAAAATAACTGATTTCAAACATGAAGATTAGTTTCCCAATCAGCTTTTGTTAGCAGTTGTGTAGTTTTTGTGTCACTGTGGGGACTACATATTAAGCCTGTGTTAGGAACTGAGATAGTGGAGCTTGATAGACATCAGTTACCAGGCAATTAGGCCGGCTTAGATCCTACGTTTTTGGAGCTTGAGAAAAAATCAGCCTCTGATTCAATTTGTAAAATTAATTCAAATTTCTTATCATACCGCATTCAATGAAAATACTTGTTCTTTGCTTCCTGTATGTCATATTGTGCATTCTATAAATAATAATTCTTATCATAGTTATTTAGAGTACTTGTGAGCCTTTGCTACACTGACCATGCTTGCTTGTGTCATTAGTTATACAACAGCTTATAAAATAATAATTTGTCACTTTGGGAATCATGCTTTTTCTTTTCTTCTTGCCGATCGGTAGATGGGAAGAACGATAACACTCTTGTGTCAGTGTGTTTGAGCTACTGAGCTGTAGACGCAGTTTGGTAAGCTTAGTTACTTAAAGCAGGAGGAAACATCTCGCCCGGCTCGGTTCAAAGACGCCAACCACCTCGAAGGCTCTTTGATTAGCAAGTTCTATTTTGTTTGTTGAATCAGTACAAAGTTTTGTTTCTCTCTGCTTCCATTCATGCTACGCTAAGCAAGCTGGCCATCTCTAGTTTCATTGCACAGAGATGGCAGATCAATCCTCCCATGATACATACACATGAATTGGGGTTCAAATCTAAACCAGCAAGGTCCACCACTTCGGTCCAGACTGAAACAAACTGGAAGGATTTCTATAGGAACAAAGGCTGAATCCTCTTGATTTTCTACAGCGACCATGTGAGTGACATTCTCTTCCTGAGAAAACGCCCGAACCGAATACCTTTATTCCCACTTCCCACCAATTCAATCTATCAAGAATTCAATCTAGAATTTTAGTTTTCTTTTGCTTTAACCTCCCTTGAATTATCGCACGCTCTGGGCTGCGCCGTTACTTGTCGGAGTCACATGACCAACCCCTGGTCGCTGTGTTGGCCAGTTGAGACCAAAGTGCGACTACATATGTAAGATATATGAGGCCTGCTGCACAGAGAGGCCGCCGTGGCCTAAAACAGAGGCATTTTAGGACGGCGGTGGATACATTTAAAGCCCTTTGTGTTTAGCCGACTTCAAACACGCTGTGTGCAGCTAATGGAGATGCTGATTACCAACAAAGCAACGGATAGTTCCCACACTGAAATCTCTGGGGAGGGATGATGAGACTCTCTTTCTCCCTCTGTCTTGTCTATGCTATTTCAGAATCAAAGTGCTCATCGTTCATCTATTATTCAATCTGTTTCACTCCACTGTTTCTCTGTTTTCACATACAGCAGTTGGCCAAAGCCCACTTGGTGGAGCTGTATTTATTTTTAGGAGTCTTCCTTTTCCTCGCGTCACAGTGTGGCCCTTTTTATGTCGTGTCTCTTACATCAGAAGACACAGAAGAATCGGCTTTAACAATAGAGTTTCATTACGGGGGATTGTCGTTTCCCTGGTAGAAGCATTTAAATTAAACCCCCAAACCCTCCGCTTTCTGCTTTACCTTTATATTCATCGGCCTCAGCGGCGTGTTCAGGTCAAGGTCACCGCAGTTGGAGCTAATGAAAGCGAAAGGGAAACAAAGGGAGTTGGTGGACAAAAGTATCAGATCAGTGGAGCTTGTTCAGATTTCTCATTCACTCCTCTCCTTTGTGACAGAGGAAGTTTGGGCTTAAAGCTGCAGGGGAATAACACAGAGGCACTATTCACATTTAGGAAAGTGCCGAGCAGAGCGCAGATGTTGTTGTTTCTAAAGTAATAAAACAACATAATAAATGCACGCATTTTTAAACTTAGGACTTGAGGTATCCCCATTTATTCTCATCTCACGTCAAGCAGCCGCTGACTGTTGCCGCCGCTGGTAGATTCCTATTCACACATCTCCGAGAGGGCATATTTAATGACCTCTAATTATCATATCCTCTCTGAGGAAATCATTTCCGAACTGTCTCTACTCTACTGATTAGGCCTCGAAGGATTCCCCTGATGTCGCTCCCTCTTCCTCCCTCCATCCCGCCAGTGCAACTCTGTCCCAGGAGCTCTCATTTGTATAAGTGCTGCCCCGTGACACCGCGGTCCCCAAAGCTCTGACTCGCTGCCACCACTCTCCCCCAAAACACGCCTTTTTGTGTGACATTGATGTCTTTAACTATTTGCTTATCTCCCCTTTCTCTCTCTCTCTGTCTCTCCACAGAACGATACCTGGTCTGAGCTGTACTCCTTTGCTGTATTCAAGGCAATGAGCCACATGCTTTGCATCGGTTACGGCCGGCAGGCCCCTGAGAGTCTTTCAGACATCTGGCTCACCATGCTGAGCATGATTGTAGGAGCGACTTGCTACGCTGTTTTCATCGGCCACGCAACGGCTCTTATCCAGTCCTTGGACTCCTCCAGACGGCAGTATCAGGAAAAGGTGAGGAGCTTCTTTGTGCCCTCTGTTCCATGTTCTCAAACCTTTTGTTCCTGTTAACCTCTCACCTTTCAGTCTCCCCCTTTTTTTAAATCCGTTTTTTGCCCTTGAAAGAAAAGATTGTTGTTTAAAGGAAATATTTGCTGTCTTGTAATCGGTAAAACTCTCATGTCTCTACAGTAAACATAAAGCAACCTGGCCAAAGCCAGCACCTGCAGAGCTCTTTAATTAGCACGCCATCTCTTTGAGAGCTGAAAATTGGGTTGTTATTGGGTTAATACTCTGTCGGCCTGTGCTGATAGCTTTGGTTTTGATATCTCTCTCACAATCTTAACTACGTTTGGCTGCACAGTGGTAGTTCTGGGCTGATTGACCCACTGGTGGTCCGGTGCAATTGAATTGCAACTTAATTACACAACGCCAGATTCAACCCCTAAGGTTTGTTGGGTCAGAGCGGCGCTCAACAGTGCTGCAGCGGTGGCTTGTGACGGCAAAGCATCTCTGTTTCCAAGCAGAGTCTTGCTGGCTGGGGAGCAGGAGGTGGGGAGGGAGGAGTGTGTGTGTGTGTGTGTGTGGGGGGGGGGGGGGGGGGGGGGGGTGTTGCTGGCTCTCCGCAGCCAATCAGAGGCTGCGGGTGTGTTTCGGCCAGGTAGAGCCACGTCGTCAGGGGTTGGGCGCGTTGTGTGTGTTGGGGCTGATGTTGGAGCGAGAGAGAGAGAGAGAGAGATTATATGTATGTGTGATATAATGTCCCCTTGGGCTCAGTAGAATTGATGAGGCAGCAAACCGGTGTGTCCTGCCAATGTCATCCTGAAGGTGAGGCGAGCAAGCGTGGCCGCCTCCACTTCTCATTCACTGACTCTACCTGCTCTCCGTGTCATCGGTTTGCATCTCAACCATCCCTCCTTTCATCATCTCACCCCCTCTTTCTTCACTTCATCCACCTTACTTGTACCTTGAATATACCGTACATACTTTGACCTGATCTTCTGCTGGGTCTCGCGTCCTTCTCTCATCTTCATCCCTCTCTCCTGTTGTTTCCATCCACACTTCGGTCTCTTCCTTTGTTTCCTTCCTGCCTCTCTATCACCTCTGCGGCTGGTGTCCTTTAGAGGTGCAGTGCTACTGCTAGCTGTCTGCTACAGGGGGAACAGGGAGGGGGAGGGGAGACCTGTGGGAGACGGTGGGGCCTCGCTGTCAAGTCCTGGTGCATTGTGAGGTATTTTAACATGCTTTGGTTTTGTCCGTGCTTTGAGTGCTTACTGTTGCTCATGTCTTGACTGTATATCCTGGATGATGGCTAAAAGTTTAGAGATTGATCCGTTGTGTTTTTGTGAGGGGGAGGGGGGCACTCATCTCTCCGAGAATAATACATTTACTGCGCCACTTTCCTGATTACTGGTTAAAGGTCTTCACCTCAGCTTCCATATCCAGGTAAATTTGCACCACAAGCAGCTGTGTCTTGTGTATTTACAATCTGTGATGATGAGTTGTATAAGTTTATGCCTGTTTTCTTTCAATTCATAGGAAAAGGAACTTTCACATCAGAAATGTGTTTGTAGTGCTCTGTTTTCGAGTACTTGCTCATATTGAGATATTTGCTAACGCATCGTCAGAATATATATTTTTTCCCGCTGAGGGCAGAAAAGTGCATTTACCCTGAGGTATTTTTTTGACCAGCTGTCATATTTTCATATTTCTTTGTGCAAAGTTTTTTTTCTGCTGCACGGTGAGGATTAGTGAGCTGAAGTGATGGTTAAAAAAAAGAAAAGTGTATGGCAGAAAAGAGCCGTCCACGCCAGTGAGGCTGATGCCGATGCACGCAGGCTGAATTCACCACGCCTCCACATTGGGCTGTAAGTGACATTGTTATCATTTGGAGAGTGTTAACAAAACAAGTCTGCTGGCAGTCTGTTGCAGCCCCAGCGAGGCTCCAGCTAGCATTGTGTGGAGGCTTCCATTTCAGACCCGTCGTGCGTGCTCGGCTCTGGGTGCAGGAGTTTTTAATAAATGGTAATGGTGCATACTGACACACAACAGGCGGGGAAATATAACTGAAATAAAAAGATATACTCTCACTTGTGCCACATTTAATGCACACTTGGAAGCAATGCAAATGTCCAATTCAGGCATGTGTTTCTATGGTTTACGGCTTTTGGAAAGTTACACGTCGGAATTAATGTTTGTTGATATCTGACCTTCAAACATGCACATTTGTCCAGCTGAAAGACTACTGCTTTATATTCTTTGATTTTTACTTTGTGATGCTGACATTACCCTGTTTTATGTAACCCTTTGTAAGGTCACCATGATGCATGAGGCCACTCACACTTCAGGCTGCATAAACACACGCAGAGAGGTTTTCTTATTCTGCCTGATTAGACTTTGTGTCATTCTTCATTCATGAACTGCCGGCATAACAAGAAGAGCATGACAACCAGCCCGAGGGTTCACACAGGAGACTTATTTTGGGGTGTTACGTATTCAATAAGTGAAACCAGATACAGATGAACTATTTATAAGCAGCTGAATTCCTTTTGTTAGTATCAGACTTTATTCTGATGCACAACCTGGATGATGGTTTGCGGTCAGATATGTTGCTTGCAGTCTGTTGATGAATATGTGTGTGTGGGAAAACTTAATGTTTGTGGCCTGACCCGTACTATTTTCTACCGACGCAGCTTTTTTGTGAGAAAGAAATTCGTAGTCGTAGACAACAACAACAAAAAGAGCGTATTACCCAGTGTAAAGTGTGTCTGATGAAGAAACCCTTATCTTCCAGTTTTCTTTTTGTTGTCCCTCCGTTTGACTTAATTGTTGGAATATTGGTATTTCCTTAGAACTCTCTTTTAAATAAACAAGACTTTGTGCCGTGTGAGACCCCCACATTGTGTTCCTCCCCGTGTACACTGTACACATCTCTCAATTGAAGAAGACAAGCTCTGAGTAACACTATCTGATTTTTTTTCTTCCTTTGTTTTGGTGATTGTGCTGCATAATACAGTATAATGAGGCTATTAAGCAGGGAATTTTGTGAATGAATTATACATCCACATGGCTGTTTGGGATGAGCCCAAATCAGCATTTCCAATGGAGAGAAGTTGTGGAGCGAATGAGGAGGAGCACAGAAGAGCAGAGGAAACAAAAAGAAAATAAAGAAAGTAGGAGAGGGAAATCATAGAAAGATAATATCTACCTTGTGTCAGTAGTTAATGGTTTTAAAGGTGTAAACAAAAATACAATCAAAGACAAAGCTCCTTTTATGCTTTTGTCTGAATAGCAAATCCCTAAATGGAAAGGCAGAAGTTTAGAGGACAAACTGTTAGTGGAGCGTTTTGCTGCCGCATACACTGTCATCAAAGGGACACAGCAAATGTAAAATGTAATTTTCACTCACTTCATTTAGGGATTAGTCAGCCTCCTTTGGGTGCCATGACGCCTCCGCCAAAAGCTCTCTCTCTCTCCTCTGTGACACTTTCAGGTCGGCCTGGTGACGATCGATACGCCGCAATGTGACGTGGCTCTCAAAGTCAAGCCATAAACTGGCACCACCAAGTTTAATCAGATAGGCTTTTGCTGCCTCATTCGTTTCGGACTCCGCCGAGTCACAGTGTAGCCACAGCCGCTTGCCCGCTGCGGGGGGCGCGAGGTTTTCCCTGGGTGCCGGACCACCCCTCACCTCGCTTTGCTCATCATCAGCATTTCTGTTCTATGGGCCGTTCACCAGCTGCAGTGTTCCCTTTGTCGCGTCGGGGTAAAGACTTGTGACACGTAGGTCATTTCTCCGGGCCATTTTCATCTGCAGATGTGATGAAGCGGAGTCAGTCATGCAGGTGAGACTTTGTGTGTTTGTGTGTTGCGTAACTCTGGAAGATCACAGGAGCTGTGCTGCTGCCCCGCCGTGCGGCACGCTGTGACTTACGTAGATGCTGAATAATTAAAACGCGGCATGTCTGGTTTATTTTTGTTTATGTGATTATGGCAGAAGGAAGCATACAGGGAAAGTGTCATCCAGAAGCACATATTGCAATCTAGCAATGTGGGGTCATTGTATATGAACATCCTCTCTGCAGAACCATTGTATGGTAACATTAATACTGTATTTTCCCTGTTTTGACTGTAATCTAGTAATTTGGGTTTGAAATAGAATAGACACGGTGTGACTAAGAATTTACCACCAACTTTTTCCCCTTGAGAGATGCGTTAGAACTTTTAAAAATAGCCTTTTCAGTGCGGCTGGTTAAACACACTCACAGCTGTACTGACAACTGAGGCTACAGGCATGTTAGCGTGCTACCATTTTGATAGTGGAGGCTGGGGCTGATGGACATGTCATTAGTTTGGTGACATTAGTTTGTCAGTGCATTCAAAGTACTGACAATGGAAAAAGTTTAGTTTCTGCCAAAGTCATCACAAAGTACAAGTACAAATAATGCTGACAATCACAGTGTCTGAAAACCTTCAAACGGCCAACAATTTAGGTACATTCTTACCTAATGAGCATAAAAGCTTTTCACACAGAACAAATCACAACTTGGCAGTTAAAGCAAAAAGAAATTATCCTTGAACATGTTTGTCCAAAGTCATTGTAAGTGTCTAATAGACACAAGTAGTGCAGTTGCTTTTAATTCAGGCAAACGATCACAAAAGAGGCGAGGTGTTTATTGTGGGCACGGAGAGTGAGCAATTTTGAATTTGCATACAGCAGCACAATATTGTCAAATAGTATGAGTTTGTTTCACTGAAGACTAGACTGAACTTTGAAAATGCCTGAATAAGCAAGAAGTGAAGAGTACAAAGCTGGCAGAGCCTCACCGGGGAGGATGCCAAGTGTCTGCTGATGTCTTCAGGTCCCGCCAGCTATTAAACAATGTGCACACAAATAAGAAAGACTTTTTTTAAGGTCATGTTAATTTGTTACTTTCTTCCTCCTACATTAATTTAATTCACATTAATTGTAATGTACATTAATGTGAATTAATGTACATTACAATTTCCTACGTAGTTCATCTAATGTGTCTGTAGTCACTGATTTGAGAGTCAGCTTTTATATTTCATATCAAATCAAATATCTTAGATATATGAAGTGGTACTCAAATTGTAGAGCTGACATGCTTTTTAGCTGTGATTTGATTCCAGTGTCCTGTGCTTTCCTCAGAGCCTGAAAGTTGTGCGCTCACAGCAGCAGCAGGTGTTGCCCGCTGAGCCGTCACTGCCTCTCAAAATTGCGTTTCCGACAGCTTTGTATCTGCAGCAAAGTATGAAGAAAATCTTTCTCCCCTAATAGTTTAGCGTCCGCTCGATTCACCACGTCACCCATCGCCCCGATTTCCTCAGGCCGGCCTCCTAGTTTTTGGTTTCTCTTTGGATTGATTGTGATTTACAAATCTCAACAACAGGAGTCTGATTGTGTCTTATTACTGTGCCGACTGAGTGTCGGTATCAATGTAGTTTAAAACCCCCCACTTCTAACTGTTTATCCAAATGTCAAATCAAAGATCACATGTTGCTCATGTTGCAAAGGTCTTTGTGAGTTGCAGTTCCTGTTGTGTATTTCAACATTAGTGTGTAACAATGTGGACACATCCATGATCACATCGAGTGTTTGTGGGATTCATTTGAAATGAACTACGGAGCCGTTCCTCGCCATGATGCCTGAACGGTGTGGCTCATTGACCAGTGGTGCTTTACAAGTCCTTCACTACACACACAGCGTTTGTGGGATTGATGCGTTGTTGATTTTGTATCCTCTTCACGGGACCTTTCTGTCAATAAGAACAATGTAGAATATGAGTAAAACAAGCACAGCTGTCACAGCGGAAAAGCTGTTGTCAGAATATTGATGTGCACGGCATTAACGGAACATCATCTCTGTCTGTCTGCCTCCCTTTTAGTACAAACAAGTGGAGCAATACATGTCCTTCCACAAGCTGCCTTCCGACTTCCGTCAGAAAATCCATGACTACTATGAGCACAGATACCAGGGCAAGATGTTCGATGAAGAGAGCATTTTGGACGAACTCAGTGAGCCTCTCAGAGAGGTAAGACGCAAACTGAAGATAACACAAGGAAGCTCCATGTATGAATTCTGATGGATTATTTTTGTGTTTGAGGTACTTTTTGGTTTGGTTTTGAGAAGCATTTACTCCTAAAATCTCAGTATTCATACTTGGTTGTAGTTCTGCAGTTGAACAAGTTTAAGATATTTCTAACAAAGCCATGTCTTCTGCTAGGAAATTGTGAACTTCAACTGTCGCAAGCTGGTGGCATCCATGCCGCTGTTTGCCAACGCAGAGCCGTACTTTGTGACGGCCATGTTGACCAAGCTGCGTTTTGAGGTATTCCAGCCGCATGATTACATCATAAGGGAAGGAACCATTGGGAAGAAAATGTACTTCATTCAGCACGGAGTCTGCAGCGTCATCACTAAGGGAACTCTGGCAATGAAACTCTCCGACGGCTCTTATTTTGGAGGTAGGACAGTCTGTGGCTTCTCTCTTTGTTAGTTATGGGAGATTTTTAGCCTTTTGTTACTTTCTTTTGCTGATGCACTTCATCCTCCCTCTTTTCAGAGATCTGCTTACTGACGAGGGGTCGGCGAACGGCCAGCGTGCGAGCAGAGACTTACTGTCGGCTCTACTCGCTGTCTGTTGACCACTTCAATGAGGTGCTGGAGGAATATCCCATGATGAGGCGCGCCTTCGAGACTGTTGCCATTGACCGTCTAGACCGCATAGGTAAAGAGTGAATGCACACATAAGATAAGAAGCTGATTTGATTTTATATTAAATTGCAAATCTTTACCAAAAATAATCTGCTTCAAAGGGACTGCAGCAACGCAGAAACGTCTTTGGTTCTCGTCCACACAATCAAAGGTTGCAACAACTGATGCACAGCAAATTTCAGAGAGTTAAATTGACTCTGTGAGATTGAATTTGAACTCTAAGCTGGTGTTTATGTTGTCCCATTCTTGTCAGTGTTAAATCAACACTCAACAAAGTGTTAACAATTTAACACAATTTAATAAGTGTCAAAAATAATTCTGCTCAGTGTTAAATGCACCGTACGTAGAGTTAAAACCAACACCAAGAAGTGTAACCCTGGTGTACAGTTACATTTCAAACCTATCAAAGAGTTAATTTAAGTTAATTTACTAAGTGTCGCAAATAAATCTGATCAGTGTTGAATACAAAATAAATATACATGTAGAGTTAAAAACCCAAGTCCTTGACACCGGATAACGACTCCAGCTTCTTTGTACAATTAACTCTTACAGTTGAATTGACTTTTTGCTTTCAACTCTGCATTTCAACACTTTTGCCTAACACCAAAAAAATGAATTTTGACTAGCAGTACAGAAGCATAGCGTAGCATCTGTATTGTCCTTTTGTTAGTCTCTTCGTAAACTTTTTCTTTCATTCAAAAACACACTCTAAAATGAACCCCTACTCTACTATAGAGTTATATTGTGCTTTGGAGAGCATTGACATATGTTCAAATAGGCAGTACAATGAGCCGGGCTGTTCCGTCAGAATGACACAGAAGTACAGGGTTACACACCCAGGTTCCTCGGGGCCATAACCCATCCCACTTCTAACTTCAAACTGTCCTTGATAATGCATCTTTTGTTTTGATCTCTGCAGGTAAAAAGAACTCCACCCTGATGCACAAGGTTCAGCATGACCTCAACTCTGGTGTCTTCAACAATCAGGAGAACGAGCTGATCCAGGAGATTGTCAAGTACGACCGCGAGATGGTGAAGTTGGTGGACCTGCAGCGTCCACGGGCCATGTCAATGACCCCGTCCATTGGCGGCATCTTTGCTCCCCCTGGTCAGTCGCAGTCAGGCTCTGCTATCGCCACGCTTCAGCAGGCCGTGGCCATGAGCTTTTGTCCCCAGATGGCGAGTCCGCTGGTGGGTCCGGGGACTCTGCAGTCTCCTCGTATGGTGCGACGGTTCCAAGTGATGCAGAGCCTGGCCAGCCCGGTGGCCATGTCCCCCCTTCAGTCGCAACCTCCTCAAACGTTCGGAGGGGCGTTTGGTTCCGCGATCTCCAGCCCGCCTGTTCAGAGCCCGCTCGCAGCGTCAGGACGGACTTTCCAGTACATGACAAGCGCAGGACCCTCTGGCTCCCAATTGTCTCTGGTACACCACCATGCACCCAGCCCAACACAGACCCAGCAGAGGCCTGCCTCTCACAAGAGCACCCACTCCCTCCATGCAGGTAGCTTAAGCCAGGACACCCGGGCCATATCTGCCTCCCAGCTTTCCCTTCCCCAGGAAGGAACACAACCAGCTGCCCCTGCAGCCCCGAGCCCTCCACCATCCACCCGCACCTCCAACAACTCCATTGGTCCCCCTCAGCCCCCTCACCCCAACCTGCCAGGGCCCTCGGGGGTGGGGAGATCAGCAGGAGCTCAACAAAGGGTGGCCTTTGCCTCCACTCCCTCTCCCGGTGGACCTGCTGGAAAAGGGGCAGTAGCAGCAGCTGCTGGATCAGGACCTCCAGACTCTGGAGTTCCCAAGAAAGATTCAATTGTCAGCCTTCCAGAGCTAGACTCTGCCAGATCCCGGCTGTCTTCCAACTTGTGACCCTGGTAGAGTTCAGGAAAGAGGCCTTTTTTTGTAGGAGAATCTGTTTGTTTTAGGTCAGTCCAGCTGATTTGTCAGCCTGCTAAATGACCTATCAGCAACCGCCAGCGGCAGCAGTCAGTGGACCTGGATGCACGGCTTGCCGGTGTCAGCAGAAGGAAAAGATCAACTCAAAGTCTTTTTGAGTCTAGACACTTTGGCTAGGACGAGTCTATACAATTAAACTAGTATAACTTAAGGTGGAACTGGTCTAGTCTACTGTGCCAGCAACTTTAGTCTTAGTATCACCCCTTACACTGCTTCCAAACACCTACTGTATATCGCTGTCTTTACTGTAAAGGTATGAAGAAAAGTATGATTTATGTAACTATTGCATACTGTGTAGAATCCATGCAATGCAATCTAGCAGGAGCTGGACTTAAAAATGAAAATCAGGGACTTGAGGTCAAATGACAATGACATTTTAAGCGTTTAAAAAGTGTTTTGAGTGTAATTTTTCTGTATAAGCTGTCGTAGCAAAAGAACACATTGCTCTTCATATTGTTTAAAATAGTAGTGAAAATAGTGATTTAGACCGCTGGTCGATCTTACATCGATTTGTAAATAGTTGTTGAAAAAATACAGAGGGATATTATATTCATTGTATCTACCCAAACCAAAGTTGAGCTTGAACACAAAGTCTGGTTGTGTCTGTATCAACTAAAAAAGAAACATAGAAGAAAATGCCATTTATTTAACTGCCTTGATTCAACGTTAGAAGCCATATATTTGGTTTGTGTGTATGTATATATGTGGGTGTAAGTTTGTGTGCATGAGTTTGTTGGGTCATTTTGGTTACATTTTCAAAGAATGGACTCACACACGCTAGCTTTGTAAAGCGCAATTGGTTTCACATGCTAACGGCAACACTGACCTGTTTTCATGAAACATCTGGCAGGCGGTCAGCTGTTTAGTCGGCGCACTGATTGTAACCCTGAAGGCAAAGGTGGTTAAATAATATGAGCTTTATTGAAAGGAAACATTTGTGAACAACCCACACTGTATACTTGCTTGTTTTTGTCTAGGTTTATTGATTAACACATGCAATATAATTCTGCAATACTCTACCCCGCCTATATATAAATATATATGAATATAAATATCTTTACATATGCTGTACAGGAAAGTTTTCCTTTCATTTTCTTTTTAATGTGAAATCTTAAAGAATCCAGCAGCTATTGTGGCTTCACTTGAAGTATTGTAATCCAGTGACCATGTTGTTACGTTAACCAAAAATGTTGGGAGGGAATGAGAGGACATGTCATTTTTGTTAAAACAGGCGGGACAAACCGCTCAAAGCTGGTTTAGAGTCCCAGGAAGAACACACACTTTGAGTTCAGCAAGTCACATCCTCGAAAACGTCACTTTAAACACCATTTGAAGATATTCAATTGTAAGATAAATGGGGGTGGGATATATGGGGCATCAATGCCTCAGTTGTAAAAACTCTGCTAATCTCCACACGCCCCATACGAACCCAAAACTCCCACGAATGTCTCAATGTTTCGATCCACAACAAACCCATTTTTTAAATTTCGGCATTGGGCTTTCGGCTTTGGTTATATTTGTTCAAAATATTCTGATCCTGTTGAACCTAAAAGCCTTCTCTTGCTGAATGTATGCCATGTGAGAAGGAAGGGAGCTAATCAGATATAAACTGCCATGTAAATAAAGGGACAGAGGTTTAACGAGGCTTTTATGATGCAAGGAGCAGGGCGAGGCATCGCTGTACGTGTTGCTGCGTGTCTGCGTGACCTTTTTCAGTTTGACGATGCTTTTCTGGTTAGAACGTTGCTGTGTCGAAACTCTGTGTTCCCCCCTCGCCCGCCCACACATCCTACCCACACGTCCATCACGGAGCGATCCCCTTTTATAGTTCATTCATTGACGCGTTTTTAACCGTTTTGAACTCCTGTCGAGGGTAAACATTGCAGACATTCAGCTGACCCCCTTTGTGTTGCACCTCACCCGAGTAATCAAACCGAAAACTGATGCTCTGTTCTCTTAAACCAAGTGCAGTACTCCTTCTGGACCCATTCTCTGGTTAAACTACGAAGGACCAAAAAAAATAAATCCAATTGGGAAAGAAAACAGGTAACTGATGAATTAACAAACACGGCGTTTAACTTTCTCAGCTCTGAGCATCGATCCAGTGCCAAACTCTAAAATCGATGGAATGGACATTTCACTCAGGTTCGCTACCTTTTCAGAGAGTTCCATTGATTGCCGCAGCGTTGCTGTTCATCGATTGATGTCGTCCTTTCCGTCCTCCCGTAATCAACGTGTAGATTTAACCGCGCTGAAAGGTTCCCCTTGAATTCTGATTGGCCAAGAACAACAACGATGATCAATCGAGTGGAAACACAAACCCTGGAATTGTTATCAACAGAACTTGCTGTCGTTTTGATCACTTTGAGGGTCGCTTAAGTCCTGAAACAATGTGATTGTTTTATCCAAGGGCTTCGTTGTATGGTTTATAAACCCTTGCTCATTGCCCCTGCAGAGCGGCTACATTTCCACATTCTATCAGTGACATGCACTAAACCTTGTTCATTGTCGTACCTGCCGCACAAACTCACTCCTTCAGCAGCGCGGGAACGTTGTATTGCTTTTTTTTTCCCGCGGGAAAGGTTGATGCCAAAACGCCAATACGATTGTGAATGAGTCAATAGCTGTTGTGCGCTTCAATACCGTTCCAGTGCAAGTAGTCGGTCCTGTTCCCTATTCCTTTGTGCTAATACCAGAGTTTGCCCTATTAAGCTGCTATCAGGACTGTGCTGATATTATTTGAATGAGTCCACAGTCAGTGAGAGCAAGATGGAAAGAGAGCTAAAGAGCTAATGTTTCAGGCAATATCAGGCACGTCTCTGTTTCATTGCGTCCATCCAGTAAGATACTGTAGTGCGTAATTCACTCCCACTCAAAGGATGGCATTCCCGACACTTTGATCAGTACCACACTGCTTCAACCCTCGGCCATGAAGCGGACACAGCGCTGGCCGCGCACGCACTGCTGTCCGTTATCCGTTTCGTGTCTGCGTCACAAGTGTGTGGTTACCCTGTGGAATTGCGTGTGCGATTATAGCGCTGTGTTTGCCTGATGACAGGGGGCTCAAAGTGCGATTGTCTAATGGTTCTTCTTCTCTGGACCTTGCTGTGAAGTGGGATTTAAATCCCTCATACATGTTTGACACTGACTGACAACTATTGAGAGAATCTAAGTTCCAAACCTCTCATTCTCGATGTACCAGATGTTAAGGGTACTGAATGCCTTGGTGTTGATATGTTAGCAAATCAGGGTATTCTTTTTGTCTGTAAAGGTGTCTTTGATTTACCAGTATATTTGATTTGTTTATTGATTTTTTTTATGTGCCCCATGCACACGGACTGTATATACCTTGTGCCTAGTATATCTAGTTTCCACAGTCTATTTTTGTGGTATGTATGTGCCTGTAAAAATGCAAATATGTGTTTTTATTTTCAACTTGCAATATATGTAAAAAACATTAGATGAAGACTAGTATTGCTGAATTAAAATGACAATGTCAGTATATATAATTTTCCCTGATTTGGGAAACACAAAATTGCACATTTTTGTTGGTTCGAGCCTTCCAACACCATACGCGCTGTACTTTCATGTCCTGTACATATGGTATACACAGAGACGTGGGGCACTTTGTTGTGTTTTTCCACAACCTCCTGTATAATATACATTTTCTACAGTGGTGAGCTCTGACAGGCTTCTGGTGGATATCGGCAGTCTTGACGTGAGCTTAGATGATCTGCTTGCTGCACACAGCCAAAAATGACAAAGAATATATGAACCAAAACTGTAGAAATAATTATAAATACAGGAACCACGCTAAATCTGTCTCAAATCATATTGTCGCACGGGTCTTTAAACTGATGCTGGTTTACCATCCCCCCCCAAAAAAAGAGAAGATCTCTCCGCGGCTGAATTTGGCTCACGGGCCTCAGCAGTCACACGCTTTACTCCCTGGTTGAGTTACCTTGACAGATAATAGCAGAGTGCATGCTTGTATTTTTCTTATCAAAGCAGAGTTCTGTGTACGATTCTTAGTGGGACCTTCAAATCTAGACATTGTTGTGAACCAACTACTGTACAATGATTTCATTTAGCAGTTAAACCTTTGTGTCGTAGCTACTGTAGCCTGCTTCGCGTCCCTAAGCCTTCTCTCTGCTTCAGGACTTTGTGTATCGTGTGCTTGAGTTTGTGTGTGTGTGTGTGTGTGTGTGCGTGTGTGTGTTCCTGTGCCTTTCCTTCTATAATGTTGGTCCCACTTGAGAATATGATGCCGTTTAGGCGTTTGAAACCCATGTGAGGCTGAGAGAGACGCCAGCAGAAGCTGGAAAGTGTTACACGGTCACGGCTCTTAAAAAAACAACAAAAAAAACAACGACGACAACAAAAACAACACTTTAATGCTCCTAAAAAAAGACTCTAGCACATCTTTAGACTTAGTAGCATTCCACAGCCTACAAGAGCAGCTCGGTGTGGGCATCCAGACACACTTTACCAGCACCATGTAGACGACAGCACAGATATCTGACACAGCGTGTGTCCTCTCTCTCTTTCTCTCTGGAGGCCAACCATCTCAGGCTGTGCTCTGCTTAACAAAAAGGTTCAAGTATTTCATCAAGTTGATGTCTACCATCCAGGTGCAAGTCAGCTCCCTGCCCGAGCCGCCGCGCCTCCAAATCGATCTCAAAGGATCGGGGGGGGGGGGATCTTTGGGATGCTGGTTGCTATTTTTTTGGCCGTCCAGTCTTTGCCGACTGTGATGCACGGCAGGCGGCGATGGGTTAGGGGGGCGGGGGGGCTGATTTGAGCCTGCGTCCAAAAGGCTGTCCTGTCCACCACCTCTGCTGGCCGAGAACACAGAACCACACCCTGGTCTCTCTCAATAAGCTGGTCTGTCAGTCAGTGGCAATGTTGTTTAAGCGTTCGTAAAAAGACGATACATTGTTGTGCAATAAAAAGATGAGCGCATTGGCATACTTACCTCTGTGTGTGGACTTTCATTCGCTGGTGTCGTCTCCGCTGGTTGTCCCTCTGAGTTAGAAGAAGTGCATGTGAATATTTAACTGCTGCAAACACGCACGCACACACCTACACAGCTACCTACACACCTCAACCTTGTAAATCAGTCAGCAACCCCTCCACCATCATTCTGCCCCACATCAAATGAGATCTCTCTCTCTGCAGAGAAGGGCTCTGCTGCATCCCTGATGAGATGTCTGAGCTCAGTCTAAGAGCTTTCCACTCCTGTGTGTGTGTGGCAAAAAAACAGCACAGCAGCAAGTGTATTTATTCCTGTACCTATAGAGCATGTGTGTGCACATTCTGTTTCTGATCAGAGAGAGTAAATGAACCAGTAGCAGTTTATGGGTATGTGAAATGGTGTGTGTGTGTGTGCGTCACAGATGAGGGCAGTCCAAGGACAAACTCCTCTGGCAGCCTGGGAGCAGCACCCACCCCTTCCCTTTCAGTCTATTTCCTTTACACACACGCACACACACACACGCGCACACACACACACACACACACACACACACACACACACACACACACACACACACACTGTCTGCATCCTCAGTGATTATGCATGGCACACTGAGACAGAAAGATTAAAAGCACACGCAAGGTGAGGTTTTGACATGTTGCCTCCTCGTGTGGCTGATACAGAAATGGGTGAGGCCATCCGCAGTGCGTGTGTGTAGTTTTACCTTGACGTGACACAGTGTCCTCTCTCTCTCTTCTGCTCTATTGACACGCCCACACCCACTGTTCTTTCTCTCTCTATCCATTTCATTGTGATTCAATGAGGAAGCATCGTGCTGATAACGGCTGCAGGGAGATACTACAACAAGTAGTGAGGCTGTGTGCAGTCTGAGTATATAGTTTCATTCCGTATATGGTGAAGGATTGTCCTCTACCTGGTTTCCTCTGCAGTGCTGCTCCTCTACTGTGTCCCTGGATGTCCTACTTCAATTAATCATATTGCATCTCCCTCTCTACCCCCCTAGGCTGTTTACCTCCAGAGGGCAATTTGTTTATTTAGCTGCCTACTGGTATTCTCGTCCCTCTCCCATCCATCTTCCTTCTGTTCCCTCTAACGCCTCCTTTACTGGGTTCAAACATTATAGTCCCCCGGGTTTATGAGCAACTGCGATTCGCTAATGTAACTTATGGATGTACACGGGAAACTCTTTGAGTGTGTTCAGGGCAAAAAGATATAAACGTTTGCCCCGTAACCTCGTTCCTCGTTTCCTCCCTGCTGAAGCTGCTTCAGCCATGTCTCTTTGCACCGGAGAGCATCCAGAGAACTCAAATCTGAATGTCAGAATTAGCATTTGGTCCAAGCTTTGAGTCCACGAATGAGTCAGTGAGCAAGACACAGAAAGAGAGAGAGAGGGAGAGAGACGGATAGACAGACAGACAGCGATACACTAAATCATCTTACAGCCGCAGGCGGCCTCAGTAGCATCCCAGCTGCTGGACAGTGTGCCGGGGAGGAAGTGAGAAGTGCGTCAAGCTGAAGAACAAACAGAAAGAGACAAGAGGGGCGGGTCACATAACACGATATGTCATCGTGTTTGAATTGATATACGTATGTCCCTTTCTTTTGTCCCTAATTGTTTTGGCCTTTTATTCCTCATTTAAACAAAAAAGGAAATGTTTCTCAAAGGGATCAATGCAGCCTTCGTTCAAGGACACTTTGAATCGTGTGACTTCTTTTGTATTTTGATTTTCTTATATTGAGCAAAAAACAATAATTAAAAATAAACCATCTTCCAACCATGATAATGTGGCCGAGCTCCTTTGTCATTTGTGAAAATTAATATATATTAAAAAGATTTTAAATGGAAAGACCATCATTTTATACAATCCATCATCAAAATGAATAGTGTATTCATAATCAGCACATTGGCAGCCAAAATAAAACATTTCAAACATGGCCTTAAAGCAACAAATTATGTAATGAGCAGTGTGTCTCTTGGGGTAGAGCAGGAAGAGAAGGAAGAGCAGGGAGAGGAGGAATAAAAAGGCAACAGCAGTAACAAGGGCACATCCTGCATGAAGTATTCTGTCTAAAAATACGTTTTATGTAAATTGGAGATGGAGAAGAGATGTCTGAACGTGGCTGAGAAACTTTCCTGAGAAAGTCTCTGAATACTGCCGGAAATTTCAATAACTATTTCTTGTGAACCCAACAGTCACGCAGCTATTTCGGTTGAACGTTTCGTCTATTGAAAACAAAATGAGAGCTGCAGCAGAGGGAAGAGAAGGCGCTGAGAGGTGGATGCTGGGCTCTGGGAGAGCAGCCTGTCTGAGCAGCACTCCATGCATCTGCCCCGCTAAACACTTCCCATTACAGCCGACCCAGAAACGTCCATGAGCCCTCTGGCTTAAAGAAGAGGGGTGAAAAGGGATGAAGTAAAGAGTAAAAATAAAGCACGGATATGCGGGAAATATGCGAGCAATAGGAATTATGATTCATGGGCTCCAGTCATATATATAGTTCCCCTTTTCCCCCCTCGAAGCACTTTGTTTTGTTTGCAAAACATTTAATCTCCACCAGGTCTTTGGGCTGTTTCAGCTGTGATTGTTTCTAGACAGGAAACAAAGCCCCCCCCCACCCGCCCGCCTGCCCACAAATACACTCTCAATGAATTCACTCCATCATCCACTCGCACCGATAATATTTGCTCTGGGCCGCCGACTGCAGTGATGAGAGCCAGGACAATGCTTTGGCGTCTGAATCATCTCATCTGTTCTGCTCTGTCAAGGTCTGTACTCAGTGACACTTTGGCTATTCATCAGGGGGGGACGCACACACACACACACGCACACACATTCACACACTGTGTCTCTCATGCACACACATGCACACGGGGGGGAAGACAAAATATCCACCGTTGCGGTAGGACTGTCATCGCAGAGCTCTTATTAAGGGATATATGCAGAACACACACACACACTTTAGTCACCACATTGTCTTTCTTTGTTTCATGCGGTATTACATTTAAAACCTCCTGACATTTGCAAGACTACTTAGAGTCTGAGTGAAAGTAAATGCAGAAATCAGCCCTCTCGATCATCTACTGTTTCTATTCTATCTACAAAGTGAGCGTCGATATCTGAGCCAACTTCTAACAAAGAGGGCTGCAGTTCTATGAGTGATACGTGTACTAAAAAGTATTGACACTAAGTGTTGTTGTTTGTGTTTGCAAATATTCCTGCCTGGTCTAGATTTACTGCTGACACAGTATGCTGTGTAGCGATTTTAAGACTTAAGATTTTAAGTGGCCTCAGTAAAGATTGATGACAGCGTGCTGAGAAGTCTCAAGCAGGTTAATGTTTCCGGGTGTGACGGGGGAACAGCACTGACGGTGTAATTGTCTGCAGGATGGAGGAACCACACGGCATCCATCACACTTACACAGAGAGCCTCCAGGTCCTGGAAGCACTCTCACCTGAGAACAAACCCACCTCAGGTAAGTCAAATATAATAATAATTAGATAATTTAGTGGTTGTTGCAATCTGTGGCTTAGGTATAAAGATGTTGTTCTTATTAATAATAATAATAATAATAGTAATAATAAATAATATAATGCCTGAGAACTTGCAGACGGAGTTGACGCGTTCCCTGCCTTAATGCTTTGTATGACCAAACACATGTTCAATAATCAGACTCATGTGTGAGTGTCCCCATTTTGTTACACCATAAACATTTACTCATTTGATTTCCCTGCATGATATTATTTGTAATTATGATAATAACAGTATTCATGTTTACCTGGAGAACTGTGACCTGTTTGCTCAGAAACGTGAGCAGAATAACTTACAGCTGAACAAATATGATCCAAACTAATTATATTCTGTGTCAGGAAGGGAGGGGCAATAAGGTTCTGTCAGCCTGTGAATGCCACCACTGATTAGAATAGTGTGCATAAGTTGGTTGAAGGAATTTTAATATGAAAATATGCATGCAAGACAACGTGCCACTTACACCACTCAGCAAATGACAGTGTCTGTCAAACTATCGGCTTCGCGGCAGAAAGCGCTGTAAGGGCTCGTGAGAATAAAGTCAAACTATTTATCACGGTTCGATGTAATTAACAGTTAATTTGTTCGTGCCTTTCAACGAGAGAGTGATGGCTCTCTCTATGCTTTATTTTAAGCAGATGTATTTGCAGCAATGATGAACAAAAGACATTTCCACTTATCGTTCTGTAACCCTTGTCATGCGGGCGAAAGCAAATGAGGCGTGCACAGCCAACTACATCCTATCGGGCCTTCGTCTGATACGCATAAATAAGTGGTGAGTAATGGGAATGAGTGGGAGTGAGCACAGGACATAGTGAGCATTGGGGAAAAGTCAAACCAGTCATACTTACCCATAATTCAATCTGACGAGGCTAATGTGAGGAAGCCACTGACTTCAGACTGAATTGGAGAGAGACGTGATTTACAGTCTGAGGACGTTGTGTTGCTCGCTGATTTTGTGGCGATGCGTCACGATTGTTGTCTGGAAGAGTTCCTGCATTACAGACCCGCACTAATCAAAACGTTGTCTATCTCCAAGGCAGGAAACTTTTGTATTATCTTCATGGACCAGAGCGGGAAAATCAAAGGCCACAAACCTGAGAAATCTTGACATCTTGGCTGCACGGGTTGTTAACAGCGAACGCCAGCAAAGTATCTATTGGACTATTGGATTTTCATGAAATTATGTACAACTATTTTTGTTTCTTAGATGACGCATCTTAATCCCATGACTTTTCCTTAGCAAATACAGGACTGGTTTTGACCAAATACTGGCAAAACTAACGACACCCCCATCAGCCTCGGTTGTATTGAATCGTTGGTTGGTTTAAATCATTGAATCCTACCTAACATCAGCTTGCTACTATTTATCTTAGTTTATCTTCGCATGCTGGCTTTAGCTTTCAGTCAAAAGCACCATTGAATATCTCGAAGGTCCACGCAAAGAAAT